GTTCAATGTTCAACCCTGGGAAGGTTTCACAATACTTCGCCCCCCAGCCTTTACCACACAAAAGCCGCCACGAGTTACTTCACTATGTGAACTGCAAAACGGCGCAGAGATCAGGACTGGGCCTTTAACACGCAACCTGAGAGCAGTCAGAACACATAAAAAGTCATTCAGCTCTGGAGGAAGTCACTGGCTTGTCTTCTACACACATTTCCAATTTCAGAAACAGTAAAAAAAATAAATACAATTCAACATGAAACAATGAAGAATACACACTGAAGATTCTAGAGCAATATTTCGGAAATGCGTTCTGATGTAACTGGAAGATTTAATTGTAGCCTCTGCGGGCAGGTGCCTCCTCGGTTCCACAGTGACAAAGCTGGGGCCGAGATTCAAAGATTACCCAGAGATTAAAGTCTCTAGATTGAGTTTTCACATCGGCAACAAAATGAATTAAGCGAGTACTTAAATAACCCCAAATGAACACTGCCCGTACCATCTTTTTCTGCAAAAAAAGACCTCACCTGACATAGTCCAGATCACAACGACGTTATGTTCAAGTGAGCAACAGCTGCAGCTGTAATAAAACCTGCAAAACAGGTCTTCTCTGTTTTCACTAAAATTAGAACCTTGCCAATCCTGAATGAACAAAAGACATTCTAAATTTCACAAAAAACTCACATAAAAATGTCTTTTAAATGAGTTAAAAGAACAATTTGATCTCCCCTCTACCAGCCATCACTACACTACTATTTGCACAGAAGAAAGCCTGGAAATGACACCACAAAAAAACACATTAGAAATTATCAGATGATTCTAATTAGAATTCTAATTCAGCTCCAGGGCAGCACCAACCACAAAATCTACCACCGCCAACCACTTAAGCTGAAACAGTTCACATTGATTTTATACTTATGAAGGCTGTACAGAAATTCTCAATCTCACAACCCCAGAACACAAACCTTAGCGCTGAACTGCTTGGTTAACTTTTTCAATATAATAGCAACAGTTATTTAACAAACTTGTCAGAACTAAACGTGGAACTACGTTAAACGTTTGTATCCAACATTTTACTTCCCATCGGGATGAGATACAGCCAAACAATGCAGGAAAACAACTTAAAAAGGTTAAAGACCCAAAGGTCAGACTTGGCCCATATTACAGCACGGAGGAGCAGAATTCCCTTGACCCTAGTGGGAGCACATAGTGAGGAATCAGCACGTGGGGTCACCACAAGCCCCCCAGAGCCGCACAGTACCTTACCAACATGCCACAGGTGTCAGCCTCAGGTGCACCCTGGAGAGAGTGAAGACGTGGAGGGTGGGAGTGGCTCAGTATCTTGGATACAGCCAGGGAAGCAGGGAGGAAACAGGTAGAGCAGGAAGTGCTGGCAGAAAAGCACGTTGTGGGGGCAGGCACTCGCTCCTGCAGTAAGAGAGGTCAGGAGGCTGAGCCGACGCCAGGCTCAGCTCCCACAACTGCCCAGCAGCAGCGCCAACATGACCGCCAGCCAACACCAGGGACCAGCTAGCCTAAAGCACTGGATAAGATTTTCACTTGACCCGTAAGATTGAAAAATGGTGACCTATACACTGCCAAAATCTCTGAAGGTCCTTATTACAGAAAGAAACCAGGAGTTGTATTGTAATCAATTAACAAATGAAATGCAAATTCACAATCTGTAGCGGCAGACGATTTCACCCACACTGGTCTTAAGTGCGGGTCTAGGAAGCACAAATAAAAATGATTCGTTATTACTCACACATGGCGGGAACTTTCACTTTAGACGCAGTCTGCTCTTAGTCTAACACTACTGCCTTTCTAATGCTTTGTGCTCAGGGCTGTGTGTGAATGCGAATTCATTGGTGTTCTGGACTCACAGCTGCACGTCTGTCTCTGGGAAATGGAGAGCTATGTTTAGAATGTATGTTTATTTTTATAGCCAGTTTTCTTTTCCTTCTGAATGGCCCGTGAACGATGACACAGGGCTACAGACAGCCACCTCAGTCAGGCCCTGCTGGCGGCCCAGAGAGGTTACTTCAAGGCTGACTGGCAGTGGGGGAACAATGGCCTCTACAAGCCTGATGAACTGGGCAAAACAGAGCCCGTTTCTAGGACCAGCTTCTTGACGCTGTGCTGGGAAACAACGCCTCTCTGAGACCTGCCCCGTGTCAGTGTGTGGAGCTCGTAGGCCCACTGCTCAATAGCCCTTTTCAACAGAGACCCCCGGGCAGACAGACCTCCTTTTTGGACTGGTGTGTCTGGGGAGGGCTGCTACCTTCAGTGAGCCTGTCAGCCCAGTCACTCTGCATCCTGCAGCAGGGAGCCGATCCCAACAGCACTCCAGAGGCTCCCGAGACAAAATAGGAAGGTCTTGATGTGTGCAAATAAAAAACAAAATCAAATAACTTAAAAGTCCCACAGGCCACACAAAGAACACTTCAAAATTTTCTAGAGGCTAGAGAGAGTACGAGGAGGCAGCCTTCTTGCTGCGCCCAGAAACTCTTGGTCCAGGAGGCTGTGAATCAATCAATAAGTTAATAGTTATTAAGCCAAGGGGTGGGTTTTTGTTGAAAGAAATATTCACACTGATACAATTAGGAACACGAGCAGAGTAAATGCTTTTCCTGCACTGCTCTTTAATTCCCACTTCCGGACTTCATATACGGTCTAGTATTCTGGGGGGCCACATACAAGGATTACAAGTGATTAGAATGAAAGGAACGTTTATTTCTCCTGGTGCGAAATTTCGCCCTTCCTCCCTGAAAGGGCTCAGAGCCTCAGTTGGTCTTGCTGCAGTTTACCCTGTGTGCTGCCAGGCACATTACAAAAATGCAGCGAAAAACTACAACACCGTGGAAAAAAGGAAAGGAAGATTCGGAAAACAGGCTGCCCTCCGAGCACAGAAACCGCCACTAAGAAATTAAATAAGACAGACTGACAAAAACCTTGGTAGTAGTTGTTCATCTCCTGCGTTGGTCTCTGATCTGCTAACCCAAAGAAGTATTTAGAGGGAATGTCTCCAGTTCACACACACTCCAACGACACTGGTGCTGCTTTTCAACATGCTCATCAAGAGGAATGAAACTGCTTCTGTACTCGATACCTTTCCACCTCTTTTTCTGTGAGCGTCGGACAGCCATCTCTCCTGACACACTCCCTCGGATCTGCTACACTCCTGGTTCTGAACACTCATGGACACAATCAGGTTTTTTATAGGGATAAGAAGGAATCCATGGGGTGAGAGGCTGCTATGAACTTTAACTACACAAAGATTAACTGCTTAACTAGGGTCCAAGGGGCAGTGTGTTACTGACACTGACACCTCTCACACACTGATTCCATTTCAGTTTTGCAAAGTCACGCTTAAAACAACTCTTGGCTTTCTTTTCTTCGGCATAAAACCGGTTCAAAACAAATACTAGAAGTTTTTTTTTTCCCCCCTACACATTAAATCCATAGAAGAGCAGTTTCAATGCATTTAAGCTGTAAACTTAGGACAAGGGCCACCCGCCCAGATACCAGAACACCACACACACGGCCCCACTTGTCATACAAGTCACAAGAAACCTTGTAACCACGGAAACGCAAACATCCGTATTAGCGGAGCTCTTGATCCAGCCTGTATCATGCCGTCACTGCAATTCTGGTGTACGAAGTGTACCGTTTTTAGGAGTCCTGCCTATTACGCCATATGCTAATCCAGGAAACACAGCACCTAAAGCTGCATGGCAGGAAACGAGGATGGGGGAAGAGTTTCAGTGTTACACAGACCAGACCAATGGTCTTGCGTGACCCTGTAATCTGCACCCTCCCTCCCCTCACTGTTCCTTCCAGGGCTTTTTCAGTGGCTAGACATCTCAGCAAACACTGCAGGTCTTATTCACAGCCGCGCCGACAGCAGCAGTGTGGTTAAGAAGCCAAACGCGATACCAAGAAAAGTAAGAGATTTGATCATTTCCTTTCAAACACATGAATACGTTTTTAAAAGCTCAGGGGACTGCAAAAGGAAACCGAAGACGGTTTTGACAGAACAGTTGCTGGCCTAGTGTTTTGCCCCTTGTCATAATGAGAAAACAACAAAACCAGGTACTGAAGTATTCAATTAATATAATTTAGCAAAGCGAAAGCTGCCAGTTAACGTTTTTTATCTGGTAGGTTTGGGACTTTAACTTGCCCTTTTCTTTAAAACATTAAAATTAACAAAAACAATAGAAAGTTTTAAAAGCCTATAGGTACCAGTCCTGAAAAAAAACCTTACGTACATTTTCAATATGCACCAACTCTACATAGTTAGACTGTGTCTAAAAGGCCTGCTGCCCTAGGACAGCTTTTTACTTAATTGTTATAACTTTAATTATTAAAGTGACGTTTTGTCAACCCCAAAACTGGGGCACAACTGTCTCGGTTTGATATTCATTTTGGCCATAAAAATACATTTGAAAGATTTTAAAATGTAATTGCTTTCAAATGGAGCACTTTTCTAAGACTTAGGTTTTACCTAAAATGGTTATGTAACTAACTGATCCTGTATCACCATGCGTGGAAATTGAGCAAACTTTAACCGCAGGCTAAGTCTGAAGGTGAGTCTAGAACATCACTCCCCCCCAAGGCTTTAATAACTGCAGGAATAATTAAGAAAGTTAAATCCATGGGCTGTTTCTTATACTCCAGGACGATCATCACACAATGCAATTAACGAGGCACTCTGTCGTAAAGTCATCTAGGCTTAATTAAATGTAATAATACCTACAGTGTCATTAAAACCACTTTTCTGAAGAAGTCTCCTTCGGTGCAAAAACTAAAGAAGCTCCCGTTGTACTACGCATAATAATGTTTAAAAAGTCAAATATTATTCTCCAGACATTTACCCTACAGATGCTCACTCATAGCGCCCCGGGAACAGATGTTGCTTTCATCAGAAACCGGACAACGCTCAGCTCAGCTCAGCTCCTCCGAGCTTCAATACCAGTTGGCTTCCTCGCCGCTTTATACCGCGGCGAGGTGACCTTGCGCAGCCCCGTAGTAGCTAATTTGTCTTCGCTTCGTTTTAAGTACCGCACGCTGCAAATTCTAGGCAGGCAGATGCACCAAATTGCAGGATAATTTAAAAAAAACAACAACACTCTGCACAGATGCTGCGTTCAGGAATTCGCCGATACAGTAGGTAGCCACTAATCGTCGCTCCATCTCCGACCGCGGTCGTTAAGAGCTGAGCTCAGCGGTGCCAGTTACCCAAAAATAAAACACAACCATGACAGTATTATACAGCGATACTTGCAGTGAGTTGCGATCCTCCGTAGGTCTCACCCAGTGAGTGGTGTGGGAGGGGGGGGGAGGAGAAAAAACGCGTTTATTCTGTCGTAGCCCGTCCCTGCTCCATCGCTTAGCTCACATTGCGTCTCCCCGCAGGGAGCACTTCCGCTCCCTCTGAGACAGCCCCGCCTACCCAACACGCATTTTGCGCAACTTATGAGCCCGAGACATACCTTCTCTGGGAGGGACAGCGATCGGTAAGATCTCCCTCAGCCTTACGCTTTGTTGTTTACGTTCAAACAAGACGCACGAATGAATGACCACACGGAGAACTGCAAGATAAAAGAATAGACACACGATGGGCCGCTCTACTGCTTTTTCACTTGGACTCTGTGGCCCCGACAGAACTACGGAGCCGTCACTAGAGGGCGCCACAGAGAGCCTCAAGTTCTACATTTGTAACTAGCGCTCCCTATGTTTATAATATAGCGTCTGCGGCCGCTATTTTTTAAATTATAACGAGAGGGTTTTATTGGTGTTAGAATATAAGACAGGAAGCTCTTCAGTCCATCTAGCCATTTGGTGGTTAGGACTAAATTGATCCGAGGATCTCACCCAGCTGCTTCTTGATGGAAGAGGAGACACAAAAGTTCCATTTGCAAATGAAACCACTTTCAGGACTCCTAGACTAAAGCACAGGTCTCGGCTGGTGACGATTGTGGATCTCACTGGACCCAGGTCTAAATCCTTGGCTTTTGGAGACTGTTGCTGTGCCACTGTTGTGGACTGCCCTTCCTCAGACCATACGAGAAACAAATACTTTGACTCTCTTCCAATCCAAGCTCAAAATTCAATTTTTTACCGGGGCTCGATTGTCCGATGGCCTGTTCTCTCGGTATAAACCTGCTCTTGTGCCAAACCTTATGCTCTGTATGTCTTTTCTTTTATTGTATATTGTACTTTTTATCACTGTGTACAGCATCCTCGGGTTTGGAAAGGTGTTTTATTAAATAAAATATATTATTATCTCTTACTGTATCATACCTATCGTATATATAATGACACCCACTACTTCAGAAAGTGAAAGTACCCATACACGTGTAAAATGTGTATTATTAAAGTAAAATGTTCTAGAATATGCAATGTAAATTTTGTAAGCGCTTAGCACGGTTAACACAACACACTCAATAAAATTAAGAATTGAGAAGGGCCAGCCTCACATATCTCCAGCATTGTAGTCATGCTGGGGCCTGGGTTCAGATTCAGACCTGGAGTTCTATGTGGGTGGAGTTAGCATGTTCTTGTGTTCCGTGTTCATGGTTATCTCCAGGCGCTCCGCTTTCCTCCCACAGTCCGAAGACATGCTGGAAGGTTAAGTGGATTCCGGGAAAACTGGCCCAGGTGCAAGTGTGTGTTTGTGCCTGTCTACCCTGCGATGGACTGGCGTCCTGTCCAGGGTGTACCCTGCCTTGCACCCACTGCCTGCCAGGATGGGCCCCAGCTCCCTTGCAACTCAGGACCCTAAATTGGACAACGAGGTTAGAAAAGTGAAAGGATGGATGGAGGGACGAATGGAATTAAGAATAGTTTCTGTCCAGTTCTGATGGCATTAGCCTGATTTTCTCATATATTCTGTAAAACCCACTCGGGTTCATAAAAACAAGTGAAAATGTGTATGGCACTACCTATAGGAAAGAAATGCACCACAATTGCAGTTTAAAATATGGATTTTATCAGAAAATTAATGCTCCACTTTTTGAACACAGATTATCAGCAGCAAGTCATCTACAGTCATAATATACTTGGCGGTTTGTCAAAAACAGCATCAGAAAACTCTCAGAATTTCACTTTGACTTTGATCTGTTTGTTACAGCTACCATTTCCTTGGGTGAAGTTAAAAACATTGCTGATACTGATGTGAACACTACAGTAAGTGTAATTTCTAAGGACACCATCACATTAATGTGCTAAAGGGCAACAGCCTTGCCCAGCTCCAGAAAGGAACATGTCTCAGACACTCTTTTCCAGTGCAATTCCCCTGCACGCACAGAAGGAGCATGAAAACATTACCAGCTCCTTCTTGACTCGGCTTCTGTCCTCTTCATCACCAAAGTTTACAATCTACCAGTTAGAACACGAATAATCACTACTGCATTTTCAGACTCGGAGAATAACTGATGGCGTAACGCAGATGTGGACGTCTGAGCAGGATTCCCCAAAGGCAGATCAGGTCAGGGCTCCTGTGTGCGACTCGCCGCGTTTCTTTCTATTGTCTTTAGCAAGAGCTGCAGAACACAGACGAGCATCAATAACGGCAATGGAATGACTGCAGATAAACCCCACTATGCGAGCCGCATACAGTGACCACAAAAATCACATTGTAAAGTCTAAAACATAAGTTTATATCAAAATAGCTATGTTAAAAATACTGTATCTGTATTCAGTCATTTAAAAAAAACACCCAATGTAAGTTGGGTACATACATATTTCTGTGCATGCCATATGTGACTGGATGACAGAACAAGTACTCAGAATGTATTTTAGAACAGTACTAGTGATTTCAAGATAGTAGATATATCTTACTATGATGTGTCATTGCTACCTCTTCACCTAAACCTATTCTATCAATGGCACATCTATGGAGGAAGAAGCTCCACTACTGTCCCTGGGGAATAGAAAATATTTAAAAAAAAATGACAGCTGACACAGGGTGACTTGGATTGGGGATCTCCAGGTTCAGTGTTGGAAACCCCCAAGGCAATCAAACACATGTCTTTCAGGAGTGGGAGAAAACGCTGTGATCACTAGAACACCATGGAAACTCAACACAGAAGGCATCCCCACCCAGAACACTAGACAAGAGACACAAGAGTCCTATCAGTATCACATTGTTCACTTATCATCCTGTTGCACTATTTACATTGTAGTATACAAAACATAAGTTAAAGGACACCCTGTTGCCATACCTGTGTGAGATGATATTCCTCGTTAACTAGCTGTTCTATTATATTGAAGTGATCTGTGTTGGGGACATCATCAAAGATGACCTTCAGCCCCGAGGATTCCAAAGCCTGTCAGAAAGATGATTTAAACAGTATCCTTGAGAAAGCTCGGAATAACTAACGCTTTTGGAAATCACTGCATTCCTGTAAGTGTTCAGATTTACCTGGAAGAACTCTAAAGACTGCTTCCTGAATTCAGGGGAGTCATGCTGTGCTACTGCCACCACGATCTCACAGTCCGAAGAGAACTGCTTCAGCTGAGGAACCAGCTGCATGGGACTGTTCCTCAGGGCGACGTCTCTAGTGGGAGAACAGCACAGTCTTTCAAACATAACCCAGTCTCAAGGAGAGGACAGAGGTGTTGGAAAACCAAGCTCTTCCAACTTGCAATCCGCTAGCAGCACAAAAATAAATTCGGTTTAGCATCTCGATTTAGTTTACTCTGGGTTTCAGAATTCACCCAAAAAGCAGCAGTGTGAAGTGTGCTGTCTCATAGTGGAACCTCAATTTGTGAACTGCAGGAGCGACAGGAAAGAATTTGGCGTCTATTAAAAGGTTACAGCACTGTTAGAAGCAGATGTGATGACAGTCAGTGGCCGTGACCATTCCCCTCCACAGTTTGAAAGTGTTTCACGTCATCAGCAAAATCAAACATTAACAGTGAGTGAAAGGAGTCTCTCAAATTGTTTAAATTAGCTGTGGTGCTTAGAATAAATCTCTAAATGATTTTTAAAAATATTTGGTAGTATTCCTGCAGCATATAAATAAGTAGGCCTTTTACCACAGGAAAAACTGGTTTATCAAATGCAACCTGATGTTGCATTGCTATCATTTTTCAAACAAGGAGTGCAAGCTCTTTGCAGTTGTATGGCAAAAGGTCATAAACATTTTTCCTCTGATCATCAGACCCAGCTTGCAAGCTTTCCACATTTAATTTTCACTCTGTGTGTATCGCACATACTCTGTCATCTTCAGGGGATCGTTCACGTAAGTGGACATGAGAGGCACCAAATCATAAACACCGCTGACCAGAAATGCACCTGCAAGAAAGAAAGCACTGTTTAGTATGAGCTGCAAAGCGCACACAACAAAAGTCTCATTTACGGGCACTGTCATCATCAGCTACACCCCCATGAACACAGACAATGGCATGCCTCAGAAATCTCAGATCATTTGCTTCTTCCCCACTTAGGTCAATCAGCTGTAAATCAAGAGTCTTTGAAAAAACAGTGATGTGCTTCGTTCTTTTTGTGACATGCAGAGTGGATGAAGAGCTCTATAAACATTATATTTGCGTGTTCCAATTTAATAACATAAAGAAACACTGATGATCACAGCTGCTGGTGAGCCACCAGGTCACAAATGGACGCTTGTTGCACAAGTTCACCGCTTTGTGCTCTTTACGAAGGTTTTTTTTTCCCGCAGGTGAGAAGTTGAGACACAGGCACCTTAAGATCTGTTTAGACCTGCCAAACCTCCAAAGGCCGCAATTGTCAGCAGTCACAGGCTCTGGTTAGCTGACGTACCTTTGATGTTGGGCGTGGTGCTATACTGGGACCAGTCAGTACAGAGGACCATAGCAGCCAGATGAGCTCCTGCAGAGTGGCCACACAGGTATACTCCACTGTGGGGAGACAAGTGCTTGTGACAGCTGACTGGAAAAACTAGATATGGTATTTCCATGGTTTCCCCATGGTCTTATCCTTCTCATAATGTGTCCTTTACCATGGTTTTACAATGGCATAGTAAACTGTGATATTAAAGCCTGGGTTCTTGTTTGGGATGTCCAATTGTTTGGATCACAGGTAATTATTTGTCAGGATCAATTCCATCCTTACAGACTGCCAGACTGGACAGTGTTACTTTGCAAATATTTATTCTACCTGATGTGAGAGTACTGCTGGACAACAGATGCCACACTACGCCGCACCTGTGACACCATCAGATCCATGTCACCTGAGAAACGAGACACCTACAGATCACACATGAGCTGCAGGCAAAATGAGTCAGAAAACCAATATAATAATCAACCAACACGGTCTGTGTCTGAAATATCATTTTTAACTGACTTGAGCATTTATTTCCCTTTCAGGAAATTAGGCTTAAGGGGATTGTCGTAGCTCAGCTCAGTCAGTTTTGCTCAGAGGATGTTTTAATGATGCTGTTTATTAACAAACTGAAATAAAGAAATGCCTGCAATCAAAATAAATTCACATTTTCAAAGATTTCATATCCTGAAAGTACTGATGTGTTTTATTATGAATAAGTTATCAAAAGAAAAACTGCTTCACCTTTGGGTGCAGTGTCATAACCAACTGCCACTACTGCGATACCTTTAGGCACCAGAGGAACAGCCAAAAATCCAGACTCCTCCTTGCTGACAAAATGAAAATTCAAGATGAAATAAAAATATATACAGTAATAAACATACGAATGGTTACATACTTGAGGCCATGTGGCACATCTAGTTCTGTTTGTCTTTTTTCAATAGTTAATTGATTTAAATGATCTCATTTTGTGGTTGTGAGAAAGACGTCAGGGTATCGGGTTCAACAACATGGCTGGGCAGCTTGTTCCATACTCCCACAACCCTTTGTGTGAAGAAGTGCCCCTGGTTCTCAGTTTTAAAAACACTTCCCCATGGATTCTACCTATGTCTGTAGATCGTGGTTTGCTGTTCAGTTCTAGCATAATAGTCGCACAATGTTATCATGCATTCAAAAAGAGTTTTGGTTGGCAAGCGCAAACCATGTCAGTTCACAGAAACAGAATTGACTGCTTTTGTAATCATTAGTTGTGGCGTAACAGTGATTTTAAAATGATCAAGTCATGCCCTTTTCCCCATAGGGCAGGGGATCATTTTGAACATTAACATCAGTAACTAGAAGACCTAATGTAAGAGGGTAAAGTTCAAACCAGAACCACAGCCAGAGCTTATCCTGGTCTCTGTGGGGTTAAGCAGACTACAGAGCATGTGACTCCTGCCACCCTCCACAGACGGGACCTCAGTCCATTGCAGGGCTGACCCCTCCCTGCTGGTCGCACTTATACAGCTGGGTGGACTGCTGCAAATGGGATAAAATACCTCACTTAATGCACAACAGCAGGGACTTGAACCCACATCCAGTCAGTTATGAGTCCAAAGGCTAACACACTATGCCATGCTGACCCCAGGATACATAAGAGTTTGTGCATAAGAAGAAAAATATTAAGGTGATTGAATCTAACAGATTATGCACATCCTATGTAACATCTCTTGTTATTACAAGCAGCTCACAAGCAACGTACCTTAAAAATTGCCAGTATCCCCCATGGATGTAAATGACCAAAGGTAAATCTGAAACACAGCAAAGGAAAAATGGAAAACCATTAATCACAGTTTATCTGTGCAGAAGCAGATCCTTGCATCGATCTATAGCACAATACTCTGTTCTTTACTTCTTTCACCCCATTGACACACTCCTGTACACTCCTCACACTGCTGCAAACTGTCACCACCTGTAAAAGGTCTGAGAAGCTATACAGAGACCTGGGAAACTGTGGCAAGCAGTGGTAAAGTCATACTAGCAGAAATGCACATAAGAGGTCAGTGTTGGGAGTCCAGCTCATACCTAGTGAGGGACTGGGAGGCACGTAGATGTCAAGTTTCTCCCTCTCTCCTTCTCCATAAGGTACATTGAGAAAGGTCTGTGCCACAGCGCGTGCTCTGTCAGTGCCTACAAGAGGAAGAGACAGCATCCCTGCATGTTACAGAACAATGCAGTCAACCACCGAGCTATGACTAAGAATAATTAAGCAAGTGTTCTTTTTTGATCAAGACATTATTTTCATGCAAGTCTTCTCTGGCAAAACAGGGCTCAAGTCTGGTCCTACTTGCAGTGAAAAGAGTACAGCTGCCTGACCCAAGTGGCATTTTTGAATATTATAGCACCACAGTGCATTCCTGTCTGACCCTCCCTACAATGAACTACCCTCTTAACCCCCTGATAAAGTGGTTTCCTTAGAATACTGTAGTCTGTTAGAATGCTAACCTTTCAGCAACTTGCTGAATATACAAAAGCCTTACTGAATATCCACCAGTCTTCTGCAATTCACATAGTCACCATCAGGATTTACTGAGCTCTTTTAAGCTCGGTGAGAAGCAATTTAATGATTAACAGTAACAACAACAAACCTTCTCTGAGAGAGGCTGCATGGGCCTGTACCACTACATCAGCTGCCATCCTGTGAGACCACTGGCTGGGGGAGTACTGCTTCTCCAGCTCCTGGAACAGCACAGCCCTTTCAGACCGTGACAGCCCTGTTCGCAGCACACACACACATGCGCAAGCAAACACACGCGCGCACACACACACACGAGCAGAGACAGGCCAGCCAGCCAGCCCACAGCGCCACAGAGCGACAGTCTTCCCAAGCTGACAGCCCTCGCAATAATTCTTTTTACTCGCATACGACGCAGGCAGATTTTGAGTCTGAAGTTCCTCTTTTAAGAGGAGACACTGAACCGAATGTTCCCCTTTCATTTTCACAAGCTTCTGGTCTGTTTAATCTGGAAATATGTGGACAGCAAAAAAAGATGACACACTGATAAGTGCCCGAGAAAACCCTTACCACTCAGTAACAGAGCAGCTGCAAAAGTAAAATGCAGCTAAATGTAAAATATAAAATGTTCACGTCAGGGTATTACAGTGTATTAATGGAGCCCTGTTCTCCTTAACCAAGCTGCATTAAGTACTACTGAGTTCACAATACTTGTATAATAACTACAATATTTTTTCTCAAATTTGGTGACTAACAAAACAGCATAATTTAGATAAACAGCATAAGGGAATCAGTGCCTTTTAATAAAATGCTCTTGCCTGCACAAATATTGAAAGCCAGCCTGTTCTGTCTGTACATTTCAGGGCTTTATACTTCAGTGGGAGAGTCTACTCATACTTATACAGTCATACTGGCTTGACTTATGCATTTCTGTACAGCTATTTACAAACATCTAGAACAGTTAAGTACGGTGACCACCAGAACTAACAGACAAAAAAAATCACACACACTCACCTCTTTCTTCATTTCCTTCCAGTGGGCCATTTTACTTGTGAGCTTCTGAGAGTCCACAGGCCTTTGAAAACCACTGACCAAACCATTAGGCTGTGGGCAACCAATGAGAGAGCAGCATTTCAGTGATGTCACCGTTTGGATTCTAAAGAGGATCCCTGTATCAATACAGACTTTGCCCTCCCCATTCCTGCTACCCCCCAGATTTTAAAAGGAGATTTGTTTTGCCAAATTTAAGAGCAAGTTTAGATGAGTAAACAAGGCACATTCAAAGGCTCGGTATGAACACATAAATGTTATCAAAGCACATGACAAAAGGATAAAAGTACAACACTGCAAATACTGTGCACAGACATCTGTATTATATTCTTGTTATATTTTTCATGTTTTTGCATTGCAAATTCTGTGTACCGACATCTGTATTATATACTGGTAATACTGGTTTTCAGGAAATGCAAAAGTTATTGGAGCTATTTTAAAAAGAAAACAAAATGCTGAACACACTGTACTAGCAGTAGTACCCCCATTTTATGTTTAGCTCCTTTCATTACATAGTGTTTTCATTTACATGCTTATAATGTGAATTAAACTCGAACCCCTCAGCCCAACTAGCTGGTTCCCTGTTGAGTGACGCCGGAGGCCTGGGTTCGAGTCCCCAGCGGTGGGGGGCTGACCTGAGGCGGTCGTTGTGAGGGCGCATACCCATGTGAACCCGAGAGCGCTACAGTATTTAACAATCCTTGCATTTCACCAGTCTGAAATGAAATTGATTTCTTCTATGCAAATTCCTTCAAGGGCATTAAAAAACGAGTCTACTCCTTACTATCAAGGATCATTTCCGTGGTTTGAAGTAGTTCAAGTAGGTAGCTGCGTCAGCATGCGTAGGCTGCAAAGGAACAGGTAACGGGTTTATTCCACGCTGAAAAGAAAGGAAACACGACGTTTCAGCTGTGGAGCCTTCTTCAGGCTGAAGAAGGCTCCACAGCCGAAACGTCGTGTTTCCTTTCTTTTCTTTTCAGCATAGAATAAACCTGTTACCTGTTCATTTCCATCGTTTGTTACCTGAGAAATGCATTTCCAAAGGTTTGGTCTCTTAACCCGCATACAGTAAGTAGATGTCAAACTGCGGTCACTCTTTGTCAATGCAATAATTTGTTTTCTGGAAAACGTGCGGTTTAGCCCAGGTTACCCTGCAGCAAATGTTCCAAAAGCACGTACAAATTAAGCACAGACATTTTAAAGTCCTTAGTTAACAAACGGCGTTTTACCTAATAATAACAGTCTTCACACTCGCACAAGACCGGTACGCCCCCATATGAGCTACCTGAGCAGCAAGCAGATTTTGGGCGACCACAGTACAAAGGTTTATTTTATTTTTTTTTTAAATGAGAGGGGGGGTCAAAACCAGAAACCTTATCCCGCCAGAATACGAAGCTGTACGTTTTCCGACCTGCCCAACAGGGAAGAGAGAAGTCAGGCCTGTCTCCCTGATTGGCCTCGAAGAGCCTCAGTCATCATGTCGGGGGCGGTGTGGTCAGGCGTCCGTCTCCCTATTTAAAAATCAGGCGGGAGAACAGTCCGCTTTGTACTAAACCGGGTGCATTTCTTGGAGGCCGGAGTGGCTGTGTTTTAGCTTATTTTATATTGCACTATAATTATCTTTTTTTATTTTCGTTGTACTGTATCTTTCTTTCTTTTCGTCGTACAACAATGGAGTGCTTGAACCTTCCCGGAGTTTTGCCCAATTCTCCCAGGAGAATGAGGGGACAAATCCAGGTAAAACACAATCAAGCATTCGGTTTTAAGTCTTTTTTTTTTCCCTTCCCTGGCACTATAAGGAAATCCTTCTCTATTTAAGCCGTAAAATAACCCGTGCGTGTCCTATGAAACGTAATGGGACCGAGCAATTGATTCTAGTTAAACCATCTGTGATATATTTTTTCGTTATGTAAATTAGTTTTGTGAATTTTGTACATTCCTTTTAAAAATGTGTCTGTATATATATAGAGAGAGATCTGTTGCCAAGTGTTTTTGCATTTATTTTGTACTTTTGTTGTAGACTGATTTAACGTATTTAAAACGCTGCTTTGGTGATCACTAAACTGCCAGTTTACCGTTCCTAACCTTTGTTTCTTTTGTTGGATTGATTTGTAGGTTATTTTCGGGCCTATGTTTTCAGGAAAAAGGTAATCTTTTATGTTTTAATAGAAAACTACAATACCCTTTCTTTGTTTCATTTTGTTCTATTGGCGCCAAAATTGCTAGTAGTAAAAACAAATCGTAATGTTTTTTTTTTGCAAAGTTTTATGTATTTTACATAAAATAAATAAGTATTTTTATGTATGTGTTTTATGAATTCTAGCCAGTATTTTGTTAGTCACTCGTATTCCTTTTAACCATAATTATTGAAACTGTTCAATGTCAGACATGTTAAGTAATAAATCGCAGCAGTGGTGGAACAGTTCTTCCGGTAGGCGTTATAATTACCTAAGTGTACTGTATACTTCATTATTGTACTAGATTATTGTTTTAAACTTAATTTAATGTCGTAATTTCGTTACCAGCACCGAGTTGATGAGGAGAGTCCGCCGTTTCCAGATTGCCCAGTACAAATGTCTGCTGGTCAAGTACTCAAAAGACAACCGCTACTCCGACTCCGGGGTTGCAACACATGATAGGTAAAAATAAAAGCTTGAATTTCCAGTGTCTTTGAAATGTCTCCGTAATTTTACCACTTTACCATCACAGACTGGCGGTGGTACAGTTTTTTAGCTTTCTGAGACCTGACGGTATGAGTTGGGCAGGGCTAGGCTAAATAAAACGGCTAGTATTAACATTGCCTTGCCTTTTATATGGAAACATCTCCCCGTCGGCTGGTACGTGTACCTGAGTGTTATAAGATACATTTCTACAGCATCCTTGAAGCTTAAGAGGCATTAAGCCTGAAATCCAGGCAGGCAGACTGAATACCTGTAGTGCAGTTGGGGGGGGCGGCTGCTGGTGTCTCCGAGCTGGGAAATGCGTTGCTATGGAAACGGGGAACCCATCCTTTTTAAAACCTGCCTTCTCCCTCTGCAGAAGGACGATGGAGGCTGTGCCGGCCAGTCAGCTCAGAGACATCTACCAGCTGGCTCTGGACTGCGCTGTCATTGGCATCGACGAGGGCCAGTTTGTAAGTGCGCATGGTCTTGTGGGCTCTGTCTTCATCTGAGGCCTCTGAACTCTGGGGAAAACTCCCCACCCCCTCCCTGTTTTTTTTTTCCTGGGAGAGAGTTTGGTGCACCAAATAAAGATGAGCACTTTCGGCATCTTTGTACTAGGAAGTTAGGTTTTCCCAGTCTGTTAGCAGTGCCAGGAGGAACTGGGCACGGCTGAGATTTGATTTCTGGAAGCTGGAGTGATCTGGTCAGGAGTGTGTGTGTGCGTGGTGCTGTGCTGTGCTGTGCTGTGCTGCCCCTAAAATGTGTGATTTAAAAAGGATTTTACTTAGATTGGGTTTTTGGCAGGCAGCTCACTCTTGACCAGGAAGGCTTCTAACTGACCTGTTGTAGGGATGAGAGAATCTTGGTGCTCGCACTGAGTGTATTTGAACCAGGCTTGAGTCTGTTTTACTGGGTGCGAGACATTTTGTGCATGGTGGGGGCTGTGCTATTTTCTCTGATTTTAATTCCGGGCTGGGGTATCCTGGGTTTTTTTTTCCCCCTCCCAGTTTCCAGACACGGTGGAGTTCTGTGAGGAACTGGCCAACATGGGCAAGACCATCATTGTAGCAGCCCTGGACGGCACTTTCCAGAGAAAGGTATTTCCAGCCTGCAGCAGAATTTGATTAAAATTCATTCCAGGACAAATGTCCGTGTTCAAGGCTTTTAATGTACAACTAAGTAAGCTGTTGTGTAACTCGGTTTAAGTAGGAGCCGTTGATAGGCTGATATCCTATCCTGGGTGTATCTTATCTTGTGCCTGGGTTAGACTGGATCATTTGCTCACTGGTGACCTTCTATGGGAAGAAGTAACTGCGGACAATGAACGGATTCATTATGCAGGACCACTGTTTGCACTTTTATTAGATATTTTCTACCATGTCAAGAAATTTACCGTCTTTCAAAGATCTCATTAATCAGGATGATAGCGACTCCTTGATCCGGAGTACTACAGGGTGATTTATTCACATACTGCTGTCTGGATATCCAGACCTAGCTGAGTTGAATGTCAAAGACAGACATTCCTAAATTCTGCTTGGATTTTAGTAGGAATTTACTGAAATGGGAAGGTCTCTTTGCAACAACAGAGATTGTAAATGAAACGGCTGATAAGGGAAGAGCAACTGACTGTTCCTTATAGTGTAATACTGCTCCTGATGTGGCGTCTCAACGCTGTGGCTACAGGCGTTCGGCAACATCTTGAACCTGGTGCCCCTGGCTGAGAGCGTCGTGAAGCTGAACGCTGTGTGCATGGAGTGCTTCAGAGAGGCCGCCTACACCAAGAGGCTTGGGGCTGAGAAAGAGGTGAGGGCACCTTCAGAACCTCAAGGCTGTACTTGCACATGGCACGCACAGGACATGCTTGTTGAATCTTTTGTTTAATATATACCCCCACTCAATTTGGGATTGCTAATCGTTTTAAACGGTTGGCCCTCTGGCACCAGCTCCCGAGCCTGCTTCGTCGAGAAGGAGACCTATCTTTCTGTGTGCCTTCATGTAGGTGTGATTTGCTGCCTTATAACGGGACTTAGTGCTGCTTTGACAAGCAGTGCGTCTCTCTCCGACATCACTGAAAGCATACAGGTGCCCAAGGGGTTGTCGGAATAGTCAGACGCCAGGTGGTGTTCAGTCAGTTGTACCGTGATATCTAGGCTTCGGGTGTCTTCATGATATTATAGAGATCATGTCCCTGAAGGCAGCGTCGGCTCCCACACTCGCATACTCTTCTTTTTGGTCTCCCACCTACTATACACCTGCTTGAGTCTTCCAAGATTTGCATGGTAAGAAAGTGGAAGACGCGGCCGTTGCACATTCAGTTGATTACCAGGTTAATTGTACGTAACTGAATTCTGGTTTGCCTTTGCGTCCTTTAGGGTAGTAGAGTTTTGGCTGCAGTCGTCCTACGCGTTCCCTCATCTGTCTTAACTTTCTGTTCTTTCTGCCGTGGGCAGGTGGAGGTGATCGGTGGGGCAGATAAATACCACGCCGTGTGCAGAGCCTGCTACGGAGGCCTGCGGGCGGAGGGGAAGGAGAACTGTTTGCCGCAGCTGACGAGAGAAGAGACACCCCCTCACGCCCTGCCTGCGAAGCACCTGGACACCAAGGTGCCCCGGAAGCTGTTTGCGACACTGCAGGTCTAGCTGGAGTCCTGCCCGGAGGACATGCTCTGTAAGAGCCACTGAGGAACGGACTGAGAACACTGAAAGTGGCAGTTCTAGTGTAAGACTTTGTGTTACAAGGACATGAAGGTTTCAAAAACCGCAAACTACAACCTGCTGGGTGTTACAGGCATAGCCAGGAAAAGTACTGTGTGCAGAATCGGTGTATAACACTGAGAACAAGGTCTACATTGTAAAGAGAATAGAAACAAAAGCACAAACCCATTCTGTTTTCTGTAATAACCTGGGAGAAGGCTAAACAATTGTTAGGCTTTCTATTTTAAGTAAATTGCTTAATATTCCCTTCTGTAGGAGGCACAGCTGTTTGTTGGGTATTTTCTTTTGCGCATCTGTAAGTGTAGAGAACTACACTTACTGTAGGTCATATATTACACATTGTCATGCATTGTCAAATAATAGAATCCCAATGCAGTGCTAAACAGATTGAGTTTTCTTGTCGTTGAGCTTTAGCTTCACCTAGAAACGCAGATCTTAAAGCAACTCATAAAACCTAAAACATAAAACAGACAAGGGTTTTGCGATTATCCTCTGCAAACCATGCTTCATTTGGAGAATGTGATCTTAGAAAGCAAAAAAATCACATTCTGACATTGGCCCTACTACGTCTCAAGGGCTTAATGCATGGGTATGGAGTGTATTAAAATGATTTTGACTGTGTAGTGTATGGTGTGATGTGCTGTGTGGATTTCTTCAAAGCAATATGCATGTTAATATCTTCAAAACAGGCATTTTTCAGTATCTTAGTTTCTAATGATTAGGAAAAATGTGGTTTAGATATATATATTTTTTAAGTTGGTTCAAGCATTAATGGTGCCTATTGTGAACATCAACCAAACCACTTTTCACCCTGAAGTACATTTCTTTACAAATACTGTACAATTAGAGATTAACTTCTGAACAAAAATGCTTTCAAAAACAAAATGTATATTTTTATCTTAAAAGACAAAACCAAAAGGTTAGGGCTTGGATGTTTAGGTAACCAGAGATTGTGATTCTTTTCATTTTTTACATGTGTGTCTGTGGTGTTCCATGGTGCTGGGTGGAGAATGACTGTAAGATGTACTGTATTTTAACCTCTGCCAGATCTCTAAAAAGGAGACTTATTTACAATGCCAGCTATTGTACCATAAACTCACTGCCAAAGTCTCACTTCAGAGATTTTCCTATTTAAGTTGAGTATTTCAAAGTAAGGTGGTGTTTTTTGTATTAAATGTGCTGAAAAGCATTTTAATTAAACTTTGATTTATGAAGATGTTCTTTAATGGGGAGTGGTATTGTTCATGTGGCTTTAGTCATAATTTAGATTTTCATCCTTTATACTACATTAAGTCTGGTTTGCCATTACTTCAAGTATTATTTCTAGTACGATAGAGAAATCTTTGATCATTGCATTAAAAGATACCTCAATCCCGTGCACCATTTTCAGCTTTTCACTTCCTCATGTTAACAGACAAGTAAAGCACTTAAAAGAGCTACCAGGCAACGAAACGATAACTACAGTTACCATCCGGAACCAACACCTGGGGGCTTTTTTTCTTGGCCTGGTAAAGAAAATAAAATCTAAAATGGAACAAGATGAGGTGTGTACCAGGCCCACCAGGCAAATGTAAACAGTTTGAGATGAAAAGAGAGGGAATTAACACCAGCTGGGTTTTGAAAACTTCAAACCTTGTGTGCTGAGCAGTGATGCTGACTTTCTGCCCAAGTTGTAGGTTGTCATCCCTGTTCTGTGCCCCAACACCAGGTTAAGATCCACTTAGCTGCAATCTGTTCCCAGTGCCTGAGTGAGAACTATTTATGGGTATGTCTAGTGTTTAATTTTTTTCCCCATGTGGTTTAAAAAGCAGAGGGCACTGCTGAGACAGTGATAATGAGTGGAAGGAAGTGTCAAAAGTGGAATGTTGCCACGCTGTGGTGCTGTATTCCAATACAGCATCTTGCTGAGGCCATGCAGTACCTGGTCAAGTACCAAGCGTTATTGAAACAAGAAGAACAGCCTGAGCTGTTGGGCTAAACTGATCAATATTCTTTGTAGAACAGTCAAATCTACCCTAGTGTACTAAGTCCTTGTAACCTGGAGCAATGGGTTTTCAACAAATGAAATAGGAACTCAGAACCTCAGCTTGTCAGTAATTAACTTATTGTTTTGGTCACATTATGTCAAGAATTAGATGTGCTTCTGTAAACCCCCACCAATACAGTTTAAAGCTTCTTCGGACTGAGATTCTCAAGCTTCATCTCTCATGAAGCAGTGAGCGTGTGGCATAAATATACCGAGGAAGAGCATGTACAGAGTATCGTCACTCCTGTGGTCTGCTTGCAACAAAACCTATTTAATGTTTTAATACAGCAGTCTCCTTGAAAGACCTTTCACATTATCTTCTAGCTTTTTTAACATTTGTAATAAATGTACTGATAACGGTACATTTACTCCATGCTAGACTTTGTACCTTGGCAAAATTCTTATTTCTTGCCTCAACACTGGAAACCCAAATTGATTATGAATATGCAAACTAAAGGCAAACTGTTCTGAAGGAATAAAGTCCTTTTAATCACAGAGCAAAAAAAAACAGCTAAAACTGGGAGTATTCAACAGTTTTGGTATGCATTTATAATGGCTAAAAAGCAAACTGGCTATAACACATTTTTGCTGTTCGGTGAGCAAGATGGCACAGAGGAACAAGGTCTTACATAAAAAAAAGATTTGATTAAATATACCACACTGTAAATGAGGAAATTCAAACTACTGTTTGTTCAACCTGTTCTGTAGCATGCTGCAGAAACTGCATAAGCCCTGTCAGCTCTTGTAACAATTTCATAAAACAGAAAGCCTCATATATATAAAAAAAACTGCTTAAGGAGTTCTTTGCATATATATACACACAACAAACGGTATCAAAATCAGAACCACGTCAATGTTAAAGGTATTTTACATTGGAAGCCAACTGCTATTATCGTTTAACAATATTTAAAAATAAAATACATTATATATGAACAAAGATAATAACCAAAAAAATCAATAAGGCACATTTTATCCAGTGCATGAAGATAATATTCAGTGGCATTTAAAAAAAAAAAAGACACTGGTGGTGAATAAGGCACAGCTGGGTCTGTGAACTTTGTGGCCTCAAATGTCCAAAATCCATCTGTAAAATTCTGATTTCAAGAGGGATAAAGAGTAACTCTGACTCCAGTGTAGTGTTGTACTCTTACAGTTTGCAGTATCAGTATAAGCCTCATCACCGTAACAGATTTTTACCATTGGGCTCTTGGGAGTAAAATGTTTTACACTCACAGCAAACAAAATGAAATGACCATGATGGTTTGTGCTTTGGCGTGAAGCATGGTAATGTGTTATAATATGCTGCAATCCAGCATGTAGAAGATTCATCTTTGATCACCACATTATTATGCCACCAGTTCTCCATTGTTTCTCAGACCCACAGCACCCAGGCACTTAATGTGTTTAGATCTGGTGTGCATTACAAGCCCCAAATAAGGACTGGCCCCTTGCACTCATTAGAGGACTTTGCATAGCGTAAGCTGGGGTGATTCTGGAATTGCCAAAAGAACCGGCCTACCAGGATCAATAACCTGAAACTTCAATGCAAGATCCATTTCTTTGCTGTATACTGCCAATGTTTAAAATCAGCTGAATCAAGACCACACATATCTAAGCTTCACAAATCCTTCAATAGTGCTTTTAAGAAAGTGCATAACATATTGAAAAAAATGGGTTATTCAGATGTATAGAGATCTATTTATAATGCCGAATGGCCACCTCAAACTGTACCAATCTTTCACTCTAGTACAGTAGCCTTTATAACATGGCAAAGAATAGAGCTCTTTTTCATGATCGTGAAACATCTAGGAACTTTAGGCACAGGAATTTCACAGGTACTTCATGCTTATTTGTTAAGTTTCTAAGGCTGTCATGTTTTCGGAGGCAGATCAGCTAATTTGGCACACAGGTGTAGAGTGATCAGCATACTTTCAGGTGAAATATGGGGGAAACCAAGAGCATTCAACGTAAATGAGGATTGAATCTGTAAAGCTAGAAACAGTAACCAGACATACAGTACATGAATCACCTCATTCATGTATTTGGTATACAGTGCCTTTTAACAGTTTCAGACCTTCATACTGTTGTAGGTAATTATAGTTACCTCCTACTCGAGAAGTAAATTTAGGAAGTGTAACCCAACAAGCTGCACCTGCAGTTATATAAGCAGCACCTCCTGGGGAATTCCCGCTGAATCGGTTCAATTTCAAAGGAACATTCATTACGAAGCCAAACCAGAAATATTATCCTGCATTTCAGTAGTACTGTACACAGGAATGATTTTACAAGGGGACCAGAGATTCTGCTGAAAACTCAAGTTGCTGTGGCTCTCCCTCAAGGAGTGGAGTAAAATGCAAAATGATTGCATGTCCCAACACAAGTAAATTGGCACTCATCAAGAGAAACTAAATTAGGCAGGAGGGGGTGGGACTTCAGGACTAAAAAGCCATCCATCCGGGCACCTGTCTGTAGTGCATGCAAGACAACAGCACATCAAGGTTACCGAGTTCATCCTAGGGAAAAAAAGCCAGACCGCTCACCGGTTTCTATTCCAGCCATGTTGTTCCCAACCACTGCTCTGCGTTCAAGATCTCTCTTCTAGTAAGGTGTGACACTGCTGATAAGCGTGAACTGACAGTTTGTGTCAGTAGTTAAGTACAGATATTAAAACAAATTGGGATTCAATATTAGTCCTCTACAACAGAACCACAGTGTTTCATTGTCAATTTGCAATACAAATAACACTGACAGCTTGAAGTAATGCCGAAGGCCTCTGTATGACATTTGCATACCTGACTCGCTGCCATAAAGACTATGCTTAACCGTACACCTTTTCCTTAGCAGTACACCTAGTAAGAGTGGACACTTAAAATTCAAAATGGATCAGCTTTGTCTATGGCTGTTTTTTTCTGAATTACTTGTTTTCATCTCTCCTGCATCTGGAATCCAATCTGAATCCAAAATTAAGGTTCAGAAGAAAAGTCCCAAAACATTTTCTTCTTGTATTCATTTGATATTTGATATTTGATATTTTGGGGGCATTTAGGCAGTAGTCACAGTGTTATATTATTTTGTATCATAAAGTATTTTAAAATGTAAAGAGTTCTATACACATATCTTCTGGATACGTGTCCACTGTCACCCATTTACAGCCATGTTTTTTATATATATACACATACATACCACGTATAACCAAATTACCCATGAATGACATTTTGAATCGATGCCTTTGCAAAACAAATTTCAAGAGTTGGAGCACTAGGACCAGTCTTTATAGCAGAGCTAGTATCGTCTGCTTTAAAACCTCCTTCTTTCTTTTCATCTTACAGTATGTCACGATGGCCCTCAGTAGACAGGAGGCTGATAAGCCCCCTCTGCCGCTGGCTGGGGGTTGGTGTCGAAAGGGGACTGCTGGTAACTGTCGCTGGCAGTGGGGTAGGGTGGGTACGGAGTAGTGTGGTCGCTGCTTGGGTCTGTGTAGTTTTGACTAAAATCATCCACTCCTTGCCGGAACCTCTTCAGTGCTAAATAGGACAGGAGCCCCTGTTTCGGGTGGAAACAAAAAATGAATTTAAAACATTTTGCATGTATTAAAACAACAATCCTAAAATGCTGAAAAATAATTCTGATAAAGAGAAGAGTTCGGTAGGCTGGGAATGCAAAAGATCCCAAATAACCTCTTTACACTGTGTCCCCGGTGTCTAGAGTAAACCTGGGCTCGTCTGTACCCCACTGTCCCTCTTCCTCTGCTGCTTTTCACCTTATCGAACATGTGCATGCCATGACTTCTTGATTTTCCTTCAGGTGCTCAACTGCTAAATGAAATCCGATGCTGCTGAATCAAACTGTAAGCAATGTGTTCTTTTTGCTCTGAATGTTTTGACATTTAAATTAAACTCCGATTTGAGTTCAGACCCGGGTCACTTGACGAGCTGGCCCCTGGCACAAGCCCGCGTGATCTCGTGCTTCCGATTCCGAGACCGCGATTCCCCAAACAGGTGGCACTCAGCTGGCCAGGACCCGCTGGAGCGGGGGTGGGGTCAGTCATTCAGGGTGCTCTCGACTCTCCTCCCGAACAGCAACCCCTGTGACTTCCCAGGAGCCTGCAGGCTCGTGATGACGTCGCTGTGGAACCCGTAGCACACCGAGTGACCAGTGGCTTCAGCAGGTGCTCTCGCTGGGGCGGCATGCTGGAGTGTTCTCATTCTCTCCTGATGAGCGAGAGAGCTGAGGATTCTTTTGTCGATGCCGATTCCAAATCAGGTACAGAATTAATAAAATACTTAAAAAAAAAAACTAAACTAATTGTGCGATGAACAGAAACCTGCCCTTTACTTCTCCCTGCTGCATGCAAGCGAGTTGCTGTATCATATTTGTGGGATGTTTTTTTATTGCAGTGCCCCATTCTCCCTTCGCCTACAGGGAAGCTGGAAGCCCTGGTAAGAGCAGAGTACGTACCCAGGTGAAGATGGAGAAGAAGCTGAAGGTGATGCTTGCTCGGGCAGCGTCCCCTACCAAGTGCTCTTTCTCCGTGGTTTGAGACCACTGATTGGTCAGGAAGCAGAAACCCACAAACCACAGGAGTGTCCAGACGCCTGAGAGAAGGAAAAACACAGAATGAGACAGGCGCAGAAAGAAAGAGGAGATTTTCCCCAGCCCTCTACGGAAAGAGTCTCCAATCATGGTCCGTGGAGGGCAGGAGCCCACCCGGGTTTTCACGTCAATGAGTTAAACCGTCTTCTCCTCGTCCCGACAGCAAATTCTCCCAACTTGTCAGGGGGGGCCTCTTTAAAGAGATCAGAACCGAGATCAGGCCACCCCCAGCCCAGCCTGGGTCAATACCTCTCACGCCGCAACCCACACTTGCTCCTCTCTTCCGGTTTCTTCAAATTTACCGCTCGCCACGTCCCACTCAAAGCCACACACCCTGACCCTGCAGTCACGGCCCAGGCCAACCGCCAGCCTTGCCTTTTCCACAGCCCTCGTCGCGCCCCCCGTCACTCACTCCTGCGATCCGCGTGGCCCGGGCCCCTACCTGAGAAGGCCAGGTCCGCCACGACGATGTACTTCCTGTCGTTGGCGTTGCTGATCTGGGGGAAGTAGGCGTCCAGGATGAAGAAGGCCACGCAGCCCAGGAAGGCCAGCACGCCCACGCCCACGCCGTAGTGGCAGGCGCTGTCATTTCCGTTGAACATGCAGGACGTCTCCTTGTCATGCGCCGTGTTCACGTAGCCCTCTCCGGTGATGGACGCGAAGACCACGATGGCAAAGACCTGGACGAAGCAGAGAACGGCACTCGCTGTTTTAAGATCTTTTTATATCCCGGGGGTGGGAATGATTTGGCACTGACAAGTGCGTTTAAACCACACCGAGAAGTGAAATGCGCACAGTAACGTGTAAAATGTCCAATTGACATCACAAAATAGACTACATTTCCAAGCATGCTCGGCGCCATGTTCTGCGATTCAGAACGAGACAACGTAACATCTGGTGAGGTGAAGCAGCTCTTTTACATTGTAGACAAGCAGGCTTGTGCATCCATCTCTTTTAATCCAACAGCAATATTGCTCTCAGCTTTGGGATTTTGAAATACTACTTATTTGTTAACGCTGCACGCAAATCACGTTGGAACATTTCTGCGGTGAAACGTCTGCTGCCCAACCTGAACTTATTCGCTCGTCCATCACGTTAGTCATTACAGTGACTGGTGAGCAGGAAGGGCCGCATCACATTACGACTCTCGATCGCTCTCCCTCTCGCCCGTGGCGAGACCGGCGGTTTGGCACAACATGGCGACCACACGGTACTTTCCGAATCGAGCGCAGAATTGAGAACTTTGGGGAATTTTTAAAATCTTGCATTACCGTCAATTGATTTATCTTGTTAACGAGATTTAATAACCGGCCTGAGAAATCAGAACTGCAGCTCCCCTTTAAAGCAGCCATTGAAGCCAACAGTACCAGCAGGGCATCCTGCTGATAGCACTCTTACAATACAGCATTAGTAAAATACTGTGGGGTGCTTTCTGTGCAGCACAATGCTGGAGTGCCACAGACTGCTATAAACTTACCAGACAGGTCCGGTAACCACTTCATGACCACGGCACTCAGATTTTGGACATTAAAATCACAACATACGTTAAAAAGTTACGGGCCAGTACATAACAGCTAAATTCTGAACGGATTTCTCTTGGTCCTTTACCGAGTTAAATACGAGAAATTCTAAGGTGTAGATAAAACAGCTCATGTTTTATCTGAACAACCTTGCCTTTACTGGAAAGCACCTAGCTGTTTAATCCTTCAAATCACACTGATGTACCGCCTGGACAGGAGTGTTAGCGACAGTAAGGTTTCCATTTATTAACAATACTCGATTAGGTATGAAGAATTTTTCCCCTGCTTGATCTTTACTGGTGCGACTCGTGTGGCAAGACATACGAACTTCAGACCACGGCCGCAATAAAACCCAAGCGTGACCTAAGCTTTTCCACTTCCGTGGCGCCTCAAGGGGATTTGAGCAGCACCAAACGTCACGATCAGGTGTCAACCACAGCACCCCAGGGCCCGAGACACGGCGCATCACATGGGCACCTTGTTGCCACTACCGCCCACACCCCCGCGTGAAGAAACAGCACCAGGGGGATTTTCTGACAATTCCGCTGTTTGCCCTATTCTAGGGCAGATTTTTTTTTTTTAAATGCACGCCTAACGGAACCATGAATCACATGCACCGAGTGAAAAAACTATGCGGCCCAACATCATGCATCATGTGCAAGTCACCAATCCTGGCAGCGCGGTGACCCACGTATCGCATTTCCCCAGCTCTCTGCTCTTGTTTCTGTTTTCACAGGCCTGAGAGAGCACGGCCAGAGGGGCACATACTGTTCCACCAGGAATCACTTGTCCCTTCTTCCACTGGGACTGCGACCAGGCCAGGCTGGGGTCTGCTGTGCTCGTAGAATGGCCCCTTCTGTGTATTAAACGTTATTTTGTCAATGTCAACCCGGTATTCTGCAGTCATCCTGATCCACAGACCCGAGTTCAATTGTAAATTAGGAGGGTGGACACTTGGTAAGAACACCCAGCAGCTGAAAATCGACAGCCACGTTTTTCCTCTTTCTCGCTCTTTGAGAGCGGAACGGCCGATCTTGAGTCTGGGCTGTTGTCTTAGTCTCGGCTTCGCAGCCTTACACAACCCGGGAGCTTAAGCGATAACGAGACAGTTGCAGAACGAGGGATTAGTCAAGAACCTTACTGACAAAAACAGCCCTCTGTCCTCACCTTACGAAAAGATGCCGCATGTGGTCAAATGAGTCGCCTTGCACGGGGGCTGAAAATGGGCAGTATGTTGAAAAGACGCTGAAAGTGTTTCAGCACGTATTTCTGTGATAAAGTCCTCTGCCTCCCGTGTACACCTTTGAAAATGTATTATTTTAAATGATGACTATACAGTACAGTATATATTTCACTAACATGGGTGGTAATTGTTGATCACGGAAGAGGGTTTTCTGTCCCACAGGAAAATGATTAGTACCAATTTAAATACCATCTTTACCTGCCCAGGTGCTGTTAACAGGGCTACATCAAAAATATCTTATATCTTAAAAAAGCTGATGAATTCAAGATCTCTTTCCAAATAATGGACTTTGTGGGGGGGAGGATGTCCTCCTCAGTTTTGAGAAGTTTCTCAAAATATTATTTTTCAGTTTTGCTTCTGCAGGGGAAGTTTATGGGAAATAAACTGGACCATGATTTCAGATAAAACCCCCTTGTTCGACAGGCTAGTATGCTTTAGAATTCAAGGGTATTTCCAACATTTTTTTCAACAACAAAAAAATCTAATCATTTCCTTTACGTTGGTAGCAATAAGCAGCAAGTCCTCTGCCGAGCCTTGTGACACACACACACATTGATCTGGCCAAGCGTGTCAAAGCTGAAGGATTGCACAGACGTTAGATCACTAAACCCCCTTCAGAATTTTTCTGGAAAAACTCAGGCAAATCCGTTTCTTCCCGGAGGGATCATGTCCCAACTGTAACCTCACATATTACTGTAGCGTAGAGAAGTTTCTTCGCCTAAAGGAAAGCTTTGTACTATAATCGTGAAACGAATACCCTTCGTTATGCCCACCGTTTTGAAATTATCTGGATACAGTCTCATATTTTCAAAGTTACCAGAAAACACCCCTGTTTAACCCCCGAACAATCAACGACACCACGGGGAAAGCAACACGCAATACAAGCTACTGGTTTATAACAAATTAAAACGACACCCTGCAGGGTAATAAATTAATCTACCACCAAAAAAAATGCGTCTGCGCAGTGGAATTAAAACAAATATTTGCAAGAAGGGTGTGTTGAGCTACATTTTTAACCTGACGTAGTGTAACTGCCCGTTTTCTACGATACAAACTCGGCAATCTCCAATACTCTCTAATGCAAACAAATATTTGCAGCATAGGTCTTAAACTAAAAGAGGGAATATTTCACAAAGCAAAACTTCAATAAAAGGATTCCGTATTGACTTTTAGTTTTTGCATTTCATGTACTTGCAGTTAGAAGCCGGCGCACTACTGGCGTTGTAACATAAAATAAACACTTAGCTAACTGGTGCTGCGTATGTTTTGAACAGGTGTCTGATTTTTGAAAACAAGACGAACTTGGACACATCAGACGGCTGTGGATCACAGCGAAAATGAATCTGGAGCTCCATTTTCACAGACGTATGGTGCGCCTGGTTTTATACCATACAACGTAAGTGGATGCGAAACTTGAACCAAAGCGAAACGCAGACAACACTAAAACGATCCTCTTTTTTAGAAAAAAAAAATGCCTTACATAATCAGGCGAGGGCGATCGTTTATTTTGATTTCAAAGTATTTAAAGGAAAAGAGAAAGTCAAGGAACAGCTGTTTCACTCTTTCCTGCGACGAGACGCATAATTTAGGACCCGGAAAGTTTAATAAAACGAGCCTGTCGATTTTATTTTTAACAAAAAACGGGCCCCCCCTGAAAACGGATTTTTTTTTTAAATCCTACAACTGCACAACAGGTGGCTCACACGTTAGCTCATAAAACACACCGCCAGGACTCCGCAATACATTAGCTGTTACATTTTCTGAATCGGGGCATAAAGAAAATGCATACATTTCTTGTTTTTACCGGACACTCACCCAGCTTAAGAAGCGGATGATAGTTTGCGGCTGTTTCAGGAAAGTCGGGAAGTCAAAGGCACCCCCGGCCTTGGCCGCCCCGTAGGCACCCGTCTCCATTTTTTGTTTCAGCCCAGGTGTCCAGAAGTCACCGTCCTGAAAACTGCAATAAGCGTGCCGACTTCCTTGACAGGCAAAAGTTCTTCGTTTTCACCGTCGTTTCCTGAAACAGAAAGAAAACTCCCATTACGCGTGACAAGACCACGTCAGGACACCGCAATCTCGCAAGCGCCCTTAAATTAAGGAATCGTCTTCAAAGTGCCGCTCCACAAAAAAAGGGGATTTATAAAAGGCACTTGTAAAACACCTGCCTTCATTTCCAGACTATATAGCGCAGAATAAGAGATTTTGAAATGGAGTTGATATGTCCTCTTGATTTGAAATAAATATTTAGAATAAAAGTAGCTGTGCGCAAATTGAAAAAAAAAACACAATGCTGACACTTATTGGTGTTGTGTGCAATAAACATGGCCAGGCGTTAATTACACATTTTAATTTATTTTGCGGTTTTAAACCCATCGAAATTCTTTTGCGAAACTTTTTTTTTTAATGGAAAACCAAGCCATCGCTTCAGTTGCAAAACAGGCCCCAACTCGAAAGAACTGTTTGCACTTTACTTATGAAATGTTTATAGATGATCCCTTACTGGCATAATCTCTTTGATGTGGAACCGGATTCATATTCTGACCTCTCACAGCAACACACGTTAAAGTCAAACAAGTAAATGAACGTGACATTAAAAAGATATATATATATATGTAATGCGATTAACCATCCTTATTGTTTTACAAGACGGTATTATATAGAGTGATTTACAATGAATGCAAAGTTCAAAAAGTTGGTTTAAAATTTGTTGAATGGACTTATTTCCCTTAGCGCAGAAGTCTGGGTGTAGCTGAAATTTAGCCCGCTGTAATAACGACACATTATGCAAGGCCTGCTAAGGTCGTGCAGAATAAATCTCGTGGACTTTACTGCTGATTATCCAGAAGAGTGTATAAAAACACAATGCTTCAAACGGCTGCAAGAAAGCTTTCATTCCGTGAATTAATTACTGGGTCGCCAATTTCCTGTTATTGTAATGGGCTTTAATTACTGTCTCGAGGAACCACGCGGGGAGCTGCTGACCGCAGATGACCAGAAGGGCTCCAGACCTGCTTTCGCTGTTGTAAATAGAATATTGATTTAACACTCAAGACACCATAAGCGAAAAGTTCAGCGCTGGGATTTTTGACCTTTTCTTTTAAATGCTTGAAAGTTTTTATTCCTTTTGTATTCTTCTGTTCCCTTGAGGCGCACGGCTCTGAAAGCAGATAAATATTTGAACAAGGCCTGACATGAGAAAGACTAGTTTTACAGCTGCAGTTTTTACATTCAATTACCACGAAACAGTTCCTGTTCAGTATTTTACAACTGTTCATGAGATGTTTTTCTGGTCACAGATAAAAAGGCCACATTCATTTCACCTTTTTTTTCCCTAGCATTTATTAGCAGTGCTAATAAAGTTTATCCAACAGTGCTGTTGGATTTGTCCTGCCTACCTTCTGTGTAGACAATCATCCAGCTTATCCATTTTCTAACCTCTTCATCTATTTTAGTGTCGCGTTGGAGCAGGAGCCTAGCCTGACAAGCAACAGTCACAAGGTGGGGTACCCACAAGGTGGGGTACGCTAGTCCATCACAGGGGCACACACAGACACAGACACGCACACACTCACACCAGGGCCAGTTTACCCAGGAGCCAATGAAACTACTAGTATGTCTTTGGAAACTGGAACACCTTAAGGAAACCCATGCAGAACATGCATACTCCACACAGATAGCACCCCAAGACAGGAATCGAAACCAGGCCCTCAGTGCTGCTAAGCAGCAATGCTAACTAAGCAAGTCTTTTCTCACAAATAGCAATGTAGAAAAAAACTCTTGCAACAAAATGAGCGGCTTCAGCCCCAGGGATAAACACACAGTGTGTTTAACGTACAGTACTGCGGTTAGTTAATTATTGACTGCTTTTGTCCTCACAGTCATGAACGAGACTTTAATATTCTCAGGTCTAAAAGCAGCAGGTGTCTCCTATTTGCCTCTCCCTTCACTTATCAGCAACGTTTTCTTTGTGTTATTACACCTCCACCTTTATCTGAGGAGCCGTGGTCAGTAAAATGCCCTGAAGCAGTGCAGTCTTGTCCAGAAACCAGACTGCCCGGGCGAAGCTCACAGACCTGTGTGTCCCAGTCCTGCTCTAATCCAGCTCCAGATCAGAGCGAAAGGAGAGACAATGAAGTCTGGAGATTTCACATTGGTGTGATTTTTGGAGAAAATGTGAACAAGCAATATCTACCCAGACCCTGCCAGCAGCTACTGTATATTACCCTGCAACCCATAACTAGCCGCCCACTGAAGCTCAGCCAGTTTGAACCTGGCCAGTAACTTGGTGGGAGACCTCCTGGCCAGTAGGGGGCACTCACAATGCTGTCTGTGTGGGTCCTGATGCCCCAATATAGTGACTGGGACACTATACTGTAAAAAAGGCGCCGTCTTTCGGATGAGATGTAAAACCAAGGTCCTGACTCTTTGGTTATTAAAAAATCCCAGGGTGTTTCTCGAAAAGTGTAAGGGTGTTACCCTGGTGTTCTGGCCACATTTCTCCCCTGGCCTTTATCAATCATGGCTTCCTAACAATCCCCATCTCTGAACTGGCTTTATCACTCTCCTCCCCACTGAGAGCTGGTGTGTGGTGAGTGTTCTGGTGCACCATGGCTGCCATCGCTTCATCCAGGTGGTGCTGCACATTGGTGGTGGTGGAGGGGAGTCCCCATTACCTGTAAAGCGCTTTGAGTGGAGTGTCCAGAAAAGCGCTAAGGAAGCATGTAAGGATTTGTTTTATATTATTGCATTGTTTGACTGGAAAAGAGCTGCTTACAGTATATAGCTTTTTGACTGGCTCTGTTTGTTATTAGACTCAGCTCATTTTCTTAGTAGTTTGTGTTCAGACTAATCTTTTGGTTACAGAGATTATACAGTGTTGGCAATTTCTGGGCAGTTGGTAAAATGCTGACATTATAATATTGCCAGTAATCTGGCTAAAAGGCAGATTCTAGCTGCACACTGGCATTGCCCATACTGTGAGGTACTCTGGATCAGTGTAATTTGCTTCTGTGTAGGTAGGAAATTATCAGGCAATTCAGCCAAAGTGCACTGAAATTAGGACAATGGAACCGGGGAAATTTCCACTGTACAGAGTACTCTGATGAAGTCCAGCCCTACAGCATTATGAAGTGTGCGACACACCCCCTCCTCTGTGGATTTACAATGCTCTCACCTGGGAGACACCTCTGTGCCCCTAGGTGTAATAGAAATTGACTTAGGAAACCATTCCCTCTACTGTCGCATTCATAAATAATGCAAAATTGTTTAATCTCTTTATCTCTTTATTTAAAAAAAGAAATAATCAGCTTCTCTTTGTTGGTGATTATAGATTTTGTTGTATTATTGTGTTGGACTCTGAGGCAAAACAAATTTCCCGTAGGGGACAACAAACCCTGAATTGAAAAGCATTGAATAAGCAACAATAAGCTTGCAGCATACTGTCAAAACATATTTTTTTCACCTTAGAAATATCGCTAGACTATGTCCTATTGTTATGCCCTGAAGCTCTGGAACGCTCTCCCCAAGGATATCAGAGAGTCACCTTCTCTAAACCCCTTCAAATCCAGACTCAGAACCCTCTTCTACAGAAAAGCCTTTACTGAACTGGTTCCATTCTTCACCCCTCTGCTTTTCTTAGTACCACCATCCATGTCTCCTCTGTATATTATAATTGTGTTTTATCTTGTGTATTCTTTTTATTTATTGTTGTTGTCATCCTGTAAAGCGCTTTGAGAAGCCACCTTTAAAGGAGCTATATAAAATAAAGTTGATTATTATTATTATTATTATTATTATTATTATTATTATAATATAATAACTGAATCTTCTCTCTGCTGTGAATCTTTCAGGCCCTCGTCAGGCAACAGGTCGTGTTTGCGTGTAGCGCCCTCTGCTGTTTACTGTAGCACATTTCAATCTTCGGAGGTGCGCAACTGTTGGGAAAAGTCTCTAAATGCGGCCTTTGCAGAGTGATTATTGCCGACGACATGCTTATTGGTTCACGATGTATTAATTATCCGGCAGTATTAAGGCTGATTGCAAGATTTATGATTGTTAAAATACACGGCAGTTTATTTTCATTTCCTTGACAAGAAGCGCTGGTGTTATTGTATTGTGTCGTTGCGCTGTTTAACCATCCAAAGGCATAGAACACAGTCTGCTTCTTTCAGGTATCCAATAATAACAGCTGCAACTGGTAACTGAGATAATTAATTACTACTTTTATTCGCATTATTTAATAAATTGCATTTGTAGTCAGCATTCCTCATAATACCAGCAAAAATTGGTATATTATTAAACATAATACTTGCACAGAGAATGTTCATTTTATGTAATTTAGTCTTTGTTTTTGTTTATAGGACTCTTCAGTTTTTTCCTTCCATTTGGCATATTGTATATTTCCTGTTGACTGAGCACTGTGATTGCATTTTAGAGTGGTTTCTAAAGGAACATGTTGTACTGTATATTATTAAAGTTGCAGTGTATTGATGAAAGTTGCTCAAACAGGTAACCAAACAACCAACCAAAGAGGTAACAGTATTACACAAAAGTTGTGCGTAAGGTTTCAGCTGTGTTTTAGAAAAGAAAGCCTCTGTTTAATCATTTTTGTATGCTTCTGAACAGTACTGTCAATTCATATACTAGACAAATTTTAACTTATTTAACCTTGAGCTACTTTACTTGTCTGACTTTGGTATCACAATGGCAATGAGAGCAAGCATGAATCCTGGATGGTAAATAAAGTTTGTGCCCTTTGATTGTACAGATGTGTTTATTCACATTTATATAGCAATGTTATAGGGACCGGGGTGGTAACAAGCAAAGGCTTCACAGTACAGAAATTAATTTGCATGGTATTAGTCCTTTATAAAGACATCACCTATATATACAATTGGTTGCTGTTTGGTGATTGTGGCTGTTCTACCTCACTCGGGTGAAGGACGTATTTCACTATATATGTAAAGCTGGGATCGTTTGACATGAAGGGTGCTGTATAAATACCATTACCTACACATATACTGTATACATCATGAAGCTGCCAGAGCTAATTAATATTCCTATTCATATGATACGTTGTGACTTCTGCTCGTTTTAAAAAAAACACCACAGCCTTGTAAAATGTTCCTCAACCTCAAGATATCCAGTACATAAACACTTGCAAGCCAAATTCAGTTGTCCAATACTCGAGTGGTAGGATTTTGATTTTGACCGGGCTAAATCGAAATTTTGATCTAGGTCAGATTTGAGCCTTAGAGTACAGTTTTCATCATGATCTTCACCATCTTCATCCCTTTTTTTCTTGATTCCCTGATGGATGAGGATCTCCTCGGCTTCAGTCCACAATATGAACTCCAGTCATTAGCTGCCCACTCTGTTCCAAATTGTTCCCGCTGCCTTCCAAAACATTTTTGTTTTATTTTTTTGCAGCCCATTGCTTTTCACACCATGGTACTGTCTTCTAAACTACTCTCAGATACTTCGTCGATCTAAGAGGAAATAAAACAGAGGGATAAAAAGTAGTGAACACGGTGTAGCCTACCTTTCTGTGAACAGATCTCGCGATAGTCCTGCCTGGAGAGGTGAGGCTGCAATTTCTCTTTATGTCCACAAAAACCTCTTCTGGTTTTTGGTCGGCCTAAGCCTTTGTTTACATTGATGTCATTTTTCTTTTTACTTATTCTAATGAACACAGTTGCTAGACACCTCGTTTAGGCTATGCCAGAGTGCACGTATATTGTAGTAAAAGACAAAGCTGTCTTGAGAGGGATGAAGCTCAGTCTCATGACCCAGCATTCCCAGCAGGCTCGGCACCCAGAAATAGGATAAGGAAAAAAAAGGCTTGTACAGCACATGGGCAGATGAGCCCAGTGTTACTGAGTTTCCCACTCGCCTGCTCCTGCTGCTCCTGCTGCTCCGTTTCCAAAACCCTCTTCTCCCCTGTCTCCTCGCTGATATGCACATCAGATCTGCGGCAAAGGTAAATCTTGATGTTAGGAAATCTTGATGACTCGGAAATCCACTCAAAACCTTAATATTATTATTCCTAATAATAAATTCTGAACACTAATATAGCACTTTTCTGGACACTCCACTCAAAGCGCTACACAGGTAATGGGGACTCCCCTCCACCACCACCAGTGCGCAGCTCCACCTGGATGATGTGATGCCAGTACTCTCACCACACACCAGCTCTCAGTTTTATGTCTCATCCAAAGGAAGTTTAGCTCATTGAGCCCTAAAATTGAACTGATTCTTTGCTCCTAAATAGTGGAACGTTGCTGGAAATTTACACAAGACAGATGCTGGTGACAACTGTGAAACTGTCTTTTCACTCAGGTTCAAGTACAGCTCTGGGCATTTATACTGTCTTACTCACCCAGACTCCTCTGGTTTCCTTTTCTTTCCTAGAAGACAGACAAGCAGCATTAATGACGTATCATGGTAAGAATATTAATAATTCCTTACAGTTACATAGAGCTGTTCAAGACATTCCACTCAAAGCGCTTTACAGGTAATGGGGACTCCCCTCCACCACCATCTGGATGATGCTACAGCAGCCATAGTGCACCAGAACACTGTGATGAAGAGTGATGATGATGAGTGATGAAGCCAATTCATAGATTAGGAGGCCATGATTGGTACACACCTAAAGGAAATTTGGCCAGGACACCAGGGAAAACATCCCTTCTCTTTTTGAGAAACACCCCGGGATTTTTAATAACCACAGAGAGTCAGGACCTCGGTTTTACGTCTCATCCGAAAGACGGCGCCTTTTTACAGTTTAGTGCCCCCGTCAGTATACTGGGGCATCAGGACCCACACAGAACGCAGGGTGAGTGCCCCCTGCTGGCCCCACTAACACCTCTTCCAGTCGTAGCCTTAGCTTTCCCAGGTGTCTCCCCTCAGGTACTGACAAGACTCACACCAGCTGAGCTTCAGCAGTAAATTGCAGAGTGATATGGCTGCTGGCTATAATGTGATCTGCAATGACCTTACTGACACATCACTAACTGCTATTGAGAGGACTGATGTTTTGATAATGAGTTTCTATTAGTCTGTTAGTTTCTATTACCATATAGTGTATCATCAGGTCCTGCAGGGCTAGTTATCTAGTCACCTAAATAAGAACAAGGCTGGTATGGGGTGGTATAGATCATGTTCTTCTCTGCGGTGTTGTTAATAAAGAATGAGTGTGGTGAACTGTACCAAATACTCAATTCGTTAGCTAAACTTGGAAATGACCAATATTACAAGAGGCGAATTCAATGCTGAAAAGGAAGAAGAGAAGAAAGGATGCCAGGTTTTAGCTATGGGCTCAGCAATGCAAAACATTCTTTAACTTTTTCATTATACTCTTGGGTGTGAAACAAACCTCTGCATGATCCTCTGCAGCTCGCACACTGCTACATCTCTTTGCTCGAACCTCTTCAAGCTTACAGATATAGTAATATCCCATGCTCTGCATTTTCAATAGCCGAAAAAGCAGTATTGCAGTTGCTTTTTTTTTGTAAATCTTTCATTTTGATATGATTTTGTCAGCTGGCATGTTTCTGTGGGTGAACGACTGACATGCCAGGCCTCTCAAAGGACTGGCACCCTGTCCAGAGGAAAGGGCAGTCCAATGCCCTCAGTACTTCTTTGCACAGTAGGTTTCTGGTGTAGGTACCCCTTGCAGGACGAACTGCTTCCTGATAACAGCAGGACGACTCTTTTTACTATTTAAAAAACCTTGTAAAACACTGTAAGAGCTCACTACAAAACCACATTTGGTAGTTATTAGTGGCACATCGATCTTTAGTTTTAAATTTCCTACAGATATCTGCATCCTCATTTTCTTAATGGGAGGTGCTGGTGTCATGGTATGAACTGGGTGTTAGTGAGTTTCCAGGCACTGTGCGGCGTGAGGTGAATGATGGACAAACTCACTGCGTAACAGCAGAAAGAGACAGCAGGTGGCCACTGTGATTATAAGGAGGATGAAGCCGCTTAGCAGCACCGCAATCACTTCAACAGACATGGGCTTAAACTCTGTAAAGAGAATAGAGGATTCTGTGAAAGTCGGCTCTGATTACCAGAGATCAGTATAGTAACTTAAAGAGCAAAGTGTCATTAAGTGCACCTCTTCAAGTTTATATATACATCTGTGAAATACATCTGATGTAATATCACTGAGTCTTGCAGATTATAACATTTCGCACGGTAAATCAAGTTTAATATTACTACCAACTGGAGTAAAAATGAAATATTGTTACAAACTGGATCTCCTGTAATTATTTACATAAAATGCATTTATACAGATAAAATGACAAAGTACCTCTTGGATTAACAACAAATCCTTTGGTGACTACTCGGTGAGTAAAATCAAACTCATCGCTGGCCTCGCAGTGATAGGACCCCCTAACAGTTGGGATTAAACAGGACACATTGTGGGACCCGGTGTACTCCAATATGGAAAGACTGTCAACTCTTTTCTCTAAGGGGAGTCCATTTAAAAACCAGGTAAACTGGGGGAAGGTCCCTCTCTCCACAGAACAACAGAGTCTTGACCACAGGACTGTGCCATTGTCTTCATAGAAGTGCTCAGTTTGTAGTCTCCCTTCACCCCCAACTAGGAACAAGTGCAAAAAAATAAAAACACACATAGAAAGAAGTCAAGTCAAGAATAATCCATAGTTGTATGTACCAGCATGAGAACTCCCAGTGCCCCCCACCAGAGTGCTTGGAAACTTTTCTTCCTCATTCAGTGAGCAAAACCATTCAGCCTGTTTAAACAGTACAGAGCCAGGAAGGAACCTGCCCTCTATTTCCAAATCTCTGCCTTGACTTTTCTCAGTGAATCCTGGACCACCCTAGGTCATTCCCTTTAAACTCTTCCCATAGAAGTCTCCTACTTATCCAAGCCCAAGGCGATCATGCAAAAGAATCCCCATTCAAGGTCGCAGGGGAGCCAGAGCCCATCCTGGCAAGCAGCGGGCAAAAGGCCAGGTACATCCTGGACGGGACACCAGTCCATCGCAGGACAGACACACGGACACACACACACTCACACCAGGGCCAGTTTCACAGAAGCCAGTTAACCTTCCAGGATGCGTTTGGACTGTGGGAGGAATTCAGAGCACCTGGAATTCCATACAGTAGAACTCGTATTTAATGAGAACAATTTGTAATTCACATGAGGTGTGCAGCATTCTGAACAATAGTATATAGCAACAGAAAAGGGTTCATGTCATGTCCTCACCTGCGTCCAGCCTCACAGATGTATTTGACTGGAGCTGGGTTACCTCATTCTTTGCCTCGCAGTATATTGCCCCCATGCGCACAAGCTGGGTGAGAGGCACAGTGAACAAAGCACTCTGCTCCTGTGCTGTACGGCTGTAAAGCCCATTGGTCTTATTGTAGAGCGAGAAGGTGATTGGTGGGCTTCCTCTGGTGGAATTGCAGGTTATGATGGCTTGGAGTGTCGAGGCTTCCTTTGTCACGGTGTATGAGATTACTGGTTTGGACAAGGGCACTTTAAGAAGACATTGACAAGAGAGAATTCAGTAATAATTCATGTTCGATGAGAACTTTGGAGAGTATGGAGAGCTTTCACAGCTGTGCGATGGAGACAGGTTTGTTGTCACCTTACCTTTGACTGCGACGACCAGGTCATTACTTGTGGAAGAGTACTGATGAGTTTCATTGATCCCGTTGCTTGCTATGCAGAAATATGTCCCAGCTTGGCGGTCGACGATTTTGTCAATAATCATCTTGTTTTCGACAATTCTGTGGTCCAATGAGTCTGGAATTGGGCTCCTGTTGAAGTACCACTCATAAAAGAGATGGGTACCTTCAGTCACCTTACAACTCAGGGTCAGCTTTTCACCCTCTAAAAGATCAGCTTGATCTGGCCCCGGGTCAGACTCGAGTCTCACTCCCTTAACAGGAACTGCAAGATACCATAAATACCGTCAAACACTTCAGCAAATGATCTTATTAAATTAATGTAATCAAGCAAACGTTTTCACTTCTCTCTGCTTCATCGTCAACACTTTATGTGAGTAAAATAGCAGCACTACATTTGTCACTATCCAAAGCGTGAAAGCATATGTGTCAGCTCAATGCAGTGTTCTGGATTTCAATGAGAAAAATGCACACTTGGCTTTTACTTACTTATAACCTTCAGCCTGATTGTACTGCTGCTCTGAGGCTCGATGGAGGTGTTGTTTTCCACAAAGGCGTTACAGTAATAAAGTCCTTCAGAAGTGGTTTTGACAACAAGGTTGAATGTAGCTGTTTCATTTGTCAAGGAAGTATATTCTTGAGCTTTTTCCTTCTCACCAGCTTTCAGAAACTGGTAAGTAACTGTTTCTTGTATTGGAGGTGACTCACAATTAAATTCTACAATTTCACCCAACAGAGCTTCTTTTGGTCCCGAGAATGTCGGGTTCTCCAAAACTGAGGCACCTTAAAGAATGAACACGGGAGTGAACAGGTCATTCAGTGTGCTGACAGGCTGACAGGATGAAGTTGTACAGCTGCTTAGGTGGTGTCATAGCAATAACCTGGACTTGAACATAAAGAAAACGAAAGAGCTAATAGTGGACTTTCGGAGACACAGGCCACACACTCACAGCCCACTCAGTATTGATGGAACAGAAGTGGAAACAGTCACCAGCTTTAGGTTTTTGGGAATTCACATCTCTAAAGATCTAACCTGGACTGTGAACACTGACTCTATCATGAAGAAGGCTCAGCAGCGCCTTTATTTCTTGAGGTGTCTCAAGCGATGGGGGATGCCAATACATGTGTTGGTGAACTTCTACCGCTGCACTATCGAGAGCGTCCTCACCAACGGGATCACCGTGTGGTATGGCAACATCTCTTCGCGAGAAAGAAAGGCACTGCAGAGAATGGTCAATATGGCCCAGAAGATCATCGGCTGCGGTCTCACCGAGATTAAACAGCTCTATGAGGACCGCTGCCGTGGTGGAATTCTGGCCATCACAGAGGACAGTCACCACCCAGGGCATGAGCTCTTCACCCCACTGCCCTCAGGCAAGAGATATAAGAGCATACGGACACTTACCACTAGATTCTTCAATAGCTTCTATCCACAAGCACTCAGACTGGCGAACACATTTAGCCATCCCCCTCGGACCACACCCACACCATCACCATCTACCTCATTGTAATTTATTTATTGTACGTCTCCAGTCATTGTTTACACGTCTGTATTGTGTACATTCAATCTGCCTGCATGTTTACTTGCACATTGTCTATTGTTTGTTTGTACATTGTCTTGATGCACTGTTTGCACTTTATTTTGTTTTTTTACACTTGTTTTACAATCGAGAGACTTTCTGTCAGTAAGAATTCCATTGTACCAGTACCGGTTACATATGGCAATAAAGTTCAAGTTCAAGTTCAAGTTCAAGTTCCACTACACTAACACACCCTCTCACTGTGATCACTTAAAACAAAAGTGCCCATCTCAGGTGACACTTGGACAGAATACATGATAGTATTTCAGCAAACAATTCCTGCAAAAGATTTCTAACAGGTGGCTTTTAATCCCTAATTATCTTTGTGTTATAAATGAGAAATTAAAATGTTTCATGTTTCGTTGAGGGAAACATTCCCTGAACTGTGTACTCTACACTAATTAATATTAAGTTTTAATGCTACTGAGTAATAAGTGTGAAACATTTTAACAGTACTTACTCATCTCAGAGCATAGATCCACCAACACTGAAAAATAAACAATAAAATAATGTACTAACAATTTCTAAGTTGTAACTGTATGAGTTTACACTAGCACTACAAATTCTCTTTCAAATGTAAACAGCCTGAATGACATCATGGATGGCACATTGAGAAGCTGAGTAAAATGTAATACTGTAGAACTGGTAGTTGCTAAACAAGGAATTTGAATTAAAAACGACAGTCTGTTTTAACATTTCCTTTAAATTTCTTGTACCTACTGGGTGTCTGAAATAGAATGACCATAAATATTATATTTTTTTACTAGAGGTCTTAACAAACAGCTACTTTTGAACAGCTTTTTTAATACTGTATGTATGATATTTTTAAAACATCAAATTCCGACACTTTTATTTTTAATTATTCTCTACAGTGTTGCTCAGTACTGTATGCTGACTAGTATACAAATTCTCTATTCACCAGGGATTTACTTGAAGAAAGTCAGTTATATCTTCATGACTGAGGCTGACTGAGAGATAAAATCATTTTTCTCGCCCTTTGCTTTGGTGAGAGGACACACTAAAAACACAAGTAAGGGGGAAATCAGTTTCCCGTTGGTTCTCTCGTTAAAATAACTGAATCGCTCCCTTACCCAAGATCAGCACGGTATGTCCAAGAGACTTCATCTTCCTCCGTTTGTCCTGGGACTGTCCCATTCAAAAGTGATCTGGACCCAAGTCCTTGCACTCAGTAATGAATTATAAATGACAGTTGAATTCCTCCCCACCCAAGACTGTGCACGTGATAAAGGATGTGCCTTCCATGTGCACTGCAGAGATAGCAGCAGTGTGTCTTTCAGAGTTCACAGCCAATACGAAGACAGACAAATACTGTGTAAAAAACCCAAGAACAACCTTAACAAATACTGCGTTCTTACAAAACTTAAGGATTAAATTTAACTTTAAATTTTTTTAATTAAAAAAGTAATGGCATGGTAAAATAAAAAAGGCAAAGGCTAACCCAGACAGAGAACGGCGCTTCTCAAGAATCCCCAAAATGATTTGGAAGAAGGTATCTGCCACACCTCTGTAGGAATATTTTTTATTTCTCAGTACTGGTAGCCCACAAGCTAATTAGAACATTGTGTTCTGTAATTATGAGCAACCCTTTTTGCTTCCAGAATTACCAATATTTTGCTGTTTCACACATATTAATAAAAATACCCTTTCTTGAAAAACCTTTTTCTGAGTATATCTTCCGGTTCTACTACCCGATAGAGCAAAATGCGAAGCCCTTTTCTTCTTCTTAATTTTTAATTACATATGTAATTGCAGCTGGTCTTGCAAAAACAAAAAGCCCTGGGAGCCAAATACTGTAGTTTGTCTCTTGTGTTGTGGTCAAGCAGAGCATCTGTCTCACTGCCCCTAGTGTGAGTGAGCGTGTCTGTTTCTGTGTGTGCCCTGTGATGGACTGGAATCCACTCTGCATTGTGTATGTGACTTGCCATCTTAGGCTCCAGTGCCCCTGTGACCCTGAACTGGATGAGGTGGTTAGAAAAGTGAATGGATGTTCTGATTCTGCAGCCAATGTTTACAACACATAAAGCACACCCTTTGTTAAGTCTTTGGGCGTTGTGGAGTCTCGGTGGCTAAGGCCTGTGACTGGAAGGTTACTGGTTTTAATCCCGCGGCTGGCAGAGGAATCATACTCCATTGGGCCCCTGAGCAAGGCACTTAACCCCAACTGCTCCAGGGGTGCCATACAAATGGCTGACCCTGCACTGACCCCAAGCTTCTCTCCCTGTCTGTGTCTCATGGAGAGCAAGTTGGGGTATACGAAAAGACAAATACCTAATACAAGAAATTGTATAGGCCAATAAAGTGTTCTTCTTTGGTCTGACACTTGCACAATAAAGAGACTATATGCTCTAGTTAGAATTTTTTATAGTCCTCTTTTTAATTATTTTATCAATTCTGCCTTATATAGGAAATAACTAAATATCTATCCAAACACTTTCTTTTGCACAGTAAGATACAGTCAGGTATTTACAGTATTGCATTGGATTAATTAGAAAGGCTTACATCTATAGATCTATTTCATTACAATGACTTACTGTAGATTTTACAGGTGTCAGACCATGAATGTGTTGTATCAGTGTTCTTAAGAACATGAACACAACCACTGGTCAAACGTCAGACCTCTTAAATTTAAATTTATTAATGGTGTAGAACACATGTTGATTTCTTGAGTTGATAACTCAAGCTGTGCACGAAAAGACGGGAAAGTTGTTTTTTATGAAGTAAAGACACAAAAGCAAATGTCTTCTGTCTGACATGGTGATGCAGGTTCTTTCCACGTCTCCGTTTTCATGTTTCAGCACGTTGCTGTAGTTACAGGAGCTTCTTTGCACGCAAGATCAGATGACGGCTCTTCAAGCTAGACAGAGAACAGAAAGGAAACGAAAAGACTGAGCCCACAGCAACTCACAGTGCACACTTTGTCGGAGAATCGGCCCTGTGTGTGCTGATGCCATGAAGTGGAGAATAGTAACCACACTTTGATGAACCTGGATGTTAAATCATGTTGACATCTTCCTCAGCTGATTCCCCAGGCTCGCTCCATTCACCTTTGGAGCGGTGAGTGTTATGAATGGTGGTCTTTGACTGTCCATTTTCGGACCCTAGGCCTGACGGCAGGAACGGATTACAGACTCCGGAGGCAGATGTCAGGGAAGACACACAAGGGTTTGTTCACACGAACCAGGTGACAAGTGATTTGCCGTGCAGGCGTGACAATGTGACAACCTGTCAACCTGATTTACGCCTTAAATGAAGAAAACGAGATAGATCGGGTCTCAGAGCGCCCCCTGGAGGTGGGATGTCTACCATGACACGTGAGGCTGTCTCTGGGGGAGGTGTTCTTTAGAGCCTCAGTGGCCAAGTTTGTGGTGGAAAATGATTTGTATGTGGTGCTGGTGGTGCTGGTGGTTTAGTGGTTGTCAATGCTGAACAGATGAAACACTTTACCTGCTCCTGGGCCTCATTCTCTAACATAATCTGTTTGACTTGTTTCCTTGCTAGTGGGAAAGGCTGTCAGCCCCAGTGAGTAGGATCTGTCATAGAAGAGAACCTGTTAGAAATCTTAACTTTCAAAGCTAGAGGCAGTTCTGTATACCCATAAAAGAGAGAGTTGTTTAGCTGTAGAGTGAAAAGTAATGGGTAAAATGAGTCCTGTATCGTTAGTTGACTGGTAGACAGACAGATGGATTCAAGCCTCTCATTCCTTACGTTTGGCTAAAGAAACAGGTTTTAAACAGTGAAAAGAATGCAGATTAACCAAAGACAAAACAGTCTCTGTAATTCAGAAGATTAAATAAGAAGCCCTAGGATGCCCTCCAAATCAATTTGTACTTAATTGAAGAGGATACCACTCTACACAGACGGCACAGGCGCTGTCATTAGTTCACACTCAGGGAATCTCGGTGCAGGGTAGTGAGAGATGCTCTGCACTGAGCCCTGAGACACCATATCACTCGCTAGACACCATACCTGTCTCACTCACCTGGGCCTCCTGGCATGCTCTGGTCCTGGAAGACAGATAAGCAGTGTTACTCACCACTGTCCAAGACTATGAGTGTGAGTCCACTGGGCAGACTAGTTACTGGTGAGCGAGGGCGGCACAAGTCAGACTAGGAGTGAAAAGTCACTTTGAAGTGTCTGACAAGAACAGCAGCGAAAGAGCCAGCAATGCCACAGGCCAGCCCCCAAGCACAGGGGGCTTGCTTTGAAGAATCCTGGGGAGTGACAGCACTGTGACAGCCTCACCTTATTTTAACTTTGAATGAAATCATTTTGCATTATACTCTATACTCTTCAGGAACAAAGGGAGAGCTGGACCCTATCCCAGCAGGCAGTGGGCACAAGGTAGAATACACCTTGAATGGGGCTCCAGTCCATTGTAGGGCACACAAAGAGCAGGGCCAGTTTCCCCAGAAGCCAATTTACCTACCGGTACGTTTTTGTACCATGGGAGGAAACTGGAGCACTGGGAGGAAATCCACTCAAACGTGGGAAGAACATACAAATTCCATGCTGGTAGCAGCCTGAGACTCGAACCCAGTGCCCCAGAAACCAAATGATCGCTTAAATTTCAATTTCTGTTCGGGCAGTGCCTGAAGGAGGGCACAGGGTATTGTCTCCTCCACCTCCTCCACAACCGCCTGGAAGAATTTTTAAAAAGACACTCGCTCACACCCAGTATTTCTGAGAGAGAGGTATCCTGTCCCGAGAGAGAAGTATTTTGGATTGCGAATGAGAAAGTTGACAACAGTTCTACTACAGAGAAAGAAGAATTTATTCTCTAATTACAGCAGTATATCAAAATTCTACCAATGACAACGTGTCGTCTACCCTAGTTCAGAGTGTAGCTTTGTCACACATTACCTTGATAAGATATCATACAGCTGCAGATTCTGCCTTTTCCCTGACTTTGGTGTCTGTCCATAATGCATACAGTGTGCTAAATTAAGATACTTTACTAGCACACTTTTTAAAGCGAGTTATACCTTTGTGTGTTTCACGCGCGGGACCGAGTGATATTGTGTAGAAATATTGAAACAGGTTGGTAGAGGAGGAGATAAACTTACTGCTCCGGAGTCGGACGACACAGCAGGCAGCCACCAGAACCATGAGGAAGAGGAAGATGCTGAACACTATAGCAATCGTCTCCATGGAGAAAGGGTAAACATCTGTGAAGACAATGGAGCCAAGGCTGTTGGAGAGGAGTGCAGAGCAGGCCTGAGGGCCACCATGAGGCAGGTGGAGTAGGAAAAAATACGGTCCAACACTGCATTCAACACTTGCTGAGAAACTGTACCCCTTCAAGCACATGCAATAAATGAATGCAGGCTTGACATGATTCATCTTTTTAAATGGCTAATTTTGGGCAACCCCAATCAAGATGAAGCAAAAGGCAGAATTATTTCCGAACCTTGGAAGGTGTGTGAGACACCTAATACTTATGATTCAGTGAGGATGGGACTGGGGCTGTTCCTCTGAACGTCCATTAAGAGCTCTGTAACTACGGATGAGTCGTAATAACGCCATGAACGCTCCATGAAAAGACTGTACAATCAGTGTTTATTCCCAAAGAATCCAGAATGAAGGCTGTTTTATTACAAGCAGCAGGTCCATAACAACAGTCCCGTGCCTCTCTCACAGACTGCGAGAGCGCCTGAGCTCTTCAGGAGAGTCATTCAATGTTGTAAGGCTTTAGGTTTTAAGGCTCGGTCACTGAAACAATTTAGACAGGGCTAACCGCATGAGAAACCTCTTGTGATTTGAACACATAGTATTTTATACACTAATCAGAAAGAATATTCTTACAAAACACACAAAACAGGCAAATCAAATCAAAAATAGAATAACTAATGAATTATTGTTTACTACTATATATTTTCACGAATGAGTGAATTTTGAAAGATCTTTAGTACCTCTCAATTCAATAGAACGAGGAACGCTCCTTATCTGCTGAGTGTCATCAAAGCTGTCGCTGGCCGCGCATTGATAGGAGTTGTTGTCCGTTGAGACAAGAGGGAACAGGATGAGGGATCTGCCCTGCTCCATTACAGCGTGAAAATCGCCCTTCTCCGGCACCTGGGATCCATTGAAGAACCAGGAGAACCTGGGAAAGCTCCCTCTCTCCACAGAGCAGAGGAGTTGTACCCCCACAACGCTGAAGTTCTCGTCAAGAAGCTGGGTCACCTGGAGGCTCACCTGCCCGCCGACTGGAACTGAGGGCATGAAGGAAAACAGTGGAAGGTGAGTGAATGAACGAATGAACCACGATCTCCTGCAAATGCCATGACGTAATTAATACAGGTACGTTAAAAAAATTGCACCACTTTCACATCTTAAAAGGTTTTCACACCCAGAACTGATTCGCAAATGCAACAAAAGTTTCTACAGTCGCTTCAGACACTACAGCTGGATGAATTTACACGGAGAGCAGCAACACATCCTCCACAAAAATCACTTTTCTGCTCATCAGGATCCTCATCCACTCTGATTAAGAGATCATGTTAATTTGATTGATTCGTAGGCAACATTCAAGACCAGTGTTTTTGGTCTTTAATTGAAGAGACGTTTGGTTTACGGCCGTCTCCACTCAACATGCAGTTGGATTATTTCGATGGAAATAAAAAATCTAACTAAGCTTGCAACCGAAAGCATTCATTTTAATTTACAACCAAGCTCTTATTAAATGTCTTTACTTGTATAATTAATGTATACTAAATGCATACTTTTGTATACATAAATGTGATAGTCCGTTCTTTGGAGGATTACATTATTCTTAAAGGCATCGTGGAAACTAATTATTTTTTTCAAATCACAGACAACTCCACATTAATAGGAATACAAACAGGTAGAGGGGTATTCCATGCTGAAAAGAAAACAGAGCAGTTTTTCAGCCGTGGAGCCTTCTTCAGTTGTGTGTGAAGGCTCCACAGCTGGAACGTTGTGTCACTTTTCTTTTCAGCATGGAATAACCCTCTACCTGTTCCTTTGCAGCCATACAGACACAGCTCCCTACTTGTAAGAGTAAGAGTAAGAGTAAGAGTAAGAGTAAGAGTAAGAGTAAGAGTAAGAGTAAGAGTAATAATTCCTTACATTTTAATAGTGCTTTCCACCCTGAAAGACCCTAAGGTGCCTCACATTTAACCACCACTGACCTGGGCTTTGGGCACTGCAGCCCCACTACACTACAGGTCAGGTGGAGGAGTAAGAAATGACTTCTCCCTTTCAACCCATGAAGGGGAAGATTTAAGGAAGACAGGTTCTGCAATCTTTTGCCTGGACACTGGGATCGGTGACAGCAGCAGGAACAGTGCCATAGGAACAGTAATGATCAAGCAGCCGTTCCTGGGTTTGTGGTTTCACCTCCTACAGTACAACGTCACTAGTGTGAAAATACTGGACTGGAGGGAAGAGTGCCACCTACTGGTCCACCAACGCCACTTCCAGCAGCAACCTATCTATCCATAGAGGAGTCCCTGGGTTGACCAGGCCTGGCCCTTGCTTAGCTTCTGAGATCTGACTAAGATCAGGCTGCGAGGTGGTAACACTACTGTAACTACCAAACCCGTGACGACGTGTTTCAGCTCACGTGATGAGTACCGATGATGAATAATAAAGCACATCAACAGAAGACAGGGCGCGTGCCAGGTTCATACCCACTTCCAGGCTTGCAGATTTACCCAACACTGGCTTTGCCCCATTAGTGGCTCCACAGAAGAAATCCCCCACATGTTGGTTCAGGGCGACGGGCACGGAGAAGGTGGCGTTCAGGGTGTCTGTGGTGACGTTGGGAAAGCTGCTGTTTGCATCACTGCAGAGTGTGAAGGTTACTGGGGGGGTTCCTCTGATTGATTTGCACATTATATTGGCCCAGTAGGTCGAGTCCTCTTTAATTATTGCGTATGAGATCTCGGGCTTGGACACAAGCACTACAAAGGAAGAAGAAAGTTGCTGTTGAATACATCAGAGAAGGCGCCAGAGGTGCTCTCATTTAATTGTTAATCAATTAACAAACCTATTTTAAATGTTGGTCATTAAAAACCAGTCAAACCAGCATTGAAAAACCAGCATTTGAGAGGGTTTCAAAAAAATTAAATTAAGTTGAGTCAGATTTTTTCTTTACCGTAATCTGTATCTGAGTAAACTTTTTTTCTCTTCGAACCCTGTTTAATGTTAAAGATTTTGATTAACTTTTACAGAATGGGACTGAGAAGGCTAACCATCCTTCTGAATGACTGTCTGCTGGTGTTGACCACAGGGTTGTAGGTTCGAGTCCCAGGTGAGGACACTTTTGCCCTACAGCCCTGAACAAACATCTGGCAACACCAACAAAAAGTCACTTATAAATGTGCTGGGTCGTCATGTGCATCTGGAATTCTGCAGGAGGAAAGCAGCTTCATTATTCCACGAGTACTGTTCGTCGGATCATGCTTGGTTGAAGTAGGTTGAAAGTCTTTCCCTCTGGGTTCCATGCTGACGTTACCTAAGAGAGCATTACTTATAAAAACATCAGCAATCTTGGTGACCGAGCTCCCACCAAACATGTCCCAGCAATCCCCCATCTACACCCTTGCAGTCATTCTAGCCGTAATGATAGACAACCAGGCCTGTCCAGCTTTTTTATACACGACCCTAAGCATGCTAAGCTGGTGTTTGCTGAATTCACACATGAGACACAGGTGGCATCAGGAAGCGCTTGCTTTCCACATACTTGCTGTATTTTTACCATTGGTGACTGAATGTGGGGCAGGGTATAGAGAGAGTTATATATTTTGGACTGAGAGTTCTGAGAAATCTCTCCTCGCTACAACCCTGTCTACTGACCTTTGTAGTTTATTGGGCCTGGTTCTTAAAAAAAAGGAACACTGATTAACCATCAAACCCAGCTGTGGAACTCAAAATGTACTTGTAAAAAAACATAGAATTGCACCATCTGTAAGTTGCTTTGGATAAAAATGTATATCTCACAAATTAATAATGTTGAAAACTGAAAGAGAGGGGGACTGATTTAAGCAAAGGGTGGTGGGGTTGAAGAATCAGCTATCCAGCCCTGCTATACTGAAGTCATTAACCTACAACCATAGAAAGGGCTAGGCGATGTCCTTGGATCGACTAGGCTACTTTCTGCTAAATGGGTGAGATTGGCCATAAGGCCTTCTATCGTGTGTAAACTTTCTCATGTTCTTTCAATGTTGCCAAGACACAGGCTTGTTGCATTTTACCTTTGACGATCACCTTTAGGTTGGTGCTTGCAGAGGTGAATTGGCTGGAGTTGCTGACCTGGTTCTTTGCAATGCAGGAGTAGATTCCTGCCTGCTGAACGCTGACTCTGTCAATAACCATCATGTTATTGACCAACCTGTGAGCTGCTGAGCTCGACACTTTGCTCGTATTGAAGTACCACTCGTAGGAGAGGTGGTTGCCTTTCAGCACCTCACAGCGCAGGGTCAAAGTGTCTCCCTCGAAGAGCTCAGCCCAATCTGGTCCAGGGTCTGACACAACACTCGCTCTGGACACAGGAACTGTGGGACATCATCCACAAACGCAAAGATGGCTGATCAGTACGGCAAAAAAAAGGACAAGATACAATCTACCAAAACGTCTTTGTTCTTGGCAGCTACAGCATTAGGGTTCATCAGTAAAACACTGACTAAAACTTAATGCCTGTACTGCTGTTCAAGGTTTCAAGGCAGGTTTTTGTAACAGCTTCTGTTTGACCATATTAACAAAAGTAGCTATTTAATAGAGTGTTCAGGAGCTCAATGCATAAGACTAGAAATGCACATATGTCCACTCTTACTTATCACTCGCAGCTGGATCTTGTTGCTAAACTGTGGGCTGATGGTGCTGTTCTCCACAAATGTCTTGCAGATGTAGTACCCATCAGAGTCGTTCTTAACCACATAGTTAAACAAAGCCGTTCGGTTTCTCAATGAAGCTTGTGTCGCCACTGGTGACAACTTCTCATTGTCTCTCAGTAGGACATATGTAACAGCCTCTTGCGTTTCGGTTGATTCGCATCTGAACTCTATGACATCATCCAAAAGGGCAGCATCTGGCCCTCTGAGAGTGGGCTTCGGCAAAGCTGACGCACCTTCAAGAACAAGCAACAGAAGAGCAGAGATCTCTTTTAAGCGGGTCAGTCGGTATTCCCGTGGATATAACACAGCTGCGTTTTGAAATCGAACCATGCAGATTAGTTTGACTAAACCTATGTAATGTGATGAGAATATCCCAACGGAATACCTCTCACATTTTGCATCAGTCCATCCATCTTCTAATCGCTTTAGCCAATACAGGCTCATGGGGGAGCCCGTCCCTATCCCAGCAGGCAACAGGTGCAAGGTGGGGTACATCCTGTCCATCGCCAGTCCATCACGGGGCACACACAGACCCACACACACTCACACCAGGGCCAGTTTTCCCAGAAGCCAGTTAACCTACCAATATACCTTTGGACAGTGGGCCCTGTCCTGTGCAGGGACTAAGGAGGAAATCCCTATTCCTTTGAGTATCTGCGGAGGACTGGACAACCAAAAGCAGTTTCAGAGCCGGGACAGGATAAAGGCACAGACAACAGCAAGTGGCAGGGCTTGGAGGGAATCTTTCATTGTGCAAATCCAGCCCCAGCACCCACTTGCTCTGATTGATAAAGGACAATTACTCTTTTTAAGAACCATTGTAGTGTGGTAGCGATTGCATGACTTTGCATGAGTGTGTAATTATTGGGATTTGTTTATTGTGATACAAAACATATCTCTGCACTGTGGAAGGAAACCCACGTGAACATGGGAAGGACATATCAACTCCTTGCTGGCAGCACTGAGAATGAGCCCAGGGCCCCAGTACCGCAAGGCAGTAATGCTAACCACTGCGCCACTGCACTAGTTTCACACATTTGAACAAAAATAATAACTGTACTTACAGGTGCTGATGCAGACAGAAGCCAGAACTACAAGAAAAGAAAACAATTTAGAAAATACTTACTCTGTAGTGACGTTATCTGAAGAAAAAAAAAGTATCCAGAGTTGTGAAAGCAGCTCGTTGGTACAATACTATGAACATTTTTAGCTGCATGACATCACATTGTCCACAGCACCTCATATCCTATTTGGGAGTCTGTAATACTGTAATACGTGTTTGTTTTTTTTTGCTTTGGACACTGGCTGTGCCGACTTGCATTCAAGTTGTACATTATTTATCTTTTGAATTGGAGCATACATGCAAATAAGCATTTCATTGCACTTGTGCATATGACAAATAAACGGAACTGGAACTGAAAAATGTTGGAAATGAGAAAGGAGGCAGAGAGCTTTGAAAATATCTAATAAGACATGACTAGAAGGCTTTGTCATAGCAGCAGGTGTTCAAATACATTCAAATAGACTCACTGGAATAATAACTAACCAGTTCAGGTGTTAGTAGATATTTGATTTCAGGATCCCAACCAGCTGTTTCTTGAAAGGAACAGACTGTTAAAATCTGCCTCCACAGCATGGCTGGGTTTTTTTTCCATACTTCCACAGTATGGAAAAGACGTGATTCCTGAGCTCAGTTTTACATGCTTGCACTCTGTCCACATCGTTTCTATTTGTATTCCTAAGGTCAGATTTTCCCTTAACCATGAACTGATTCGAGAGAATCAATCTTTCTTTGCAACTAGAATTTTTCGCACAAATATTCCAAATGAGACTTTGTTAGAGTTCAATTTTAATGTCACACAATGTGATTTAAATTCGACACGATTAGTTACAGTATATACCCTAACATTCTGTTTGTCCTTTTAACTAAAATATTTAACCAAAATGATTGAACTATTTAAATACAAGAATATATTTGGTCACTTTTCCATGAACTGATTCCAGATAATCAATATCTGAATAGCAATTTAATTGTATTTAATTTCTACACTATTAATTACAGTATATTCCCTAACATTTATTGCTTTCCCACAGATGTAAATTATGTTCAATTATATATTTAGTAGGAAAACTATAGGAGTTTCAAACCAGAATGTAGAACTTTGTTACTTCTTCTGATAGACTTTCTCTCTTTATATTCCAAAGTCATTAAACTACTGTGGCATAAGAGAATGCAGCAATGTCATGAATCTATTGTTTTCAAGTACATTTCTAGATAGTTGTTCTTATGAAATTTTGAATGCTACTATGCTATCACATTTCATAATTTTGCAACATTTCAGGACATTTTCTAAAGTTGTACAACTTCACGAATCAATAAAACATTTCGGTATGGCTCTGTAGAAAGAAATAATGTTTTAAATTGTTCCATTTTTGGTATATATTTTGTCCTTTTTCTGAAAGAAATAAGAAAAAAGTAAAAAAAGATCAACGTAAATTTTTTTGTTTTCCAGCCAGAACAAAGCAGTTTTTTTTAAAATTAACATATGTCACCGTCCCTGTGACAACAGTTAAATTTCCATCTGGCTAATCGAGTGGCACACTTACCAGTAATCATCGGAAGACATTCCAGAAGTGTATTCTTCATTACAGTTATACTAATATACTCTGAACAGAATTTGCCCCAGTTCTCTGCTCTCACTCTTTATGCTAGACAGCAAGTGTCAGCTCCAAAAGACAACTCTACTGCAGTAATATAAAGTCTTCACTTTCCAAGGAAAATAGGAGTGTACTGTGCACACATGATATATACCACCTCTCCTTTTGCACTGTGCAGATAGCAGGGGCTCTGTGCGGCTCTCATAGTTCAACCCAAAACTGAGTAAAAGCATGATGAACCAGCACTGAGTATTACAACTTGTCAAAAAACGACAAAGAAACAAACCGAAGCCGACTGAACGTTTACTGAAAACTTTAATACTGTTTGTTGAGGCAACACAATCAGTTTCATCACTGCACTTTCAACAGGTTTTTAAACTTATTTACAGAAAGAACACCATTGATGGGATATCCCTGTAAACAACACTAGTTTAAAAAAATGTACAACAGTAAAAAAAAAACAGAAACTGCCAACAAAGGATACTACCACTGCAACAGGAATATGTGAGCTTCTGCCCAATCATAAAATAACTTTTGACTGGTAAATTCCAGTCAAAAAAAGTCTTACTTCAGAGTAAAAAAAAATATTACATTGGTCAAGGCACTGAACTATACAGACCGATAAAAGTATTTTGGAACTAGAATGCTGAAAATGTAGCCAAACATAATATCACAACATAAGCCTTTAGAACTAAAAAAATAAACCAAAGTACTAATTAAATTACTTTACATGTATTATAGATACAAAAATAAAACAAAAACATTCCGTTGGTTATTTAGCACAATGTACTACTGCTGGAATGCAAATGACTGTAAAGTTACATTTACAGAGCATAAGTCCAACACTGAGCAAGGACCATATTTTGCTAATCTCTGAGATTTATTTTAAGTCTATACGCTTCACTGAGAAATTATAAGAAGGCTTTACTGATTAGTGGAGCTCACTTCCAGGAATCTATAACTCACTCTTTGCAAGTCCTTTGCTACTCTTCCTGTTTTTGCACCATCTGTAAATGAAAGTATTTGCTTACTAAACTGGAATCTATCTAATTTGAACAGAAAAGGAGATGCAATGGACATAAAACTGGTCCCTCTGGACACCACGAATTACAATTACATTGCTCGAAGATTTGCAGTTTGGAGGCATTTATTGTTCCAGAAGACAAAAGACATTCAAGTGTCGTTCTGGGTGGACATCACCGCTAGACTTCTCCCTTCGTCCTCCTCAGACTCCACACTGACTCCTCTGCTGAGCACAGGTTCGAAGTCCTGGAGGTCCGTCACGCCCTGCCAGGAATGGATGTCTTCACTGTCACTGCCTTTTGAGATGTCCGTCCTCAGTCTCCTCTCATACTTTTGTAGAGGAGCAGAAAGTTTATTCACCAAGAATCTTTTGTCATAACCCTCCTGATAAGAGAGAAGAAAAGCGATGTGATACCGCACCCATAGGATGCTCAGTCCAATGGAACATACCTTCCTCTAGCCTTCTGGTTGAGCAGTGTGTGAGAATTAAGAACAGTGTTGCTAAACGTACTCACCATGACAAGCCTGTCTTTCAGTCTCTCAATGGTTTTGCAGTTTGCTCTGTATATGGACATGTAGAATGTCAGGAGGATGCTGTGGATTAGAAACCAATTACTGGTGGCAGCACAGAGATACCGATATGCCTACTTGCCTTTTAAGGAAGTTGTGAGCAATTGGGAAGCACTTACACAGATCATATTAAATATAAATATTACATTACTATCGTATTAAAATCTAATAAGACCAACCTTGAAATAACTAAACATCATTCCACACAATTTTTAATTTTCTTTTTAAAATGTTTCTATGCACGTATTAGAAATGACAAAGTGTTTAGCATGTTCAGTTGACCAGTATTTACGAGTGGGTGAATTGTGATGATATTATTCCTTTTGTTACCAGAAAATTATTTTAATAGAGAAAATGTATAGTAAAAAAATGTATTTCCACAATTGAATGATGTTCTTCAGGGAATGCTTACATCTTACTAAAATATATTTCACAAACAAGTAAAATAGGCTTAAATAAGAAATTTAAAGGACAGATATCTTCCACCATGCTTTTTAAAGCATGCCATGGAGGGTTAGGTCAGTCTCAGGGATAATAAAGTCTAAAAAAATTGAAATACCACCCTTGTACATGCTCCTGGGAAAAACTAAGGTTGCTGCTGGAAGAGGTGTTAGTGGGGCCAGCAGGGGGCGCTCATCCTGCGGTCCATGTGGGTGCTAATGCCCCAGTATAGTGACGAGGACACTATACTGTAAACAGGCGCCGTCCTTCGGATGAGACGTAAAACTGAGGTCCTGACTCTCTGTGGTCATTAAAAATCCCAGGGCATTTCTCGAAAAGAGTAGGGGTGTAACCCCGGTGTCCTGGCCAAATTTCCCATTGGGCCTTACCAATCATGGCCTCCTAATAATCCCCCTCTATGAATTGGCTACATTACTCTGCTCTCCTCCCCACTAATAGCTGATGTGTGGTGAGCGTTCTGGCGCACTATGGCTGCCGTCGCATCATCCAGGTGGGGCTGCACATTGGTGGTGGTGGAGGAGGGGAGTCCCCATTACCTGTAAAGCGCTTTGAGTGGAGTGTCCAGAAAAGCTCTATATAAGTGTAAGCAATTATTATTATTATTATTATTATTATTATTATTATTATTATTATTACATTAACCAGGACAATAGCAGGTAATTCCAGGATTGAGAAAATGTAAACTGTAATCAGCCGAAATCTTACGCGCACATTCAGGGGCAAACTGGCTAACAGCACATACATTTCAGTCAATATCAGGGGTATAGCGAAGGCCTCCGACACGAGGTAGAGGAGGACAGGCCTGGTAGCGTTGGGCAGGCTTTGAATGCACACAGTGGCCACGTCCAGCACCCTCTCCTGCTCCTGAAACGGCCCGCAGGCCCTGGATGGCTTGAACCTGGAAGACACGACAGCAAGAGAAGCACACATCCAGGCCATTTTTCATGGTTTGTCATTTAGCTTCATGTTGTAAGTGTAATAGTAAAAACATCACACCCGGAGAAGGCACCACAGCTGGAATGTTGTGTTTCTTTTCTTCTCTTTTCAGCATGGAATAAAACCTTACTTGTTCCATAGTAAAAATATAACTATTATACGTATAATGCTCAGATTCTTCCTTAAAATACAGTTGTGCAGGCTGTGACAGGATATACTGTCACATGGGACATACAGGAAAAGGCACATTGGAGTTAGAAAAGTCCCAGTTAAAGAGTATTCGAATGAGCTTCTTTATAGCCACAGAGGTCCTTGTTTAGTCTCAGCCACTTAAGGACTATTTATTTAAAGAAGGTGAAGGACTGTGCTGGGGCATGGTGCAGGCATCTCTGTTTATGGTGCTCTGAAGACATTATCTTTTCCATAAGAGCTCGCGGGAAAAGAGTCTGCCTGTTCACTCTTCATCTCCTGCACACGTTCAACAACGCTCCACAGGGCTAACGGCGGCCAGCGTTCATCACCCATCAACACTTACTCGACGAAGTGGATCCCAAGGGCAGCCAAGGACATTAGCAGCCCCAGCAGGAGCATGAAGTAGAACAGCACGGAGGAGCTGGAGGCTCGGAACATCCTCCTCACCGGCGCGCAGTTCCTGAAGAGGTGGAACTGAGGAGAGAGAGAGAGAGGAGGGCAGGGAGTTACACTCCGCACGACAGCGAGCAAAGTCACAAACCCCATTAACTGAGGTTGGTCTGTGGACCTGCTGTCCCGTTTCTCATGTGTTACAATTAACAGCAGCATAGTGTTTTTTTAACAACCAATGACAAAGGTTTGATTGGGGGTCCTTATAGCAACAGATTTGCTTAAAAAAGGGGACCCCTTCTATAAATAGACTGGGCCATGCAGGGCTTGGAAAGATGAGACCTAAGATGCAGAGATGTTAATGCCTCATAAACATGAACTGTCGCGAGTCCTCCGGCCCTGTGCACGAGAGGGAGGCGGGCTCTGGCTTGCCTTGCGGATGTAAAAGAGAGCGAGCATCTTGACCAGGTTGAGCAGGGGAAGCAGGGGGCAGAAGAAGAGCCCCACCCAGCTGACGGTCTGGCTGTACACGATGTCCAGGACGTTCAGGGGAATGAGAAACTGGTCCTTGCCGATCATCTGCACCAGGCGCCACGAGCACCTCTCCACCAGCTGCCTGCCGACACACAGCCCCACACAGTGACTCGATGACAGAGCCTCTAGGACAGGCAGGACAGGACAGGCACGGCAGCCCCTTCGCGGGGAGAACCGCAAGGGAGTCAGAAACTGCGGCGGTTCACGAGGGGCTGCTTACTTTCTGGGGTACGCCACGAGGATCGTGTTTCCTAAGGATGCCAGAAAATCAAACACCAGCAGCTTGTACATCTCCTGGCCAATCGTGTTCTCCCAGCACTGCAATGCAGCACAAGCAGAATACACTCTTTTTCTTCAACGCCCACAGAGTGTGGGAAACACACGGGTCTCAGAAATACAACATTTTCCAAATTATTTTGCAGTTAAAGTAATGGCTATGTTCAGTGTATTAGAATGCAGACAATGCTTAACCCTTGAACCTCAACATTTCAAGCCAGATAAAGTTGGCCTTAATCATCTGGGTTTATCTTAGTGTCAATTATGTATACAAGACATTAAATAAAAGTTTTATTCCATGCTGGAAAGAGAACAAAGAAAACACAAAGTTTCGGCCGTGGAGCCTTCTTCAGGGTGTGAACTGAGTCATCTGACTTTTCCATGTAGACATTTGTTGTGTATGGACGTAAAAGAGTCCAGCAGAGTGTGCTTTTGAGCAACAGAAATGTACATCTGTCGTATGTTAAGGAAAGGGCACCACTTCAGCGTATAGTAAGTAATATGTTCAACTTACTTTCTACTAAGTCTTAACGTTTTTCAGCTTATATTTTTGGAAAAACAGTTTCACGTGGGCGCAGTTGGCCTTTTCTTAATGTGGTATGGATAGCAAAGCTGAGTGTTACCTGTTTTTCACAAGTTGGACTTTTGGAGTTCTGTTGTGCTGTTCGGACACTCTGATACATGAAGAAGAGGAACATGGCCAGGCTGGCCAACTTCAGGAAGATGCTTCTGCGTGGAAGAAAGGCAAAGCCCCACCCCCTCATCCCAGTTCAGTGTCACCCGTCACAGGAAACTCGAATGCATGTTGGAGACGGTGGGTCAGTGCCAGAACAGATGTCAAAGAAACTAGGACAGCTGGACAGGGTGCTGGAGCACGCCTTGTAAAATCACCGCCATGGCTAGTTATCAATGGAAAAATTCACTTCAGCCTCGAAAGCAAGCTACAGTGGGCTCAAGAATTACTGGCACCCTTGATAGAGATGAACAAAAGAGCTGTATCAAATAAACAGCACAGATAAGGAACTATATTTTATGACCCCAAAAATGGGAATTCTACAGGCTTTTGTTCTAATACACCTTATTTCAAAACAAATGTTTTTTTTTTTAAATGAGTAATACAAATTGTTTTCTCGGAATAAATAAAATGATTGAATCAATAATTCTTCAGCTCACTATAGCTGATTCAAGGAGGAAACATTATTTTAAGAACGCAAAACAATCATTCTTCAGACAATACTGTGTTAGTACAGAGTTACAGATCTTGTATTCTAAAGCAATGCTTATACGGTGAAAATACTCCAACAGGACGAAGTGTTCTAAGGCCCTGGAGGGTTTGACACTTGCATGGGTTGGGAACTCAGGGATGGCCTAATCTCAGGTCTGGCTACATACTCTAATTTGGTACTGTTCCTTGCATCAATAAGATCAGTCATTGTAGATCTTATAACGTCAATCCCATTCAAACACCCATTGCAAAATGACCAGTCTTAGTTAAGAATGCGCATGTCGGTACACAAACTGAAAACCCAATTATGCCCCTGCATTCAGACAGTGGGGACTTGAGAGAGGACCCTTACCTCACCAGGGTGATGTTGACCTTGTTGGCAACAGAATAATCCTCAAACTTCACGATCTTGCAGAAGATGAAAGGCAGCAGGAAGTTTATAAGAGTGATGGTTATGGATGGAAGGTATTCCATGAAAAGGTTTAGGATCCAGCCAGATTTTGCCTGAACACAGAAGAAAAGAGGATTCAGGCCACTGCAATTGCAAAATGATATCAACCCATTCAATTTTTTTTTTGTCCGGTCCATAGATGTTGAATGTTTTCTTTATACCTCACTCACCATTAAGAAGTGTAGATAGCCAGCAGCCATATCACCCTGCAACTCACAACTGGCAGCCCACTGAAGCTAAGCAGGTGTGAGCCTGGTCAGTACCTGGAGGAGAGGCTCCTGGGAAAGCTAAGGCTGCTGCTGGAAGAGGTGTTAGTGGGGCCAGCAGGGGGCACTCATCCTGTGCTCTGTGTGGGTCCTAATGCCCCAGTATAGTAATGGGGACACTATAAAATGTAAAAAGGTGCCATTCTTCGGATGAGACTCTCTGTGGTCAGTAAAAATCCCAGGGTGTTTCTTGAAAAGAGTAGGCATGTCACCCTAGCATCCCGGTTAAATTTCCCATTGGCCTTTACCAATCATGGCGTCCTAATAATCCCCATCTATGAACTGGCTTCATCACTGGGTTCTCCTCCCCACTGTTAGGTGATGTGTTGTGAGCGTACTCGTGCACTACGGCTGCCATCACATCACACAGATGGGGCGACACACTGGTGGTGGTGGAGGGGAGTCCCCACTACCTGTAATATAATGCAGGACAGATGCAGCTTTTCTAGATAACACACTCCAGCCTCTAAAGTGAGTGACAAGCCCTGCTGCTCTCGCTAGCTGCGGACACCCAGGCTGACTCCTCAGTGGTGCACTGATTGCCTGGTGCATCATCCAGGCCTGGAGCAGACGAGCTTGAGCATTACCAGCTAAGCCAGTCAGCAATCTCCGGTTTTAACATGTTCAGTAGCATGCACGAGGAGCACGTCTGTGTGAAGAGAGCAGCTCTCCCAGTCTGTTGGGGCTGGAACCCCGCTGCAGGCGCCAGAGTCTTTAAACTACAAAGACCGTCTCACCTGCTGATAACGCTGGGAGCGCTGGGTGGCGAAGTATATAAGATAGAACGCTCCAGAGAGCAGGACGAAGACGACCAGGTTCAGGACGGCTCGCATGAAGTAAAGCAGAACCCACTGCTGCACCGTGCGCTGGGACTCGCGCTGGAGAAACCTCTCTTCCTCCAGATCCACCTGCGGGGAGGCAGGCGGAGAGGTAACTCGATGCCCAAGGCGTTCAACCTTTCGGGGGGAGGGAGGGGGGGCACTCTCCTGGTTAAAAAGAAGTGCCCCCCCCCCAATCATCTAATCATAGATGTGTCCTCCTCGCCCCTTCGTAAAGGTCCTGTAAAGATGTCACTGCCCCTTTTCAAAACGGGTTTCAACTGAGCCAAACAAAAGGGCTGTTACTGATCAGGGTGACGTACCTGCTGTGCACGCTACTGAAGCATCCAGGTTGATTCACAGCTCAGTGTAAGGGCAAATTTAGAACATGGAACTACAAAGAATTACAACAACTAAGGGGCAGGGGGACCCTTCGCTCACTCAGCACACAGGCAGCGGTGCTGCTGAAACAAGATGGCGGCCTCTCCCTGTCACCGGGGCTGGTTCTGACTCCCGTGGAGTGCCTTATTAAAGACCCTATGTGGACGGTAGAATCCGGAAATGACAGCTGAGGAAGATACAGCACGGTTAGGATGGGTTGACGGACAGGGGGCGGTGACTGTAGTGTCCAAGTCCAAGGAAGTCCAAAAAGGGAAGTCGGGGCGCAGTCCGTAATCCAAAGGCCGGGGATCCATCCAAGACAAAGAGTAAAAAACAGGAACCGGGTCGGAACCGGACAGGAACTAGAAGCATAATGGGACCAAGCGCTCTGAACCCCGGACCCAGACGGTCAGGACGCCGGGGAATAAGACCTGCCTTCGGGCTACCCGTGAGCCCGGGGAATAGGCCAGCCTCGTGGTGTCCCTCTTCCAATACTGAGCCCGGAACTGCAGAGACGCTAGGCTTTTAACTGCAAACCAGACGAGACGCACCAAGAAATAATAAAAACTAATCATAACAGAAAGGGGGTAGGAGCGCCCTCTAGAGGAGGGATGTGGAGCGTAACCCTCCCTTGCTCACTTTCAGGTCGTTCCTGATGTTGCTGTGCCGGAGTGCGGCAGAGTCGGGAACCTGGATGCAGAAGTCCCAGCCGCAGAAGATTTTGTAGCTCTTTGTCATCTTGTAGCGGTTTCCCATCATCCACTTCAGCTTGTAGCCATTGACAGTCCTGTGGAGAGAAAACAGAGGCTCACAACAAGGAGAGGAATTAGACACCCCGGCTCTTCTCGAGCTCTCATATTCCACGCTTTAACCAGTTTTATGAAGCCGCTGAATCAATGGCATTTCTTCTACCACTGCCACTTTCAAACTCTCACAGGGAAACACAGTAAAAGGCCTCACAATAAAAGCTAATGGGAAGAACAGTACTGATATGTATCAAGGCTCTTTGTCATGTTTATTCACACAGGATTCCATAGCTCTCATTGAAAACAGGGGCAGGTATTCAAATGAGTGAAGACTAGCGTGCTCTGTTGCTTCGGATGAATAGCTGCCCCTTTTGGGGGCAGGACGGATGGACCTCAGTTCATTACCTGCCTGTTCTACTTCGCCATTGCACATTTACGGCCACCGCCAATAACAAGCGCCAGAGAAGAAATACCCCGGGGGGGGAGGAGAAAAGAAATGGAATCATAATAATCAAAGAGAAGAACCCCTTTCTTCACTTCATACCTCACCACCACCCACACCAGATTGACAAGGAGCACCACGCCAACACTGAGCAGGAAGAGCAAGGGGATGTTGAGGCACGCGGAGTCCAGACTTCTCCTGGTGTAGAAACCGTAGAACAGGGAGGAGCGGCCCAGAAAGCCCTGCGGAGACAGGGATCTGCTAGCCCACAGCGGGAAAATGCACAGCGCTCCCCATGGGAAATGTGTCCGGTGTCACAGAGAGGTGGGCTAGCTAAATCGAATGAAATTGTGGGATAGGTATGGTAAAGCAAAGGCGTCTTCCATGGTAAAGCAATGCAAATGCATGGGAAAGCGGCAAGAAAACTACAGGAAAACTGTGCAGATTTACTGTCGGAAACTATCCTATCAGTAGATCCTAAGACAGACTCTCTTAAACAAACTGTAGGATTCATCAAAGCGTGTCACTTATTTTAAAGTAGCACTCATGTAATTTGCTCCACACATGCTATTGACCTTTTGAAATACCACGGTTTTCCTGTACAGCAAGGAAACATGGGCAGAAAGTTCCCTTAAACACAGTGCAGAACTGCTATTCATCTGTTCTTTTTATTGTTTTTTATTCTAATGAGGCAAGGCTGCTTCATTAAAGGAATCATTGGTCCTAATTTGAGGAGGAGGAAGTCCACACCCTTGTTCAAACGGCACGACAGGAGAGAGAGACTCACCATCCCCGAGAACAGGTCCAAAAAGGAGTCATTTAGTTTGCAGGTTGCTACAATCAAGAAAGCAAACAACAGTGTAAGATGGAATATAAAATAAAATCACTCTTGAGCAATAACTGGTCTCATCTTGGGAAATGAATTAAAGATACCTTGTGCAAATGAAACACATTTCATTTGATTTAGGTATATACTGTTAATTATGGACTATTCATTGAAATTATGCCATTGGGAAAAGTTATTTAAGTTTTTAATTTTACGGAGTGAAAATTGCAATAATTGCGCTAAAAAAAGACACAGATATCCCCCTGTGGTTTTCATACACTACTCATTATGGAAAGTGCAAGTGTGAAGAATAAGAAATACTATGACAGAGGAGTATACTGTGTCTCCCTTCATTCACATACAGATCTAGCAGCGCAGAATTTGTGTTGCACTCCTCCCCCTCTCCCAGCTGCCAACCCCATTATTGTGAGACCCCACGTGCCTTCTCTCTGCCTGACGGTGCTGTTCCTCTCGTACACTGTAATGGGTACTATCACCATTCCAGTGATGACCAGGACGTTTAGCAGATTGAGGTAGACCAAGCAACGAAGGAAGGTGAAATATGACATCACTCCAGAACCGAATTTACCTGCAGGAATGCAAAAAGACGAAATACGAAGTGTGTGATTTGCTTAAATTGTACATTTAGTTTTAACCAGTGACCATCCCAGACATGGCACAGATTTCCAATGCTTGCTTCCTGTCTGCTTCATCATGTGTCTTTGGTAATTTAAGCACATGATAAGACACCTTGCTCATCCATCTGATAATGACAGGAGTCTGAGACGGAGCTGCGACCCTCTACTCCAGTCTTGGTGACACTGCATCTGCTGTTCCAGCTGAGCTCTAAATATCTGTCGATGACTTTAATTGATCCTGATTCTTGTTTGTTTCGACTTTTAGCTTTAACTTTTTTTCTACACTAAGTCCTGAGTTTCAAAAATACCCCATTTCAAGAGTGCTGTTTTGACTACCTTCAATACACAGATCCTTAAGCAGCTACTCCTCAACTTGCTTACCCTTATTTCTGACCAAACAGCTCTTAATGGGAGATGAGACCGTATCAGACTCTTTCAGAGATCTTTTTCCTTCTGCGAGAGGTCCAGCTGGTTACTTTGCAGGCAGCACACCTGAACGAGGGCGGTTTTGAAACTCAAGAACTGATACGGGGTTGATACCCCAGGTACAAATCCCATCTGACTTTTCCAGAGCTGAAAGCGAATTGCACACTACGCCCCCAAGGTAAACCTGAATCAGTGGGGCTGTGCTTAAGCCCTTGGCTGGAGCAAAGACGAGGAAGATCTGGGAGACGAAGATCTGGGAAGGAGTGAGAGGGAGTGGAAGAAGAAGAAGAGAAAGTGGTGGGAGGGCTCACCCTCGATCTGGTGTAGGACAGCCTTCCAGGGCTGCAAGTCTCGCAGCTTGTTGGCCAGGCTCTCCCGCAGCCTCCTCCTGGACGTGCGCTGGCTCTGCTGCCATGACTCCCAGCAGCCAATGTTGCGCTGCTTCTCCTGCCGCTGCTTTCTTAAACCCCCCCCCCCAGAGCAAAGAAAGGCGCGATTCAGACTAGACTGAATGATGCAGGAATGACGCGCACAGACCAGCGTTTTTACTGCACTGGACTGCTCTGATCATGCGTACCAGGACAGTCAACAATCCGGCTTCAGAACATCAGGAAAATGAAGTGAAGTGTAATTACCTGTCATGATGATCACGCCCCCACTCACTGATGACTGTGAGATACCTTCACAGCCCCTCAAAACTGGATTTTGAATAGAGATTTTGGCAGTACTCCAGTTGTACCAGTTCTCTGATTAACTGCAGGGATCTTACGAGCTACAGGAAGGTTTTTTGTACTACGCTTCACATAACTACCACGAGATGGCACAATAATAATGACAGTATGTTCTGTAATCTGCTTCCTACTGAGACTCTGAAACCAAATTATACATAATCAGAAAACTGTATCAAAACATAATCAAAGACAACAATCAAAGAACTGAGTAGTTCCTTAAATTGGTGTGGGTTTGCAAGTTATGTTTTCGAATTCCTAATATTATCACAGCGTGATCATACTGTATATTAAAAACTATAAGGCTTAAGGAAGTATTAGGAAAAAACACTCCCTTTTGAAGTTTCCAATAAATATTTCAGTTGAAAAACGAACCTCATGGAGTCTGAGCACTTTATTTCTTTGTGCAGACAAGAGCCTGCTCTGCACTTGCAGGTCTGCATACTGCTCATCTTGAAAAACAGGTTTGTGTTTTCTGCACTGCGACACTGTGGCTCTCAGAGAGTCAGTCTCCACTCTGAGCTGTTTACGTGGCTCAGCAGGGCTCTGTATGTCTCTTTTAAACAGCTCCTAAAGAGTGTGAATTTCTCATTTCATACTGTGAAAGGTATTTTTGCTCTCCTAAAGGAGAAGACAAAATCAGCTTTTTTTGCTCTGTACAAAAGTACAGTTTATGTCAACATTAAAGACAAAGACAAAAGCCACATTGCAAGACAAATTAGATATTATCATATAAAACACTAATACATTTGTTGATAAGCCTAAAAGAAAGAGATGTTGTTCCTAATCTGATATGATTATACAGTATATATTTAATTATATATATATGATAATGATGTCCTGTATAGATCATTCTGGGACGTACACAAAGTCTACCTATAATTTCCTTCGCTTTAATCTTCCTTAACAACAGTCAAAACTATAATTGTACCTAAACATTTATCCTATTGTTTATTTATTCATTTAATTATCATATTCTTGCTTAAATAAATATATGTCCTGTTATATGCTTCCTGTTGGGAGGCATCAAATGTTTCTATTTTGCCTTACAGGCAGGTTAAAAGACGTACACATTCCGTAAAATTTAACGCAACATGAATCAATTAACAAATAAAAAACATACATAAGATTAAAAAAACAAGCCAGTGGTTTTAAATATTCCTTACAGTTCAAAAAAAGTTGTCAGTGAGTGAAACCTAAGATACATTCACGATGAAACTTAAGTATGACAATCAATTACTTTTGTATTCTTTAAACCTGGGGTACTTCGATGTGTAATTTAAACATTTTGATACCTTCCAGTAGATTACAATTTAGATTACAGTAAGCAGAGGAAAGCTGCATAAATCCACTATACATGCAACTTTCATCCATAAAAAATGGGCATCCTGAGAAATGTTTGCACAGCTGTTGATAGTTTTATGATGTTCTGAAGCAGTAAACATGGCTAGGCAATTGCATTTTTAATTAATCTAATTAAATTTTCTGTTTTAATTTATTCAAATTAATTAAGTTAAAATGAAGTTTTTTCTCATTTTAACTGAGACTAAAACAATTGCAGAAAAAAATCAATCACTAGCCTTGGTGGACAAGACATAAAAAGTATGTATCCAAAACAGGTTAAAATCAGAGCACAGAAACAGATATAGAGGAGAAGAAACAGCGAAGCAAAAGAAAGACAGTAGAAACTTAAGCGCTGTCAAATAGTTCCTCCTTTATAGACCACAAGGAGAAGGACACAATCAGGGAGTCTGAGCAGTAATACGACCAGTTTTGGGCTTTAGGAAAGGAACTGTTGACTGATTACTTGCGGTGTCCATCAGTCTATAATAAATCTCACTTCTGAAGTGATACTTCATTCGGTTTGGGATTTTCTGGTCTTGTTTTCAGTTTCCAACTCTGGTTGTTGGCCTGGCAGTACTTCAGTCTGAACAGGGCTGTTTAATGGATAAGATTCCTCTGTTCCCTTCATGGTATTTGTGCCTTAAGTTTTGCTCCAGGTTTGTTACTTTATTAACATGCTGAAAACATGTTACCACTTTTTGTTTCCTTCGTAACAAGGAGTGTTCATCTGTTAGCTGTCATTCATTTGCTTGCATAGCTGATTTCATGTTGATTTAATCGATTAATTCTGTTTATTTTATAATTGCTACCAACTGTATTTTTTCTCATTTTCTAACATATAACAATACACGTACCTACTACAAAGAGAAAATTCTATTATATTATGGATACAACATTTTAGGAAATGGAGACTACAGAGTGAAAATTTCATAATCAGATTAATATCCAAATAAGACAGTCTGTTTCCCTCAATGCAGCGATCACTAGCAAGATATACTTGACTTTTCAGTGTGGAATAATCCTCTGCTTCTTCCTTCACATATACAGCACAATACATACTGTATATGTACATATGTGTTTGTTAGAGCATATTAAGGTTCGGAAGCTCCACACTTATTTATAAACAGTGGTGGTTTTGTGACTAGGTGCACAAGTTTTAAGCCACAGAATTGCAGACATCAGTAATACTGAAACACAATGCAGCTAGCCCAGACGAACACCCACATGAGCAAAGATACACTGCTAAAATACAGTGAAAGAAAAACTGAGGAATTGGCTCATAACTAGAATATTATAAGGATACAGAACATAGGACATAGGATATTTTAAATAGTAGGAGTTCAACAGTGTCAGAGTAAACACATCAATCCATCTGAAGTGCATTAAGTACAAAAATAACAGATACCGTTCTTTTTTTGACAGCTCACCCAGTTGAACACGCTTAAAACTTGCACCCAGTTGCACATTTTGTGCACAAATGTGTGCACACATGTGATGAAGTGTGGGATGTACCTGGTGTTCCTCTTCTGCTCCATGGACAGGGGGAGCATTCGGAGAGGCGTGTTGGGGTCCCACTCCCTGGGTTTGAGGAAGCCAGCTGTGGCTCTGTCTCCCTCCTCCTCCTCCCAGCCAGCTGGTCCTGCGTGCCCACTCTCTCCTCTCCTGCGGCGCAGGGACTGGGAGCTGGGCAGCTGGGTGAAGACAGCAGTCTGGTGATAGCTGGTGGGTTCGTCGTACAGCGATGTGGCGGCGCTTTCACCTGCGCCAAAAACAAAGGGCAGAGGTCAGACAGCAAGGGCCGTTACCCACTCCCCTGCAGGCCTCGAGCCCACCGGCCCTCCAGTGCCATCTGGTGTTGGCATGGATGGACTGGGTTCCCCCCTCTTTTTTTCTTCCTGAAAACACCACAGACGTAGAGCAGGCCAATGAGGAAGTGGGAAATGTTCCGCAAAGGAATAAAAAATGAAAGCATTTTTTCACCATGCTAAAGGTCACAACACCTATATCACTGTAGTGCTAACTGACTCAGCTAGGGGCTCTGCAAAGGTCTCACACTCTAATAATGGACAACCACCGAGCCCTTCACACCAGATTCATTGATTGATTATTGATTTTAATGCCTTTGGTAGGCAGGGTTTGCTTCACAGCTGGATGCCAAGCATTTTTTGTTGATTACTGAGATACCTGCACTTTTTTTGATAATAACTGCAATTCTGGGGAAGTGAAATTCACTGTCACTAACTGCGGATGAGCCGCAAGCTCAGGAAGACAATCGCAGCAAAGCTGCAGCAACCAGCTTAGGACAGGCCTGGGGCAGCAGTTCTGTTCCTGGGAAAGTTGAGCAACAATTATTCCACCCACTTACATACAATCAGTGTTTTCTTGGAAGTCTGCTTATTTCACTGACTTTATAATTCAATTTTCTTTTTACTAGACTGTTTTATTGGAACTACTGTGTATAAGCTGTGCGGCTTGCTGTCATGAGGCGTGGTCTAGAAAATAATTTCCCCAAACCCTGATAACTCTGTCCAGCCCCAGGGCTCTGGTTTAGGAGAGAATCTGAAAGGGATCCTGGAGAAGTGGAGAAGTGCAGATGCTGAACACAGAGGCCTTAGGTATTAAATCCTTATGGATGTAGGTGCGTCCAGGTCGATGCTGTGGACATATTTTATTTCTGGCTGCACTGATGCAGGCCTCTCTGTTGGTCTATCTGTGGAGGTGGCTGTCCCAGGAAAGTGCCATTAAAGGTTTCCACAGACATCACGATGCAAGCAGCACAACTGAGGATTGGATGACCGACCATCTTGTGTTGTGTCCTTCTGAAATAGGCCCAGTAGCCTGCCTGACGTCACAGAACCATATAACGCAATCTTAAAGGTGCCAAACTCAGTGACAGCCACATAAGAAACACCAGCCCATGGCTCTGACAAGATCCTCAGAAAGGCACCATATGACAGCATATACCAACTTCTTTACAAGGATAAAATTGTTACATGGGTTAAAACATAAAGAGGTAGAAAGCACAATATGTCATACGTTCCACGTCATTGACTCTAATAGTTGATTATTTTCTTAATAGCCGTGCTCTGCATCTGCAATGTTTTTTGTTGTTCCAATTCTACAACATTACAAACTAAAGGAAAAGATGAAGCACAGACTTCTCAATGGTAAAAAAAAGGCACCTGAAAGGATAATGACCTCAGAACAGCCATGAAAAGTTTAAAAAAATGAGAATGATCCTGATCCATTTACAGTCTAGAGAAAGGGAAAATATGTCCCTGCAGAAAATACCCAAATTTATTTTTTGACCAACACAGGAAAGGGAAAAGGTGTAACTGAGCCCAGTTTCGTGCAGGAGATCACAAAACTCACCCGACTCCAGGCGGAAGAACTCCACATTCCTGTGTCTGGTCTCCTCCATGGCTGTTCTCCTCGACGCTGCTGCTCAAAGGCGACCGAGAGACTCCGTTTTTGTGGCGGACATGGCCGAGCTGAAGACATACACCCAGGGGCTGCAGGTTCTTGAAATCACATGACAGGAAACAGACGGGGAGGCGAAGGGGTTGGTGTTAACTCTTCCTCCTTCACCTCAAGCGGACGTCTGTTCCAACAGAAGATACTCGTGGTTATGCGACTATTTTGCATTACACTGGGTCTGCTCTGCGCCTCAGAAGGAGTCTTGATGCCTGTTACCAGGTGAGTAAGCTTCCCAGTCGCCTGCACTGGTCCCTGGCCTCTTTGGAAGAGCTCAGGGAGAGGATGGAAGGTGTTTGTGTGAGTGTGTGTGTGTGGGGGGGTTATGTGATTTTTCTAACTCAGGTACAAAGTTAAACCGCTCCGTTTTCAGAGTGCACTTGGATGTCATTGTCATCTCACAGACACCGTGATTCGCTGCAGTGAATCGATGTATAACACAGCACAGAAAGATGAGACAGAACTGGGTTTCCATTTTAACACAATGCCATGAGCTTCTTAGTGGTCGTCCTTTGGAATTTCTGGTCCTTGGGAGCATCTTTCTTCCACGAGTTATGTTAAAAAAGTTACTTTAGGTTTCATTAAAGCACTACCACACTGCACATAATTTATGTACATAAATGTACATAAAAGAAAGATGTACATTCTTTGGAGCGTTAAGTCAAAATACTGATCTAGATACATTGAAATGCTTCTCTGTCTGATCCAGTTCTTAATTCCCTGTGAATCAGCATATAAATTCTGAACTGTATTTACAGTACAATGTTGCTGGCATTTCATTGTTTTGTCATGAAACATTATGCTGCTGTTGTAACTCTGGGGGCTCTTCTGCTGCCGAGAGAACTCTCTCATCAGATGTCATCGTTAAGGCTTTGACAGGAAAGCTCAACCCAGGAAAACAGGAAAAGGGTTATTCTAAGAAATAAACAAGACATAATACTGTTTATGTCTTTCTTTTGGGGGGTTTCTGCTTATTTTCTAGTTTTCTAACTGATGTACAGAACTAGAAAATACTTGATGACAAGTAGTGTTCGTATAAAAAAGAGAGGGTCTACTGTCTGGCATAACAATTATTGATGCTTTTCCTCCAGGAATGTGGCATCATGTATTAAGGCAATTTGCTCTATGAAGGCTCATCTTACTATTGGAAAGCTAACAAACACAAAAGGAGGTTTATAATTATTTACAGTAAGTGCCTGCCTGATTAGGACAAGAAAAAAGACAATATTAACAGTAACATTGTTAATATTGCTGTAGTCAATTAAAGTGTTTAAAAAGCAGGGTGTCAAATTGTATTTAATTTGCAGTTAAATGTTTCAGTTAGTGTTCTCACAGGACAAACAATAATGAATAATCTTTATTTGCATTTTGCATTGGCTGCATGTAATTCCAATGACCCTACATTCTTTTGCATGAGCTTTTCCAAAGAGCGGGGAAGTGGAGGTGGCTGAGTTAGGGTCTTGTGACAGCTCTGTCCATCAGGCATGGTCTCCCTAACAGTGCAGTTGGCACTACCAGTCATCTGTTCCTCTTTACTGCAGTACAGCTGTTCACAGTCTGCAGGAATCACAGTATCAACACTCTGCACTTGGGCAGCTGACAACAGCGAAAGGCCACAGGCAAAACAAAACTTGTTTGTCCTTACAGGTTAACACAAGTGGATTCCTTAACAAAAATACAGTAGATTACAGTGGTCACAGCGGGTCACTCTGGGATCAGAGACGGACATTGTAACACAGAAAAAGTATTTGATAATCCAAAACTGACATAGAACAAAATAGCAAAATGACTTGGTGTTCAGTTGCCCGTTCATTAAAAGGAGAAGCTAAAAAATTAGTGCAATGGGAGCTAAGAATTGAGCAAGCTGAGACTTGACCGAACTTAGCTATGCCTCTGCAGTGCAGAAGTGTGTAAAAAGGGCCTCTATTTCCTGTGTGTCTTCTGTGCTTACAAAGCTGTCAGCTATCCTGATGAAGAAATCTAATCAGCTGGAAGGCAGCAGTGCTGAGTCACAACTTGGGAATGTATAAAAACACTTTGCAGGTTTAGAAGAATACATCCACCATTAACAAACAGATTAGCACCAGACAAAAGAGACACACACAGCAGGGAGCCTGAGTTTGAAAACCAGGACACAAGGAAAGGGCCACACAGAGAGGCTTTAGAGCTTGAGGGAGCTGCTTGTAAGAGCGCACCCAGGGCAAAACGAAATGCCATGAAATGAACAGTGACAGTGCTGAAGCAATCGCCGCAGAGATGAAACATGCTGGACAATGCTCAAACCAAAGGCCTGTCCTTTAAGACCAATTGGACGTTCAGCTGCTGGGGGGTTAGCACAAAGCTCTCTGCCTCTAGCAAACATGTTGAGGGGGGTTATCAAATCAAGAGAGTACCATCCCAAGACAGCTGAAGGAGAAGTTCGGCGCACATGACCTCAAGCTGTGTCCACAGGACGTGGAGGCAAAAACTGCAAAGCAGTACGAATGGATTTGTATGCGAGAAAAAGAAGAAAAACATGATGCATAAGATATACTGTATCAGGTTGGGCAGCATGGTGGTGCAGTAATTAGCATTGCAATCTCACAGTGCTGGGCCCTGGGTTCAATCCCAGACCTGGGGTGCTGTCTGTACCCTTAACTTGAGGATTTCAACAGCTTACGGATACTTGAACCAACTCTACATTTCGTACCAAAAATATTTCTAGCCTCTGCAAGTGTTTCCACTCGTCACTCTGTGTGGGAGTGATGCGGGTGTGCGCGCATTTCAGCTGCAGTCATACCGAGAACTTGTGGAGAACCTGCTGCTGATGAGACAGAGCAAAGACATTTACTAAAACACTCGGGGTGGAATCTGGTATGAAAACAGAACAATTTGTTTTGTGGCGCTATGACAGGGGTATATTGTTTCTGAAAATGCAGCTGTAGCACAAAAATATATATATAGAATATAGAATATAGAACAATCACAGGCACAGATATGTGACAGCATTTCACCTTCAGTCACAAATTAAGAATTCAACTTTAAATACAACAGTAGAGCAGAGCACTTGTCTTTGGAGGGATAGACGTGACGTTGCAGTAAAACGTCATGTTTTCGCAGTACTCCAACCCCAAAGATGTCCTTCAAGCCCTGTGGTTTATCACTTCACAGTGACATTGAGACAAAACACGGGATTTGAAACTCCCCCTTAATTTTTGTTTTGTTATTTTTTCCTTCCGAGCCCAAACTCTTTTCCCGGAAGAAGAGGTGCTGTGGCTGTTTTCACTGAAATAGAAACTTGTGCCATCAGGACATGTTGCTTCCTGCTGAGTTTCAGATTTTTCTCTGACGCCTTAGTCACAGGCCTCTGTGATACCTCGTTAGATGCTGTTGCCTACTTTAAAACAACAACAACAACAACAACAACAACAACAAACAAAACATTTTTCAAAATAAAATAAAGAATATTATTTTCGTTCAACTTTTGTAATAATAAGGGTTTTTTTAATGGTAAGCAATTGAATCATTCTCTGTGTTACACAGATTATTAGATTTTTCAGCGGTTGTGCTTTTGTCGTTTGGTCAGATTACAGGCTAATGTAAAATTTAAAAATGCACCTCGATTCTACTGAACAAAAATAATGTTGTGATACTAAGAAAATTTAAGAAGCACCGTACAGAAGAGGGGACTACAGGTCTGCAGGTACCGTGAATACATCTACTGGACCTCCTTGGCATCTCGTGAAACTCTCGTTTTAAAACTACATTTCCCAGACATCTTAGCTCATAAAGGTGCCTCACCTCAGTATGCAGTCATACTCGAGCCAGGTAGACTCACACCTTCTTTGCTCTGTTTCCCCCTATTATGACTGTAGAGAAGGAGGAATAAAGATCGCGCTGAACTCAACGAGCTGTGGCGAAGGCGCTTCCCTGGTAAGGTGACTTAATTTTATTAATTTTAATTGATTTTCTTCACCACATTTAATAGACTCGTGTACGTCTTGATTGTGGAGAACCCTTGTCCGCATAGGTTATTTTTTTTCACAAAAATAAAGGTAGTGGGAGGAACCGACCAAAGTTCTCGCAATAAACCATCGAGTATCCTGTTTCATAATACCAAACCTTACATGCCAGAATACAATTTAAAATGAATCTGCACTTCAGATTAAACACTCTGGCTCACAGACACACGCGAAAGAGCACATTAGTACAGGAAAACTGGGGAAAAAAGAATACACAATCTGAAATGTGATTAAAGAATACGAAGCCCGGTACACTACTTGTGACAGGCTACCCCTCAGTTTTGTAACGAGACTGAGATTTAAGAGATTTTGATCCTGCTAACACAATCCGGCGTGGTGCGTTAATAATACCAAGCGGAAAAAGGGATTATTAATTTTACCCAGGCAGTAGACCAGGCAGTATTTCTTTCCTTGGAAAGTATCAGGAGGGACGCTATGACACATTGTTATTGTTAGATTCTTTTTTACGTTTTTTAAACTAGCTGAATTTTAATTTAACACAGCGGCTATAGCTATTGTTACAGGTCAGTTTTCCACACTCCTCTGGCATTATTCCTAAAACACTGTGATCATGTGGTTATAGAAGTTACATTTAAAGTGCAGCTGTTTCTCCCAAATCTCCCAGACTGTTAATAATTGTCGCTTTATGTAAATTTAACAGAGCTCTAGAAAAGGAGCGGCGCGCAGTATTCAAGTACTCCAGCATTCCGTTTGATGTCAACTATTTTGAAACATAACATATATTAAGATATAAAATCCGGATTAACAGACGGGAAACTTGTTTAAAGTATATTTTTGGTTCGCCCTTTAAAAACGTTCCAAAAGCTGCAGCTACAGTCACTGTAAGTAGTTCTAGCGTGTGTTTTGCATTGTTGACAGAGCCATATGGTTGATTAAACATATGGATAGTTTAGTGTGGTAAAATCGCGGTTTATGTATCGTTATTCCTCTGAAAGGGACAGATACGAGTGTATTGTGATTCAGATTAGGGGCGGGACAGAAGACAATTGAGGACTGAGGCAAAGTTATGTCGTTTGATTGCAAAGATTCACCGATTCTCGATCGATGCCGCTTTAAAAGATCCCTTTTTTTCTGTCTTTTTGCACCACGCTTTTTGATCGACAATGCAGACATTGATTTAAAGTAGCTGCAGTGCCTGTTACAGCAGTTCGAGAAAACATACATTGGAAAATGGGGAAATAAAACAACAACAGGGAACGCATGCATTTAATAATAAAGAATAGGGTTATACCATTGCCCAGCAACTCGACCGTAAGGACAACTTCTGCAAGTTCGCCGACTCGGGGTGTGATCGGTCGGTAAAGGCAATATCCAATATAAAAAGGAACAAAACACGGAGTGTGTTTACAGCTTCCAGGGTTGTTTTTTGATTAGTTTAAAAAGCTTGCCAACAAATATCCCGCAACATTTCTTCTATATTGCTACCCCCTGCAGAAGCGGTGGTCTGTGCTTGGTGCTTACCTCCCGTCCAGAAGAGCTCAAACTTCGGAGAGATCGTGAAAGCCGGTTGTGCATCAAGAGAAAGTTTTGTTACGGCACTTGGAGGTGAGTCTGCAGTCAGAAGAGTTTATACACGCAGTGCTACTTGTGTTTCATGGTCGGTGTCTTGTAAGTCTTAGTACTGTCATATACGCGAATCGATACCTTTATGTTATTAATTTTTAAACCTCATACAACAAATCATTCCGCCATAGGGTACTAACAGGACAAATCGCACTTAGAGATTAGGAGATTACTACCCTTGCTTTTATAATTACGTGCGTTGACGCTCGTTTTCTTGTGTATAAATATAGGAGCCCAGTTCGACCGGGCGATGACTGTAAACCTTGAATGGTTTTCACACGGGGTGTTTAAAAACTACAGCCCCGGGGCAGTTCCGCAATCCATGCCCGAGTCTGCTGGAGTCAAACTGGCTGTCATTGAAAGAAACTGCAATGCATGCAGTTAGTAAAGATAACACCACCACAAAGGGACCTTAGGCTGACGTTTTGGGAGTGTGTGTTTCACATACGTGTTAGGGCTTTATGGAAGCAAACGCATCATTAGAAAAATAATGAAGGGTTGCATTTTTAAAGAGCGTGGGAGAATCTCTTTTCCGGCTTGCATGCTCAATGGACTAAGAGAGGTCGTTTAGTGGGGGGCTAGTTCTTTTGTAAGTGAACTCCAGCTGACTCTTGAAGTCTCAAGTGTAGTAAGAAGACTCCAAGTCTCCAGTCGCCGGCTCCGTGGAAGCGGTCGTGCTGCGAAACCCACAGTTCCCACCAGAAAGCCGTGTCTGCGCTGTGCATAGGGGTGCAACACTCCCGTTTCAAACGTGTCAGGACACCTGATTTAGAAATATTGTGGCATTAGCGGCTAATATATTTAGACTTCTACCTCTGTGAACCACTTGAACGGCTCTCTAGACGTTCATCAGATGGCTGCAGAAAACCAGCCAGGGAGCATCCAAATGAGGCTATAAATCCCATACACCTGGAAACTGGACTGGACAGCTGGAAATACCAATGGGCAGTCCATGTGGCTGGTTCAGGCCAGTGATGAAACTATACTTTGTCTTGTCCTGTAGCTGGGGTGCACAGCCCACTCACAGCTGTAGAGAACAATCAGTGCCGTTGATTGTAATCAGGGGATTAGCTGCTGTGGCCAAATATGTAATGTGACAGTTGCTGGGTCGAATCACAATGTGTTGTCATTTGGTTTGATCTCTATTATACGTTAGACTAAAAACAGAATGCTGCAAAAAAATATCGCACAGCAACGTAATTACAGACTCATACGCAGGTGTTCTACTATCGCTTGAGGTCTTGCACTTGAGAATTATTTTGTGATGGGTACAGTAGTTAAAACTGAATATTCTTTCCTAGTTAATTTTCTCTGAAGGCATTTTGACTTTCCAGACGAGTCCTTGACAGTCTCTGAAATTGGCTAGAGAGCGTGGGAGGAATTTCAAAGGATATCCTCAGGGCAGGCTTGAATTTCCCCCCTCAGCCGTGGACAGGTGTCAGTAAATGGGTGTCGGCTGAAAGCTATGCGCTCCAGTGCTTTGCAAAAGCAAAGCCTCACAGATGAGTAACTGGGGACACACCTTCTTAGAGTCCCAATCCAGAACAGCTTCACAATCTATAATAACAACATCATCAGGCTTCCAAACAAGAGGAAGACATTTGCCCCATTGGACGTTAGTAACCAGTTAGTCCAAGGATGCCAGCCATTCCTGTGTAGCTTGTCCTATACTGCCCCCCACCCTTTGCATAAAGAAGTTCCTCCTGTTGTCAGGTTTAAAAGCACTTTCACATTGTGTCCACATGTGACCTCCGGTTCTCGTTTACCACTGTTGAAACTTGCTGGCTTTGAGGATTTTGAAAACCTGGATCATGCCCCACCGTAGTCTTCACTGCTTGAGGCTGAACAGGTTCAGCTCTTTCAGCTTTTACCCCTCCACCTGTGCAAACCTGGGAGAAACTTACTGTGCAACTGCGGAGAAGATGGAAGTTAAAACGTCTTGAGTACTTTTTCTTTCTGTGTTCAGATGATTTCAAATTGCTTTATGAAATGTAAGTGGTGCTCACGTGCTCTCTAGTTTTTTTTTTTTATTCCACAAATAATTAAACCATTAGTGTGGCAAGGTGAGAGTTAAATCAGCCTAGCACCTTAAAAATATCTTGGAGCGGTCCAGTGTCTACAGAAATTTTACAGTATGCCTAATTATAGAGCAGGGGATCGTTTAATTGAATCCATCTTTTCCTTTCTTTGTGTTTTCGTCCAGGAACTGCACTATGGAAATTTGCTCAGGGGCCACTTAAGTTTTACTGACTAAATCTGACTTGGCTTGCATTGTCTTGTGAGGATTGCTGTGGACTGACCGCTAAATGCATGCTATCAAGTTGCTAACTTAGAAAGAGCCAAGTGTAACTTGCTGAAGCAACTAAAATGTCTTCCACTACCTTCTTAAGCCAAAGCTCAGATATTACTGTACTTGTACTGGTGTCATTGGTACACGGAAACAGATTTAAGCAGTATGTTGGAAAGGAAGAGATTTAATTGGAAACAGAAATGTATGGACAGTTTTATTTACTGCCAGCAGTAAAAAAGGTTTTATTAGAGAAACTGGTCTGTTTTCTTGCATCCCTCTTTAGTCTTTATCCAACAAACACAAATTAACATCAAGTGGCTCCTTCATTAATGTAATACTTTTGAATTCTCATGGAATTCTGAAAATATTATCTGGAGGATATTTACTGTATATCTCCTGGTGATTTAAAATGTGTTTATTGTGACTCCTAGAATTATTTTTATTTTAGTTTTCTACATTTTATTTTCATCATATTGTATTACATGTAGTGCCAAGACCAAGGATCAAGGTATTTGTTTCTGTAGTAAAGTACACATAGAGAACAAGGATGTATATACATCCTCCCCTGGTAGAAGCAGGCCATGTTTGTAAATGAAGGATATTTAGTGGTTTTGATTTCTGACACTGTGACAGGGCTTTCACAATGTGGTCTTAGTCCACAGTGCACAGCAGTCTTGGTGGTGGCAGCAAAATGAACTCTATTCTCCTGTAAGAGAAACTATGAACTGCCCAGAACACATCATAAAGCTGACATGCAGATTTATATTTTTTTATTAGAACAAGAGTTGCCGTCATTGATCTCTGAATATACATATTTTAAATGATATTTTTTAAGTCGGGGAATTAATATTTCTAGAGGCTTCACTGAATTCATACCGACGAGGTGCATAAGCTGTTGTGATGGGGATAGTTTATAACTCAGTGGAGGCTCAGATCAGCGCTGAGCTATTCCTTATTGTTATGCTTTCTGTTGTAAACAGTGAAGGAAAATGGCAACATTACCACAAGAAACTTGTTTTTTTTTTCTGTGAAGATGTGTTTTCGATGAAGGGCTGCCGGGCTGTGGGAACATATTTTCCAGCCCTTGGATGAGGGGGAGGATGAATAATCAGAGATGATGTAGAAGCCCTACAGACACCCTGTCCGTGGTGATGAAGTCAGGGAGCTGGAGGAGACCCAGATGATCTGTGGGAAGGAATAGTGGGTCTCTGTGAAGAGCTGCCTTTATTAATTATTTAAATTTCCATTGACATCACTGCAGAGCTGCAGACAAGTGATGGAAGAAGAAACTTACTATTTAGGAAGAAAGATCACCCTGTCTCCACCAAAGAATTACAGGCACAGAGCACTTAGACGTTTGTTTTCTTGAGGTTTGTTCTCCACAGTACATTGAGTTCAAGTTTCAAACGTATTACGCTTGAGTGTCTTCCTAAAGGTTTCTTTCTGTTTTCAAGGCATTAGAGGGCTAGAACAAACTATATCTGCGTCCATTCCATTTGTTAGCATAACTTTTCTTTTGCGTTGAATTTTGTTTTTTTTTAAATGGTTATTTCAAGCTTCGGCTTGTTCTTTTGGGTTGGCCTCTGATGTGGCTTTCAGATCGTGTCTCAGACTTCATTGTGTGCCTGATCTCATTCAAGATGCAAAATGAAACCATCCTGTTTTAATATGGATGTATTTATATACTCTAAACGTCTGGGTTGTGTTTGTTGTTGACAGAAATCGGAGACACAGAATTCAGTCTCTGCGGGTATTCTGTAGACTGCCTATACTGTGTGTTCTCCTCATTAAATTCCTCATAGCTTGTGAGTGTGTCGAGAGCATTTCGCCAGTGGTCTGTCTGCTTGGGTTATCTGCTGTGCAAGCTCCTCGACCCAGGAATGAAAGACTTCTCAAAGTTAGCGCACAGGGTGCAGCAAGATCACAGCTTGCCAGTGGACAGGGGTGTGTGACCAGCTCGTCTACCATGCCTGCAACACCCGGTTCCACATCTGCTTTTGACTAATTGCCTTCCTGTTGAAAGGAAATGAGTGTTGCACCATGCTGTTTTCCACGTTGGTAAAGCATTATTGTGCAGCATTCATGTGCACCCAAACTTCTTCTCTTTTCACGCTTCTGAAGGTAATTATGCTTAAGGTTTGTCCGCGTGCTGGATCATCTAGCCATTCCTTTCGTTAAGCACATGCTAGCAAGGAGATGACTGACTGAAAGCATGGCCATGCCTGCTTGCACAAAACTGAGCATTCCTTCTGTCTCCCCAGGTAACGGCGAGCATGACTGAAGAAAGGCAGCGATCTGATTGGACGAGGGAGCCCCTGCAGTAATCGCTGCCCTCCTGCGGTCACCCCGAGACAGATTGGTAGTGGGATGGCGAGGAAGGTCAGCTTCAGCGACTTGGAGGAAATGGAAGCTGCAATAGAGTGAGTCACAAATATTAAGTCTTTCATATCCCCCAGCACCCCTCCAATTCACTCCCCTAAATATCTGTCTAAAGTCTGTTTCTTTCGTGCATTACAGATTACTTTTATACAGTATACCCGCTCGCAGGAAGGAAAGAAATAAGATTGGCTATCAGACTTCTGCTTGGCCTGCCTTATCGATTGGCCGTGGGTACACAGTCAGTTACAACGCAGGACAGACTGCGATCAGGAGTGGGAGAGTCTCAGCTGTCTAATGTGACACTCTGCACTCTTGTTTTGCAGTTCATTTGCATGAGCGCCCATTAAATAGTAAAAATGTCTGTAATTGTCAGTCTATTATTATTCTCTGTCATTGTTCCCTGGGGAGCTCTGATCTTTTTTTAGGGTATGTATTCTGTCTCTGACGCAAAAGCAACTTTGTTTTAATCGATTTATCAAGTAACGCTTCAGAACAAGAAAAAAAAAACACCCAACAACAGCTTTGCATCCTCCCTCTCATTTTTTGTCAGTTTCTGTGTCAGTTCGTCTCTTGTCTAGACCTGCTCTCATTCCTAAACTCTTAAATTTCTTCCTTCATAGTGCCCCTGTGTCAGAGGCTGTCATCCACCTCTAAGAGTTGCCTTGGAGGGTTGGGGAGGGGGATGGGTTGATAAGTTTATCATGATGTTGCAGTTCACCACAGGAGGGAAATTTACACAGCAATTTAAACAGGGTTATGTTTTGCATTATAAGAATACAGATGTTGAAATCTTCCTTGAAAGCCGAAGAAAGTCTAACCCTGGTCCAGCCACCCATCTCATGACCTGCCTTATCTGCCACGTGCCACTGCATGTGTATGAACGGTAGGGCTGCATGTGTATGAACTGTGTCTACATGCTTGCTCAGTAAGGATTTTTTTCCTGTTTCCCTGCAGGAGTCCCTTAAGTCCCATGGACGAAAACCTTGTCCACGACTCCTTCAGCCAGCTGATCGAGGAGCAGAGCCACAGCATGGACGAGGAGGGTCAGGAGGTCATCGAGATGGATGACATTCTGGGGGAGGGGCGAGGTAACAGCGGGGGTTTTCCGAACTAATAATAAGTCAACGGAGCCTGTTGGAGGTTACCACAAGCCATGTGAGGTTGAATGCTTTAATCTTAATTAGGATGTCTTGGTCACTTAAGAAAAGCATTCAGTGTTTAAAGAGAACTCTGGACAATAATATCTGGCTTGACGCGCTTCTTGTCCCAGGTTTTCGCTCTCCGTCTGAAAGGCCCCTGTTCTTTGGTCTCTTTATCTCAGATAATCCGGCCTACCTGTCCTCTCCGGCCCGGCACGGCAGGGATGAGCCGGGGGAGAGGGAGCTCCCCGTCACCGGGGGCGCGCGAGATGGGGACCCCCTGATGAGCGAGCACTTCTCCGCCGCCACTCTCAGGGTGCTGTCGGCCATGCCCAGCCGCACCATCGGTGAGTCCCGTCTGGCGGCGCGCCCGCGCCTCTTTTACGGGCTGAAGCGGCATCTGCGCTCGCCGCGCCGGCCTGTTACGCCGTTTAGGGCTGCGGAAATCTGCCTCCGGCCTGGGACCATCACTCCTGGACTGGCCTCGGTGCATTTGAAACGGACACCTGCTGTACGGGACGTCTCAGAAATAACTGTCGTGGAGAGTAGGGAGTAGAGGGGTACATGTGCGTTGGAATTTCTTATTCACGCTGATCTCCCAGGACATACACAATACACGGACAGCACCGCACGATGTAGACAGTGCATTGCAGACATAATAAATAATAAGAATGGGAACAATAAATATGTTGTGGGACAATAAATATGTAGTAGCGAGGAAGGAAAAAAAAAACATGGTAGACCATGCAAAAAGTGCATTGAGACCGAGGCGCTGCACAGTTAGCTGTTGAGGATGTACACTGCAGGAGGGTAGAGGTTGTTCTCAAGCCTAGTGGTCTGTGCTTTAATAGTGCGGTACTGCTTGCGTGACGGGTTGTCCTTTGTTGCGACAGCGGATGGTGTGAATCTCACCAGTTGATGGTGTGAATCTCTTCAATTAATGGTAAGTCACGTGCTGTAATCCACTGTGCCGTTTCCACAACCCTTTTTAGAGCATCTCTGTCAGGCATGGTAGTATTGCTGTACCGCACAGTGATGCTATGAGGGAGGACACTCTCTAACTTTCTATGGTGCACCGGTAAAAGTTCAGGAGGAGCTGCTTCCCTATACCGCGTTTCTTTAAGCACCTGCAGAAAGTGCAGGTGCTGTTGTGCCTTTTTTAGACTGGCTACAGTGTTGTGTGACCAAGCCAAGCCGGTGGAGATCTGCAGGCTGAGGAACCTGAAGCAGCTGACGGTTTCCACTGCTGTGCCAACGATGAGTTTGGGGCGCGATTCCCTCTGGGTTTCCCCGAGTCCACAATGAGTTCTTTTGTCTTGTTGACATTCAGGGCCACATTGTTATCAAGGCACCACAACAAGTGTCACTTGTTGTACGTGACACCGCAGGAGTAACTGAAAGCGGGGATAACGTTATCAGGAAAGCCACTACATTTCCACGATCCCAGCAAGATCGGTAATGGTCACTCACAAACACCCATGCATGATCATAACATAGGGCGCACATGACTGCAGCCAGCCTACAAAACTCGCGATATCGCTGCTGGAATTCGAGACACCATGGCGCTTGCACCTTATGTGTGTGCCTTCTCCCGGTGTTCTCTGGAAAATGGCCTTTTTCGTCACGGATTAAAATTAAAAACCTTAATTGAACTGTGCTGCGACCTCTTGCGATGGCTGGCAGAATATTTACTTTGAGTAACATGGTAGTACCACTGCAAATCCTAAACCAGCTTAGAGCAAGTGTAAGGATAGTTCCTGCTGCTCTGGAGCTGCTCCTGGAATCCTGCAAGAATGGGATATTTGTTTTGTGCTCGTAGTCCCTTCGCATCTCTGACACCATGGCACTCAACTATATGTGCAGGACACTTTTAAACGGAATGCTGCTGAAAGTCCAGTGTTAAGATATTTCTCAAGGCGTGAGGGCAGCTGGAGATTGTGTGAAAGCAGAATTAAGTTGGTGAGGACTTGGCTTCACCAGCTTGGCTGAGGGCCAACCTCCTGGAGGTAGCATGGGGGTGGGACCCTCCTGCCCGGTGAAAAGGCGACCAAGGGGCAGTTGAGAAGGTGGAGACGAGCGAGGAAGAGGAGAGGGTGGTGTGTGGTATATATGGGAATCTGAGAAATTACATCAGGATTTGTTGTGGGTTATGGCAGCTGAGTTTAATCCGTCCCACTACCCTCATCCCCTCCTGAACCTTTGTCAGAACTCCATATATCTTTATAAATATATATATATAAGATGCATATATTATTCTTAAAACAAATCAGGATTTGTTTTGCTTGCAATCCATTGATGCCACACATTTTCTCCACACCACTCTTTGACTGACCTTGTGATCCTAACTCATTCTGTGGCAGATCTTGCACATGCCTGAGAAAACCACTTGGGGTCTTTAGGGATCTGTGGATCTGGATCAGAACAGGAACAAGACAGGATCCTGTGTATTGGTCTTAGAATGATGAATCTTTGCAGATACATAGCTAAATAAGATTGTGTTCCTCGTGTCTTTGGTTTAGGCCACCAGCTCTTGCAGTGCACATACTGTAGCAAGCTGTCTGAGAACCATATTGATCACAGGGTGTGTTTTACAACATCAGCACTTTAAAATAACTTTTGACTAAGAGTGTATCTCAGTCTAAAAATATTTAATCACATGATTTTTATAAGTGTCAAATTTAAGTGAAACCTTAAGTTTCAGCAAGATAAAGATGATTTTTCAATATAGCAGGTTTTTACAAGCGTGGTGTGAAAAGCTGACTTAAGTTCGAGTTGCTGAAAAGGAAACATTCCTGTTCTGTCGGATCTATGGTCCAGCCCGTAACCTCCATTGCCTCCGTAACTTGAGACCCACTTAGAAATTTGGAGAAAGCAAAATTGTGATACATTGTAATGGTATTAAAATAAATGTAATGTTTAAAAAAAAAACTGCAATTTTTTTTTCGCAGTTGCCTGACAGTGGGTGTGTTCTAATCTGGTCTCTGTTCTAATCTGTTGCATTCATCTACCAGATGAAAATTCACCCTCAAGTCCCGTGGGCATAATTGTGAAGATGGGGGTGGGGAGGAGAAGTTAATGTTCTTACTTTTTTGATTTGTTCCAGGCCTAGGTTTGCTTATTTTGTGAAACCTGCTGCCTGTGACGTTTTACTCCCTACAGCAATGAACTTCTGCATATGTGCTGCTTGTTGCCTGTTTCAGGCATGCAGGACTATTGCATGGCATTGCTGCAGAGGGCTCTTCTCTGCCTCACCTATGCATTAGTTCATCTTCCGCTGGCACTGCTGCTGTCTGGCAGAATCGGCTTTCAGTGTCAAAAGCAACTTCCTTCTGCAAAAGGTCTTATTGTGGTGGGAACATTTCGGGATCTCCCGTATAACGCACAGTGTGTCAGACCTGCTTATACACATCAGCTCCCTCGATATCCTCATGGGCTTTGGTTTTCTGCCCTCGATCTTTTGTGTTTTGAGAATGTGTCTGTCAAGAGCTTCAGCAAAGGAGCTCTGGGGAGAATCCAGCTGGTGTCACGGACTCCATGGGTCAAGCCCTCTAATAATTTCCAGATGCTTCTGACTTGGGAGTGTCTTTCCCCTGCAAGAGCATGGAAAAATCCGGGGTTGCGGTACAGGAGCCTGCTGCTGGTGGTGGTGGTGGGGTCATAGCTACGCAACAGCACTTTGCACAGGCTCTTCAGGAGTCTAATCAAAGAAAATCATACAATCTGCTGAGGTAGCTGATGCATTATAACTAAACAGTGGAGTTTCTTGAAACCCAACCTGTAAGGTCTTTAAATAACATTCTCAAGATTGTTCTTGCGCAGTTTTCTGTCATTGACGCACCACCGTGATGTCATTGTGGCTTGTATCATGCGCGAAGGCCAGAGAAGTATTAGTCACCAGCGAGCGCCGAACCGAGGGGAGTTCGGGTTCCTGGCGTCGGCTCCGCTGTTCCAGGTTTTTATCGCCGGCTCCTGACTGCGTGTCCCTTCCCCCCTCTTGCCCCAGGGCGCAACCGCGGTGCCATCATCTCGCAGTACTACAACCGCACCCTGCAGCTGCGCCGCCGCCACCAGAGCCGGCCCTCCATCCGGGACTTCTCCCACTCCTCCCGGCCCAGCATCCGCGGATACGGAGTGGCGGTGGGCGAGGACGAGGACGGTGAGGGCTCCGCCTGGCCGTGCCCCGTCGCCATTGCGCGCGGATTTTGTTGGAGTGCACCCAGGGGGGTGCCTGGGGGCAATGGCACATGCCCTAGAATGGCAGTGGGGCCCCAACATCGGTACTGACGTTGAGCCGAGGTTAATGTGTTCAAGCCCTTTAATGGAGAATTCCGCCGGGCTTGTCTGGATCAAGCTACCCAGCCGTCTCGTCAAAGACGATACCACCCAAACCCTAACATATATCCTGTCCAGAGCACCTGAAAAATAAACGAGTGGTTGAAAACCAAGATTTTTGAATTGGAGCAAGCAAGCTCTTTAATTTCCTATTTAGCTGAATTAAAATACTTTAGATGACCCCTGTATCATCCATACATGAACTCATTTTACTTTATATCCCGTGAGTTAAGTACCACCAAAGTGGTTTTCTGCATCAGCAGCTCGTCGTCTGCTGTCAGGTTCTCGCAAATGACACTTGCGTCTTGTGGGCACCAAATTCTCGTCAGTCATTTGCACACTGGCCTGTTCCACTAGCACCACCTGTTTATTTTACTGTCTTCTAGTCTACAAAGTAACACTTCATGTGGGAGGGTAAGATATGCGGTACATTGGCTTTACATTTTTGTTTTCTTTAGAATGAAGGAAGTGAAATGAAATGAAGTGCAGTTCCTGGTTCCAATTATGGAAGCCAGGAGTGGAAGACCTTTATTTAAAACTCGTATAGTAGAAAAGAAGAAATGAATATAGTGGTGAGACTGTATGTTTGCCTTCTCAAAAATAGAAATTATTATTTGACCCACTTACTGTGCGTCTGCACGGAGAGACTAACTTTTTTTGTCTTGGCGGGTGTGCTACAACCACACGGGAGTGAAAACACTGTTGCAGTGATCTCATTGATGGTCCGGTTGGTTTCAGCTCTAAAGACGGAGCGTCTGATCAGCAACCTGAAGAGCCTGCCAGCCAGTGATCGGGCGCGCACGCTGCGGACCATGCCCCTCAGCCTGAGCGAGAAGTCTGAGCTCCGGTAGGCATGGCGCCCACCCCGAGTCCGAGCCCTCACGCTCCCTGCTCTCAGTGGAGATGGGGGGGGGTTATTCTGATTCACACCTGCCACTGGATACAGGCAACAACCCATCTTTCAATCTCCTCTCTTTCAGATATCTGCAGTTCAGGAGATATTTTTTAAATAGTTGGTTTCAGTACACGAAGAGTGCAAGGTCTAGACAGGGAATAAGATAAAAGATAAGATCACTTTATTAGCCATGTACAATTTCTTGCATTAGGAATTTTGCTTTTTGCTTACCCCAGTTTGCTCTCCATGAGACACACAAACGGGGAGGGAAGCTTGGGGTCAGAGCGCAGGGTCAGCCATTTATATACGGCGCCCCTGGAGCAGTTGGGGTTAAGGGCCTTGGTCAGGGGCCCAACGGAGTAGGATTCTTCTGCCGGCCATGAGATTTGAACTGGCAACCAGTTCCAGCCACAGGCACAGGCCCTTTTTTTTAGATAAGATCACTTTATTAGCCATATACAGTTTCTTGCATTAGGTATACAATTTCTCGCATTGTATAGCTGGTACATCCTGGATTCACATGGGGAAAAGAAAGACAAATTCTGTTTTTTCTTGAATTTGTCCGCAGGAAACTGGCCTGTAACTATAAAGGAGGGCACTCTGTTTCCCGCAGTGAGATTCCGTGCTGCAGCCACATCAAGAGTTATTTCATCATTGTGAGTAACCGGCCTGCAGCTATGTGCAAAACACGACCTTGGGTTACAAGGCGCACTTTACCCCTTTAACTTTCACTTACAATCGAACGACAGAAGCCGAACGGCATGAGAGTCCACGGGTTTCAGAGGAAGCCAGAAAATGCGAAGAAACAATTTTCTAATCGGCAAAAAAAAAATGTCTTTGCTAATTTTTGCTCCTAGCTGGCAAGTGAAGGGTTAAGTGTTGCCAAATCCTTACGAAGAACTGTAGTTTCCGCTCCGCATAAAACGTCACTGTGGGTATGTTTGTATCCTTTGTACCAGGAGCAAAGTCTGACTCATTTTTTTCTAAAGGGTTTTTTTTATGTTGCGTTACAACTCTTATGTAACATCCTCCCTTAAGTATTTTCAAACTTTTAAAATGCAATTTTTTCTGCACGTAAATTGCTCCTCGCGTGTAGCAAACAAGTGTACAGAATCCGTTAGAAAACGCAAAATCCTGAAATGAAGACAAAATTAAGTGTGTCACATCAAGCCGCAGAGCCGCAAGTCCATGCACTGATCACTGCATTACTGCACTGTGCTCAGTAATTGCCATTGTAGTTTTCCTAATTTGCAGTTGGGTTTGTCTGAATCATGCGTTTGACCATGCAATTGACCAAAAGGAATATTCCTTCGACACTGATATTTATAGTGAAGAATTGTTTTTCCCTGCTGCTGTGAGCACAGTCAGGCGGTCCGTCGGCTCTGAGCCTGGACGTGCTTTAGGACGCCTGAAAGTGTCCCACTAGATGATGGCCAGCGGCGGTGTGCTGTGGCTTGTCTCGCACAGGGCCTGCGGCAAGGCTGGTCCAGCTGGCTGGCCTTCCTGCGCCGCCTGCAGCTGTGGCAGGTGGCGCTGAAGCAGCTGGGCGGCCGCTTCGGGACGGGCGTGCTCTCCTACTTCGTCTTCCTCAGGACCCTGCTGCTCTTCAACGTCTTCCTCTTCCTCGTCAACACCTTCTTCCTAGTCATCCCGCAGGTGGTCCACCGGCCCCCGGATGTCAGGAACAGATCCTTCCTGGGCCTGGAGCTGCTCACGGGGGCGGTAAGGACAGGCCTGACCGTCGACGCTCCCGTCCGGACACCCGAGACCCGCTAGCATTCCTTCTGTCCGGGCTCAGAAGGATCTGACCACATACTGTACACCCAGAATAATTCCCAGTCAGCACAGACAAGTGGTAGCTGAGGATTTTAAAGTAATTTAAAGCAGGGGAGGTTTCATGACAAATTCTTTAAGGTTCTGGTTGAATAAACACGTGTACTGTCACAGTTAGGCTTTCGAGGCATGACTGGGGCAGATGGGCCTTCTGTCGCCTGGTGACGTATCTAATTCTGCCCATTCTGTTTCTGCACAGGGCTACTTTACAGATACTGTGATGTTTTATGGCTACTACACCAACTCTACCTTGAACAGCAGCTATAGCCCTGCAGCCGGAGGCTCTGATGAGAAAAGGGTGCCCTACAACATGCCTCTGGCCTACTTCTTCACTATTGGCATCTCGTTCTTTATCACCTGCATCATCCTTGTCTTCAGGTTAGCTGTGCTGGTGATTCTTTTAAGATGATCTGCCGGTTGGATTACATGTTTCATGGATAATGAAAGCCAAATGATCAGCTTGGCTTTCATTATCCAAGCCATTTTAGAACTGCTGACCTGCTAAATAATATTTCCAACTGTCGATCCCTTTAAAAAGGCTTTGTTAACTTCATTTTTCCAGATATGGTGTCACACGTGTGGGTTGCGAAGTCAGGAGCTATATGCAGCCTGGGAACACAGAGGTTTCCTTGATGGTTAAAGCAGCGCTTGTGCTTTTCTGTTTTTGCAGCATGTCGAAGTCTTTCGGTGAAAGCTACCGCATAGACACCCCTCACGGTGACTTGGCGATGAAGGTGTTCTGTTCCTGGGATTTTAAAGTCATTAAGAAGAGCTCTGTAAAGCTGCAGTGTGAGAACATCAGCACTCAGCTGAAGGTAACTCGACCACACTTGGGCACACACAGCTGGAATTGTTATACTTGATTAGGCTGCCAGACGAGAGTGAGCAGTTAGCAGACAGGGGCAGTGTAGTCGGGGCTGGATTTTGGTGTCCGTAGGCCCTAGGCACTTTCACTCCGAAATGTGCAAAAGGAGGGGTAAACGCCAATTGAATGACGTCGATTGACACGATGCACTAAACTTTTCTAATGCTAAACCACGTGACGGACCATCACTTCGATTCTAGTTTCAGCTCATTTTTTGTTAGTCACTAGTGTTTCCCTCCTTCGTAGGCCCCAAAAAGTTTGGAGGCCCTAGGCACTGTGCCTAAATGGAAATCCGGCACTGAGTATAGTCCTGACCTGACTCCACAGAAAGATTTCTGTTTTCCTGGGAAGGGTTGGAAAGGGGAAAAACATTCCACCCGGGGCTGCAGACAACAATGAAGTTCAGAAAAGCCAGTGACGCAGCAGGGCAGGAAGGGAGAGGGGGGACTGCGCAGCCCTTGACAACCACAGCTGTTGCCCCTTCTGAGACCGATGACAAAGCCCCACACTGGAGATGAGAGCAAGTTGTTCACTCTCCCCGTGACCTCTCGGCTGCAGGAGCTGCTGTCAGAGCTGGCCCTCAGGAGGAACAAGACAAGCCTGCTTCAGAGGCTGGCGTGGGTGATGGTGCACATGCTGGCCTGGGCAATGTGCCTGGGAGTCACACTGGGCTGTGTCCTGGCCACGTACTACTTCTCTGATTACATGCACCAGGTAAGACAACAGTGGACACGGGGATCATACAGCACATGTCCGAACTACATGCGCTGTGTAATCGCGGGGGGCATCGCTTGGATTTTCCAGCACATTTTTCACAGCCAAAACCCCCTGGTCAAACTGCAGAGTATGTCTGGATGATGTGACAAGAATTAAAAATAATATAAGAATCCATAAAAGACATCAACCTACAGGAATCCACGCAGCTCACCAGAAACTGTGAGTTTACCCCCCCCCACAACAAAAAATGCAGTGCTAATGTGCGATTTATGATTAAACTAGCTGTTACCACAACATCCTGCTGGGAGTGTATGTACTGGAAAGACAGCAAGTGGGTGCAAGAGTTGTCAGAGAAACCTCCATAATTCACAATCTCTTATCCAGTCTAAGGAGGCAAGATCTGACGTGTGTGATGAAACCACACGACCTGAAGGCATGTGTGTGTGTAATGCCTACAAGCACTGCATCAGATAATGTTGTTACTCCTGGTTTTAAGATTTTCAGTCTTGGCTGGGTGCTGCCATGAATTGAGCTCATCTTTGCACCATCCAGCACCACAACCAAAAGGTCTTAACGTGGCGCCTGGCCAGGCATAGGTTCACAAAGTCAGTGTCCGTTTGGAGTGGTGACCTCCATAGTCATAGCTGATATAAGCCGAAGATATTTTGTTTGTTGAGAAACCGAGCTCAAAATAGATCCCACATTGATTTAAAATAAATTCTAGATATGTACTACCTCAGATATGATATATTTTTCATCAGGTTATTTTAGAGCTCTTCTTTGGACTCTGCTGCCGATACACAGGCATCAGAGTGTCCCATTTCTCTTCTACCTGCTGGAGTGTTGGGACAATCATCGCATGACCAAGACGAAAATAATTTTTATTATTGTTTTACAATGCAGTTGGAAAGAGTCATCTCCCAGACAGCTCATTAGATAGTCCCAGCCTCTTTCTTTGCGGTTATCATAATTTAAAGCAGCTTATCGTCTTCTCATAACGTAAATGCTCCACATTCTAACAGAGCTGGGAGAGTGAAATGCTGTACTGGAATCTGACTGGATTGAGAGTATTGTTACAGTGGAGCAAAGCAACTGATCCCAGCCCTGGTTCTGTGTGTTCCACACAGGACCTGAGGACGAGGACACGAAATGTTGACCAGAACAGCAGGCCAGAGGGTCTCCTGCTGCAAGAAGCCAGTCTGCTAGCTCTGCCTGTGGTGGTTTCCAGTATTAACCTGCTGGTACCGGGCTTCTTCAACACAGTAGCCTGGATGGAGGAGTTCAGCTCACCCAGTATGCACACCTATGTCGCCACCTTCAGGTAACAAATGGAATTTGTCTGTTCATTCTTCCGCTTAAAAAGTTTACTTAGAGCTGGAAAATATCCTTAATAGCATTGTAATGTTTTGAACTTTTAAGGAATTGGAATTGTATTGAATAACCCTGATCTACAGGTCCAAATTAGCTGGGAGTATACAGCTGGAATCTGACTGGAAATCTGAACTCCTTGTTCCAGTCAAATAAGGAATTCACTGACAAATAGGTCTAGTGCTATGATTTTCCCCCTACTCTAACATGATGCCAGCTAGATTAGGAAAATGAAGTCGGTTATGTTGTCTTCAGAGAGTGCGTTTTTATTCCGTCTTCATGCATTGCTAAGAAGAGGAAGGGTGAATGGATAGGGTCCTGTTGCAAAGCAGAACTGCCCTCCAGTGACATGACTATTCTGGGCTGTTTGCAGGAACCTGGTGCTGAAAGTGAGCTTGCTGGGAGTGCTGTGTTACCACTGGCTGAGAAACATTGCCAAGAACCCACAGAGTGTGAACTTGGAGGTGAGAGATTGACCTCTGGTTTCGGTCAAGCAGGCTGGTGGACAGTGCAAGACTCCCAGTCCTTGGCAGTCTGCTCTGATTGGCTGCTAACATTAGGAGAGAGGGCAGTGGTAGTGGTTAGCAATGCCGCCTTGCAGCGGTGAGGTCCTCGGTTCAGTTTCGGACCCAGGGTTTCGTATGTTCTTCCCGTGTTTGCGTGGGTTTCCTCTGGGTGCTTCGGTTTCCTCCCACAGTCCAGACATGCTGGTGGGTTAATTGGCTTCTGGGAGAAACTGGCTCGGGTGTGAGTTGGTGCATGTCTGTGTCTGCATGCCCTGCGGTGGACTGGCATCCCGTCCAGGATGAATCCTGCCTTGTGCCCTTTGCCGGCCTAGATAGGGTGACCAATACCCTGAATTGGGTGAAGGGAAGATAAGAGAGAATACTTGACCTTCACCTGTGTTCTTTGTTTTCGATTTGTGATTCTGCTCCAACTTTCTTATGGTATGATATTATATTTGACTTTGGCGATAGAACTAAACTTGAATTGAGACACTAAGAATAAATACCTTACCTCTTACACAAGAGGTGCTCAGCTCTGCTCCTGATGATCTGCATGAACTGCAATTTTTTTTCAAACAATTTGCTCTTGAGTATCTTTAATCAACTGCCGCAATTTAACAGTAGCCCCAGATCTGTCATCTGTTGCTGGCTTACATAGATTCTGCTTGCCAGTGGGCCTTGAGAAATTCAGCCTTAGTTGTTGAACAAAAAGGAAAGTAATACATTTGTCTAGCTTTGCTTTGCAGTCATACGAGATAATATCATTACTGTGGATAATATCAGTACCTGTGAAATAAGTGGATGCTTGCATGTCTTTGGTTGTCAGCTGTTACACATGTTACAACTGTGTGCTTTTGCTTCTCAAGTATTTTAAGACATCGTTGCCTCGGCATTACTTTGAAAATAAAAGTGCAGCACGTATTTATTTTTAAATCCCACAGCTGCAAACTCTGGTAACTTCTCTCATTCTCTTCTTCTCAGTGCTGGGAGACCTTTGTTGGACAGGAGCTGTATCGCTTTTTACTGATGGATTTCATCTTCACCTTACTGGATACCCTCTTTGGGGAATTCCTCTGGAAGTATGTTTAATTGCAGTTCTGTCATTTCAAGAAGGGCCTCAATTAACTTTTTCTTTACCAGCATAGGCTCATCGTTACATTTAGTGCGAAGCACTTACAAAGGATGTATTAAATCACAGGTTGTACAGTACATTGGTATAGAAGTTCTGTCATGTTATTTTAACATGGGAAAACCAATTCTTTATTGGTATGAATCACAACCTTGTGGTAGTTTTATACTTACCAAACCAAACATGCTCAGGAAGGATGGAAGAGTAACAATTTTGCCCACAGTTTTCTCTGAATCTAAGAAACAGACGCTGTTTGTACACTTGCAAGCACACGGTTAAAAAAATATTAAAACATTTAAAGTTGCTGTGTACTTGAGTGGCAACATGGTAGTGCAGTGGTTAGCGTTGCTGCCTCTGAGTGCTGGGCTCCTGGGTTCAGTTCCCGGAGCGGTATCTGTGTGGAGTTTGCATGTTCTCCCTCTGTTCACGTGGCTTTCTTCAGGGTGCTCTGGTTTCCACCCACAGTCCAACGACAGACTCAAACACGCCCATACTCGCACTGGGGCCAGTTTCCCAGAAGGCAACGTACCAGTATGTGTGTGTCCGGCGATGGACTGGCTGGTCTCGTCCAGGGTGTACCCAGCCTGGTGCCTTTGGTTTGCCAGGATAAAGCAGTTAGAAAATGGGTGGATGGAAATATATTAGAGGACAGGCATTACAAACACTTTTTCATGTAATTTTCTGGCTTTTACTCAGACCTGATATAAGGACATTTTTACAGAAGCCAGAGAAATTATATGGGTCTTGAGCTTGAAAAACTCGATAAACAAATGCTATCAAATAGTAGGCAAAATTTTAGGAAATGGTATTTTCTGTCGTCCAGCGGAATGCCAGTTTTTGACTGGCAGATTGAGGTAATTCCCTCAGTGCGCTGTGGGTGCTATGATTCAAAGTGAAACGCGGTTCTGGTGGCCACAGCTCTTCCCCTGCAACTCCTTTCTTTGCTTGCAGGCTGTTTTCTCAGAGAGCGCTGAAGAGGAAGAGGAAACCCGAGTTCGACATTGCCCGTAATGTGCTGGAACTTATCTACGGGCAGACACTAGCCTGGTGAGAACCACAGCTTTCTTTTCTCAAGAAATCGATAGGTGCAGTAGCTTCGCATGTGAAAGCAGGCATCAGTTCATTTACTGGATGTTCCTATTGAACGATGCGTGTGAGAAGTTCCCAATAGATCTCTCACTTCCTCAAATAGAAAATTATTCAAATTTTGTTATAGTAGTAGCATGCCATTTTTGAAGTTACTCTTGCCATGTTAGGACTTGACTCAGACTGTCAGAAAATGTGTTTAGTTACTGTACCCCAAATGGTCATCCGTACTGTAATAGTAAAAGTGTAGTTTTCTCCCCATGCAAAAAAGCGTGTTTTGTAGGGCATTTAAATGCTGTTTTGAGTTTGATGCCTGACGTGGAAATCATTTTGATTGAATATCACAGAATATCTTTTTTTCCCCTCTAGGTTGGGTGTGCTGTTTTCCCCCTTACTTCCTGCTATGCAGATTATCAAACTACTGCTTTTATTTTATATTAAAAAGGTGGGTAAGAATGTCAAGAGACCCGTTTGGTGGTCTCGTGTTCAGGGCCTTTAGTACACAGCATTTTTAATCACTTGGTAGCTAAGAATTCTATAATGTGTAGTTTTGCTGTAATGTCCTTTCCTAAACCTAAATATCCTAACACAGCTGAGAATACAAATGCAAATTCCATGCATTCAGTTTTGATCACAGCTGAATGTATGGGTCATTAATTTCAAAAGCAGTTACTATCCATGAGAAAGCAAGTCTTGCAGCTATAACAGCATCACTCATCAGAGACAGCCTGTAGTACAATTCCCCTGATCCACCTGCACATTTCTCCAGGCTGCCGTTTCAGGATTATTTTATTCAGGTCAGGTGGATCAAATTATGAATCCAGCTTTTAGCAGACATGAATAACTGCATGGCTGCATTTTACCTTGACAGTTTGAGCATTGTATCGTGGTGACGAAAATGTTACCAGCCGAACGTAGCTGATGTTAAGGCACTGCTGTCTGACCTTGCAGACCAGTCTGATGATGAACTGCCAATCTCCGAGGAAGCCGTGGAGGGCCAGTCAGATGACCACCATCTTCATCAGCCTGCTGTGTTTCCCCTCTTTCCTAGGGGCCGCGGTCACTGTCACGTACACCTTCTGGGCGTAAGTATCGCCTCCCTCCCAGTCTGTGTGTGGGGGACTTGGTGGTCCTGGCAGAGAAACTGGGGCACAAGGAAATTCCTAACAAGCAGCCGCAAAACACAGAGAAACATGCACAAAAACAGTACATATTCGTTTATCTTGAGTTCATTAAACTCTATTTAAGTGCTGCCCTGGGGAAATTATTGCATTCATAGCACTGGATATTCGACTTGTGTGTTTCGATTCAGAGACAAAGTAAGTCTTAGGTTAGAACAGCTCTTTCTATTTTTCGTTCCCCCTCTGCTTTTGATGTAGTTTAAAAGTATAAATGTGTAGGATTTACCATTGGGTTGTACCATTTGGCCAAAAGGGGAGTAATTTTACTCTTGAAGTAAATGGAATACGAGCAAAAATGTAATTTTCCAAACTGGAGAGAGACATGGAAAGAAGAGCATGGTCTTAAATAGCCCAAAAGGGAGACCCTCCTTGCCCTGAATCACTCACTCTCACAGGTCAGACCCCCTGACCCTTTCGGCTACTCATGTCTTAATCCATCGGGGGACGCCCATTCAGGAGGATCAGCAGGAGGATCGCAGGAGGGGTGCACACTCGCAGAGGAACAAAAGCAGGGAGGCCTTAGGTGTCTGAGTGAGCCCAAGTTGGCAGTTTCTGTAAGTCTGTAGATGCAGAACATGAGTTTTAAAGAATGCTTAAAAACAAACAAACAAAAAAATAGCTTACACTTATATAGCGCTTTTCTGGACACTCCACACAAAGCGCTTTACAGGTAATGGGGTCTCCCCTCCACCACCACCAATGTGCAGCCCCACCTGGAGGATGTGACGGCAGCCATAGTGCGCCAGAACGCTCCCCACATATTAACTATGGGGAGGAGAGCAGAGTAATGAAGCCAATTCAGAGACGGGGATTATTAGGAGGCCATGATTGGTAAGGGCCAATGGGAAATTTGGCCAGGACGCCAGGGTTACACCCCTACTCTTTTCGAGAAACAGCCTGGGATTTTTAATGACCACAGAGCTTTTACGTCTCATCCGAAGGACGGCGCCTGTTTACAGTATAGTGTCCCTGTCACTTTACTGGGTCATTAGGACCCACATGGACCACAGGGTGAGCGCCCCCTGCTGGCCCCACTAACACCTCTTCCAGCAGCAACCTTAGTTTTGTTCCCAGGAGCTCTCTCATCTAGGTACTGCCCAGGCTCACACCTGCTGAGCTTCAGTGGGCTGCCAGTTCTGAGTTGCAGAGTGATATGGCTGCTTAGGAATTGTAATATTCCTTCTGCAGGATCAAGCCCTCTGAGAGCTGTGGGCCTTTCCGTGGTCTGAACAGCATGTTTCAGTCGGGGAAGAAGTGGGCTGAGAAGCTCAAGAGCACCAATCCAGACCTGGCCTGGCTCGCCTGGGTGCACACGTACCTGGTGGAGAACCCCCTGTTCCTCTTCATTGCAGGGGGCATCTTCCTGTAAGTCAACACAGCTTACAAACATGTTGGTATTCTTCTGTCTAATTACTGCATGAGTTGCATCACAGTTGCATTACAGTGGAAAGAAGTACAGAGAGCATTTTCTGTTGCAGCTTTGCTCTGGTACACAACAGTGAAACATCTGACTCCTTTTGATATCTGACTCAATCAGCAGCAAGTCTGTTGTTTTACCAATGAGTTATTAATTTTCTTGTATCAGCTAGCTCAGTGCACAAAATTCAGAAAAAGGTTAAGCACCTCTTCATTCTTCATCACATTTTATTCTGCATTCAGGCCCTGATTCCAAAGAGCGATACAAGCCTGTGCATATTCAGGCATGTATTCAGTTCTGTGAGAAATGCTTCGTGTTGATGCTGTCTGTGCCTGTTCCTAGAACAGCAGAAGGTTTTGATTTTTTTTTTCTTTCCACCCAGAGTTGTTATTTATTTCCACACACAAGTCGTGGATGGCCAAAGGAAAATAATCAGTTTGCTTCAAGAACAGATAGAAAATGTAAGTAAAACACTGCCACTAAGTCATTTTCTAGTATCTTCATTGATTTGTATTGTATAGAATTATTAATTAGGCATGTAGTACTCAATCATGTGTATTAATGAGTTGATTAAAAGCTGTATTGGATGTGAAGTAGTAAAGAAAATTAACATAACTTCACATTGAGTTTCTCGATAAAAAGGGAGTTTTCAGGGGAGTTTTACTGTCACAACTGTGGATCTTATAACCTTGCCTCCTACTTGTACCCAGACACTTTTTGACTATTTAGACTATTTCTCCTACAAGCCCAGACGCACATGCCATTGCCTTTTTGGCCATAAGAGGTCTCTGTTGCGATTTGTAAAAATACTAAATCTCTTTTCCCTGTGACACGTTTTCCGTGCCATTCATAGGAGGGAGAGGACAAAAAGTTCCTTATTACAAAACTGCAGGTGATTCACGAGCAGAAGAGGCCAGTATCTGGGAGGAGGTTGAATATTAGAAGCAGTCAGGTGAGTTTTAGTCAGCTTGCACTATTGATGTATTATGACTTGTCCCTGGTGGTGAAGCCATTATTATGATTTTGTCCTGAGGAGTTGGAAACCTTTAAAAAAAATCAGCTACTTTAGTTCTGCAGTATATTTCTTAATTTATTATTCATTACATTGATATTTTATTTGGGGAAAAATAAGGAACAGCCTTTTTAAAAACATATGTACAAAATTGTTTTTGGTTATTCAAACTAATCAGATGAAGAACAAAGATAACAAAATCTAAATGCAATAATTAAAAATCTACATCACATAATTAATGCTAACATTTTATGTATAGAGCACAGCAAAGCAGACCATTTTCATTCTCACAAGTCCTGACCCAATTTAACTGTGGTTGACGATTAATTTTTTTAAAATGCCAAATGCCAGTTTTGTCCTTTCGTCCTTTTAATCCAAACATGAGCAATCTCTGTCGGTTTCTTGCACCTGGAAAACAGAACAATAACATCTAACTAAATCAATATTATTTTAATTTGGCAATTACAAGTACAGTAGGCCTGTTGTTTTAGCTGGTGTAGAGTCTGAAGTGTGTATCCAAGTGAAGTTACCATAGTAACACTAACAGTGTACTGTATTGTCGCACACAGCTTTTAAATTGAGCAGGAATGACGACCTTTATACTGAACCACATGTCTGCTGACAGTCCACTGGATTCATGCGTGTTAGTACCGTGGTGTAATATGTTTCTATCAAACCACTATAAAGCAATTTTTTTACAAATGCAGAAAAATCTGAACTATACTGTTTGCTCTTTAGAGTATTGATGCTGATGTTCGTTCCACTAAAACCAGACAGATGTGGGTTTGACTTGTTAATCCAGCTGTCTGATTAATCTTTTTCAATTTATAATCCGTCAAAAGTGATGTCCAATATTCAGATTTTCTTTTCCAATCTGTCCTGTGTGGTTATGTCATGTCATGTCAAACTCTTTTCAGGTGATCTTTAGTAAGTAGTTAATGAGGAGGGGGCTGCAGTTTAGTGGTGTCCAAAAGATGGCCTCTGCTGTGTGTACAGTGCTGTGGGAATTTCTGATGTTTTATGTCTTTAATTCGCAGGACTCCTAGCTGGGGAAAGGGAAATGATTTGTTCCGAGCACCCTAAACTTGCCCCTTGCCACTGTTAAAGTCGGTTTACTTAAAAGAGAAGCTGCCTGGCTGACTGGAAGATAATAAAATGTGAACTGCGCCTGCGTAATGTGAACCGGAGTCACAAAGCAAATCATATCGACCTTTGGAATACCTGCATTATTCTGCTCTTTACAAACAGGAACAGGAAACAAGCTGAGGCAGAACATGTCAGAAATCTGCACAGGTTACAGACCAGATGGTTAAGGGTGTTGTCTGGACTTCCTTGTATGTGCCGAAGGGAGATGGCCCACTTTTGAGTAGCAGGTGTAAAGAATGAATGGCTTTTTCTGATGTTCGGGAACTGGTGCATTATATTAGACCAATTGTTATTTCTAGCACAGCAGACCCGTTCTTCCTCCTACAGACTGCAGCCTCTTCAAGAAAAATGAATTTCTGGTTACCCAGTCCAGAGAAACTTGAGTGAAGAAGGTAGATGAATTCTGGCAAATGATAGGACTTTTGGCTGTTGTGTCACATTGTTGAGCACCATCAGTAAAACCTATGAGCCAGTATATCGTACTTCACCAAGGTTTGGACATTTCAGGGCGCAAGACTACAGAAATCCAACTTGTGATGTGTAGGGACTGAATATACACAAAACTCAATAAGGATTAACCACTAGAATATTAAAACAAATCCCATCTAAATAGCTTATTGTACTTTATTTATTTTTATTGTGTTTTATACAGGGTCTGGTTGTGGTGTCTTTTTTTGTTGTTTAAAACTGTGATTTAAAAAATAAAAAAACGTTTTCTTACCCTTGTCCCTGTTGTTTATATTTAAAAAATATTCATTAAGAATGACTGAGCTAAAAGGTAAGAAATTAGCATTAGACACATACAGATGTAGCTTATCACGCAAGAGGTTTAGCATCTTTCATAATTATCTTCTAGTATGGTAGTCTGGGTTGGGTTAATTTTTGGGTTATTGCGAAAAATTGCTTGATAACTTAAAAGCTTTCGAGTGAACCTGTATTTTCTGGGCCTGGCAAACAAATCCAGTCAAAGTTTTGTCAAGTCAAAACATGTTTTTGTTCCTTCCCAACCCACTAACACGTTCCAAAGTCAAAGATTGAAATGACTATGGTGACTATGAAATGACCAAGTTCAACAATTTACTCTTTCAATTAAAATAATTGCTTACACTTATATAGCGCTTTTCTGGACACTCCACTCAAAGCGCTTACAGGTAATGGGGACTCCCCTCCACCACCACCAATGTGCAGCCCCATCTGGATGATGCGATGGCAGCCATAGTGCACCAGTATGCTCACCACACATCAGCTATCAGTAGGGAGGAGAGCAGAGTAATGTAGCCAATTCATAGAGGGGGATTATTAGGAGGCCATGATTGGTAAGGGCCAATTGGAAATTACTCTTTTCGAGAAGCGCCCTGGAATTTTTAATGACCACAGAGAGTCAGGACCTCGGTTTTACATCTCATCCAAAGGACGGCGCCTGTTAACAGTATAGTGTCCCCGTCACTATACTGGGGCATAAGGACCCACATGGACTGCAGGGTGAGCGCCCCCTGCTGGCTCCACTTACACCTCTTCCAGCAGCAACCTTAGTTTTTCCCAGGAGGTCTCCCATCCAGGTACTGACCAGGCTCACACCTGTGGGTTGCCAGTTGTGAGTTGCAGGGTGATATGGCTGCTGGTGCGTTTTATTAAATTTTATATAATTTTCTTTCGAATGGTCGTTATTATGAAAGCCAGTGTTATTTAACCACGGAGTTAAATTTTACATATGTTCCATGTACTAAGTGAACAGTGTTTTTAGGTTTTAATAGGTATTAAGATTAAATTTTCCCGACAACCTACTGTATCTGCAGTGGCTGAAAAAGAATAAGGGCACAGACGATGTAAATGCAAAAGATTATATCCCAGACATAACAGGATTTTATACCTTCGTCACGGACTAGATGTTAAAATGCCATGACGTGTGGGGGAATAGTCAGGCCTTCGACGAAGTGCAAAATATCACGTTGACCAAGATCACATGTTATTCTGCGTCAAACCGTTTCTATTTTTTTCGTCTCCATAAACATGTATGACCCTCTATAGATAATTTATTCGTATATTGAGAAAGGGGATTATTACATGTTAATTACCCGTTTAAAAACAAAAGGCCTAAATTATTTTAGACTGTAAATAAGTATACATTATTTTATACTTCATTCCTTTTTTCTTTTAGTTGCGGAAACGGCAGATAGTTTGTGACGCATAAGGGCTGGGCTGTATTTTCCGAGTTTTGATAGGCTTTCTTCTTCTCCCCGATCACTCCTCCTTCTTGATATAAGGTTTGTGTCCGCCCTTCCTCTCCATTTACTAATCGGCCATTTCATGTAGAATTTGTGAAGTAAGTATTTTGAAATATCTTTAATTTTATCTATGTCTTTTTTTTTTGTCTTGTGATTAAATATAAACCTTTAGTTAGCTTTTGTAATTCCTATTTGGATAAAAAAATGTAGTCAGATTAGTATTTGTTTAATTAAAATACTCAACAATATTCTTTATTTAAATCTATTCTTTTGAGTTTTGATTTTAAAAAAACCTTTAGAAAATCTGCTCATTTACTGGAAATGTTTTATTGTTATATAATTCATGATCTTACACTTAATTTAAAAAAAGTTTCGATTCGTGCGCCATTTTGTTGTGGTTCAGTTCTAAAATGGACACGTAGTAGGAAAGAGTTGTTTTTTTGGACATTTTAGCAGCATTACTGTTTAAGGGTCGATGAATGACGGGGATTTGTTTTTTTCATGTTTTTCCCACAATAATTTGTTACATGGACTTGAAAAACATATAGTTTAATCATGTATTTTTATTAGATGTTATATTGCGCAGTTGGATATTTCGGAGACTACATCATGGCGCTGGGGCGTTGAATGCGGAAATGAGTTACAGAAGAAGTTAAATTTAAGATCAGCCATTTCTGAAGAATTGTACCTTTTCACTTTATTTTTAATTTAGCTTATTCTAAAATTGTCGTAATCTTAACAGTCTCATTTTACCATTTAACGCCGAAGTGACACTGGAATACGGTTTAAATTTATGGCAGATTGCCAAAGTGCCATTCCCTAAATTCGGCCTAATTTATTCATGTCGTGGAAGCGAATATCTCGTAAACATGTAGGTATTGGCCAATACCTGCATTTTGAGAATCTTGTTGTTAGTGCTATTTATTACGACGTTTGTGAATTGCAGCTGTAGTTCTGATTGTTAGGTCAGATTGTGCGATAACGAGCAATTTAAAGCGATCATGTTTTCCCCAGAAAGAAAACTTTTCAGTCCGATTGGTGTGCTGATTCTGGCAAGAAGTATCGTAGCTGTACAGCAAACTTGGGAGTTTGTTTAAAGTTTTTTCTTTTTGGGAGTGGACTCTTCATTTTTAATTGCTGTTTTTTATTTTAAAATGAAAGCGTTATTTTGATATGCAAATTGTAGTTTCATTTATTAGTTTAGAGGTAACCGAAATAAAAAGGGCGGTATTAATAACCGATGAATTATTGTATACATTAATTATACTTTTTTTTTAGGAACCATTTAATGTGCCGTCCACGGACCTTTTGGAACAAAGCTTGAACAAAACCCATCCTGTTATTTTATAAAAGACAAAAGTCAGATTCTCACAAAACTCCAATAGATTAGGTGTTTGCGGCCGGAGTCGCTTTTTTTTTTCCATTCGAAGTGACCGTGGTTGTTGTTCAGAGGAAAATGATTGAAATTGGAAGACCGAGAAATGGCTTTTCAGAATCAGGAGACAAGTGGTAAGTTTGTAAACTGATGCATTTTGGCATTATTTATGCCATGTCATTTTGCTAATAGAAATAGTTTTGTTATTAAAGTTTAAAAGGTACACTTCGTAACGTCTGACATGCCCCCACCTAAAGCAGCATAGGAGAAGGGCATTTTTAAAAAAAGGCAAAATCAACAATGAAGACTATTCAGCCTGTCGAAATTCCATTCCCTGCAAAATCTCTGCCGGACATCACCTGCAGCAAACTACTTGAAGATCACCAGTGAAAAGTCTAAAAACCTGACAGATTACCAGGTTAATGAGAAGCTCCCATTAAAACCCACTACAGTTGAGATCTGCACAAAATCCGATGGGTTTCCCTTCCTTGTCCTGTGGATTTTGTGCTGTATAACCTGAGCTGCAGTCCTCTGAAAACATGTGTGCTGTACTATGCCCTGCCATGCCTTGGAAACATGTATATCCTGCTCTTCCATGTTCTGCATTGTGACCTAAGGTTGTGCTTTCTGTTTTTGAAATGGAAGTCCGAATTCTCCTGAGAAACTGAAACATCTTATGCAAACCAAGAAAAAATCATACAAGTTCAAGAAGAGATGAGGAGCCCTCCTTCTCTCCATTGTCTGGTAATCCTGTTAATTGTGACCTACAGAGTGCTTACCAATGTGTGGTTGTATCCCCTTCTGATTTAAAAAAATAAATAAAATTGATCAGGAGAAGAGTGTTTTCTCTTTGCATTCATGTTACATTGCTGAGAATTTCTAAAATGAGGTCTTGACAGATGTTGCTTAATCGCAGCTGTTCAACATCTGGTATAATTCCGACAGCAAGATGACCAAATTGTTCTCTGGAAGATAAAATAGACACAGACTTTTGTTTGAGTGTATAGAGGAGAATCATCGGTGAAGGATTATCCGTTTTGAATTCATCTGGGACATTTTGTTATGGATCAGTGTTCACCGTGAGCACATTACAAACCAGTGGAAGCGTCGGTCAAGTATGAAGAACAGAATGTTGTCATTCTTTCTGCCTGCGTCATCTGCTCCACGAACTGTGGGTGAGGAGTGGCAGCTAAGACCAATTCGAAGAGTCTCCTCGTCTCGTGTTGGGGGGGCTGTCTAATACGGTTCTGCTCTGCCCCCAAATCTGTTGAGAAGTACAGTTATTGATGCTGCAGAATAATATCAATAATGTTAAAAATTGAGGAATATGTTTCAGTGAGGGTCAGTTAGACAGTGATGTTCAGGCATAATTATAAAAGAATTTCTCCCCAGGAATAAAAAGAACCAGAAGGACCGAAGGAGTAATGGGTCCAGAATTCCAAGTGAAGATGAAATTCATAGAGACTTTGTCAATCTCCAGAACTGTAAGTCATTTTCTGTTTCTTAACTTTTTTCCCCAAGAACAGTACTGGTCATATAAAGATCACAAAGCTGTATGCTTAAAAAAAAAATGGGATTGTGTTATTCAATGCTTCTTTGTTACAGAAGAATAATTTGAGAGATATACAATAGTCAGTTATGGCACTTGCTAGATGAAGTGATTGTTTTCCATTTATAGTGCAACATTGCATCCATAAATATGTGAATTGGAAGTTATTCTGTTTGTTATATGGTGTAAGGAAGCACTCTTTTCTTAAACTGATGGTCTGCTGTCTCTTTACAGCTGATGAATTTCTGAAGAAACTGTCCAAAATGGTAGAGAAGTACAGAAATAAAGAAGTAACTTTAAAAGGCACATGGGTCATGAGAATTGGTGGGCTCGAGGACACTGTCCTTTGGGGAAGAGAAGAGATGATTGAAGCCTGGGAGGAGCTCTACCTGCCCGAGAGCGAGAAGATGGTTGTGTTTGGTGCCATTGACAATGTCCCCTGCTTGGCCATGGGGCAGCAGCTCATCCTGATGGTAGACAGCAAGGGCAATGTCTACGCCTATGAAAATGAGGTGCTGCACCATGTGACGCGCAGCTTAGAGGACTTCTTCGAAGATGGGTTCTCTTTACCTTGGATCAAAAGCTATGAAAAGGGAAGCTACTGTGAACCACTGGTAAGGCAACCAACATATCTCTACCATAGATACGGGTACATGGTTTTTTGCTAGAAATCTACATGCAGTGCAGTCCGTAAGTATTTGGACAGTGACACAATGCGTGTTGTTTTGGCTCTGTACTCCAGCACACTGGATTTGAAATGAAAACACGGACTACGAGGTTAAAGTGCAGAGTGTCAGCTTTAATTTGAAGGTGTTTACGCCTATATTGGGTGAACCACATAGGAATCACAACCCCTTTTTATACATAGTCCTCCCAAAAGTAAATGGGGGAGTCTATGTATAAAAGGGGTTGTGACTGCTATATGGTTCACCCAATATAGACGTAAACACCTTCAAATTAAAGCCGACACTCTGCACTTTAACCTTGTAGTCCGTGTTTTCATTTCAAATCCAGTGTGCTGGAGTACAGAGCCAAAACAACACGCATTGTGTCACTGTCCAAATACTTACGGAGTGCACTGCATGTAGATTTCTAGCAAAAAACAATGTACCCGCATCTTTGCTAGAAATCTGCATACTTGCGGACTGCACTGTATGTTGATTTCTAGCCAAAACCATGTACCTGTATCTTTTCTAGAAATCTACTTACTTGCGGACTGCACTGTATGTAGATTTCTAGCAAAGATACGGGTACATGTTTTTTTGCTAGAAATCTACATGCGGACTGTACTGTATGTTGATTTCTAGCCAAAACCATGTACCTGTATCTTTTCTAGAAATCAACATACTTGCAGACTGCACTGTATGTTGATTTCTAGCAAAAAAACCATGTACCATGTACTTTTCTAGAAGTCTACATGCAGTGCAGTCCGTAAGTATTTGGACAGTGACCCAATTTGTGTTGTTTTGGCTCTGTACTCCAGCACACTGGATTTGAAATGAAAACACTGACTACGAGGTTAAAGTGCAGAGTGTCGGCTTTAATTTGAAGGTGTTTACGTCTATATTGGGAGAACCATATAGAAATCACAACCCCTTTTTATACATAGTCCTCCCAAAAGTAAATGGGGGAGTCTATGTATAAAAGGGGTTGTGACTGCTATATAGTTCACCCAATATAGGCGTAAACACCTTCAAATTAAAGCCGACACTCTGCACTTTAACCTCGTAGTCAGTGTTTTCATTTCAAATCCAGTGTGCTGGAGTACAGAGCCAAAACACCACAAATTGGGTCACTGTCCAAATACTTACGGACTGCACTGCATGTGGTTTGTTTTTCTTTTTTATTCAAAAGACTGAAGAAGAATACCTGGAATTCCAGCAACGTGAAGAAATTCAAGAGATCAAGAGACGGACGCAGGAATATGTCGAAAGTAAAAAGGAGGAGTTTGAGGAGATGGCCGCCTTCTTTGACAGAATGTTGGAGAAGACGGGGAAGCTAAATTAAGCCATTGGGCAGGCAAGCTGGCTTGTTGGCTTAAATGGTGACTGTGGTCCTAAGCAAGATCCAAAACAGACTTGACTCGACGTAGGTCAGAAAGTAGCACTGAGAGGAGAAAACCGTTCCTGACCTCCTGAGCCTTGATGATATGTGGGGCAGGTGGAGCCCAATCGTTCTGGCAGGACCAGGATTCCCTAAGAAGGGAAGCAGGGTGGGGTATGGGGTGGTTTTAAATTTGCTGGGGATGTCCTGGCTTTGACACACTGCACAACAATGCAGTGGCTTCCCAGCCAGCCGTGATCTCGGAGAGCTGTCACTCATAGTGAGATGGTCGAGCTCATTCGCCTGCTGCCTTGGATTTGGAGAGAGAATGAAAGGCAGGTAAGATGTGCATCAGGTGTTACGCAGGAAGCATGTGTTCAGTGTCTTAGGAGTGAGCCAAACCAGTGCCGTGACCTAGACATGACCCTCATGCTCATAGTATAGATCAGCGACTCAGTGCTGAAAAGAGTGGTTGGTGTCATACTTTACAATGAGGTGCATTGCACCTTTATCTGTAAATAAAATATTTTCTTAAATAAAATGTGTCAAAAACCATTTCTTTAAGTCAATTTGATGTGGGGTGATCCTAGGATCACACTTTCCCCATCCCCTCAGTGACAGCCTCATTTCCTTCTCATCCTCTTATCCAGTTGCAGGTTTTCACTTCACACCTCGCGTTCACCTCACCTGCATGCCCACTCTGCTTCTCTCCTGCTCCTGCCTCTTCTCCACGGCCCAAACATTTCCTTTCTTCTCTTTTCAGCATGGAATAAGCCTTTACTTGTTCCTTTGCCACCTACGGATACCGACGCAGCTCCCTGTTTGAACTAAATGAAGTGGGCCTATATGAACTGCAGGGCTCACTTGCCAATGCAAATGTTTCTTAAGGCATTTAATTATGAACCTCTCGTTTCCAGTACCCATTACAAGACATGGCTGGTCAGCTTGTACATAAAAAAAGCACCATAACATTGCCTAGTGTTCCAACACTGGAGTGTTTTAGAGTGGGTCATGACTGCCTTTCCAAACCAGCATCGGAACTTGCCTCGTCTTGTTGGAGGGGTAGGTACAATCACACGGGAAAACTTGCTGCGCGTTACACTGCAGCTGCTGTACAGTGGGACGCCCTTAGGGCTGGTTCACTGGAAATTGTGTAGTCCAGTGGTTTCAACCTGTGGGCCGCGGTGGTACTGCAGGGGGGCCCTTTATAAAAAAAAGACCACCCGTGAAATAAACGAACTAGGGTTCGTATGTCTGGGGCGGGGAACGCGGTGTATTATCCAATAGCAATATTAGTCCAGCATATTTTAAAATAAAACTCCTCTACTGGAAAACGCGGCTGTGCGGCTGACTTGCAATTGATCATCGGCGCGTTCATTCCAAAATATGTAGAATTGGAAAGCGCGACCTGTTCCCCTGCAAGACCTAGCAACTCACAAGTTTACATTAAGCCAAGCTGTGTTCGTTAGTGTGCGACATGAAAGCGACCCAGAGATGTAAATCGGGTAGCGAGAAACGCAAAGAACAGAAAAGGCAATTGAAGAGGAAAAGTTTCAAGTGAACTTTATCAATTGCTTACTGGGCACTGTCGTCAGTGAGACACAACGTTTTTTGTTGCGCTAATTCAGACGTCTTTTTGTTTGACATAAAATACCGGAGATAATTCAGCTGAAGCCTGTAACGAATGGCGGGGATTTGGCAACTGAATTAAAGTTTGTCTCATCTGCTCCCCGATTAAATCAACGCTGCGTCTGAAGTACTGCAGTATTTGGTAAACCAATATATGAAATCTGCGTTTCCCGAACACAGTGATAACGTCAAGTGTTGTTAACAATTCCAGCTGCTGTCGCCAGTGATGAACGCTCGTTTAGCAAACCGAAATTGATCAAAACCTAAGGTCCACCATGTCACAGGAAAGACTGTCAGCTCTGGCTTTGCTGTCTACAGACAAAAGCACCACAAGGCTTTCAGTGATTTCAGTGGATTTCAGTGATATCATCGCTACGTTTGCTGCGACGAATCAAGCTGTAAACTTTTAAATAACTAGTTACTTAGTATCAAGTGCAATGTGTTAGCCCGTGTGAATTGTGCTCTCTTGCTCTGTGTGCGCTGGCGGACGGAGCAGGAAGCCGGGGGCGGGACCTGAACTTACGTGCACTCGGGCCCACGAATGGGTTGCGCCGGGCCTGGTTGTAATTGTAAAACAGTCGTAAATATATAACACTATATGTAATATAAATAAAATAATA